GCGAGATTCAACTATCTATGGTAATACCAATACCTTCATGACTCAATTCCTCAACGTAAACAAACCGAATTGTTAAAGCAAGCATCTCTGGTTTGTATGTTTTCTGTTGATTTAGTCTATGCTTGCTAATTATAAGATCTAATATTTGTTTACAAATAAAAGCCAAGTGCAAGTGTTAAAGCTAACGGTATCAGGCTTACTAACAACAAAAAAATGTATAATTTTCAAACTTTTTAGAGCATCATAAATATTGAAGACGCGCGCGGCTGAAAACTTTCGCAAAATTAGCTTACAACTTTCCGTTGGCAAAGAGATGTTACACAAGTCGGGTATGAAATTGCATGTTACGCATACGCGTCGTATGCATATTACACATACGCACTGGTGGCTGGTGTGTTGTGTTGTGTTTGAGGTGCAGGTAGCGGAAAATTGATCGCACGGGCTGCTTGTGGGCGTCAGCAGGAAATCATAAAAATACAATTTTCATTGGACGGAACAAGTATATCTATCATTATACTAATATCTATGATATGTCTGTACATTTGAGACACGGCCACAAAAACAACGACCACAATTACCTGTTTCGTGGGTAGAGTGTGAATGGCTTAGAGGCTGGAACCTGTCTCTGCTTTTGGCACTTTGGCGGGCCCAAGATATAATTATGTAATTGTGTAATACGAGAGAAATGCTCGAAGGAACCATTTCGTTGTACAATAAATTACAAATCATAAATTTCCAGTACTCACAGATGTCAACTCGATTGCAGTATAATTGCTCATTTGCCTAATTAAATAGAAATGAGAAAACGAACATATACCATCTACGGACAAATCAAGTGCGGGTGCTGCCGACTGGCGAGATTCGTTACAATATATAATTAACCGATTTGCGCATTTGTCTATAGCACCGCTTGCCTCATGCGGAAGTCTCACAAAGAAACAAAGATTATTTTGCGTGTGACTAATAACGAGTGCTAAACGAAAGCCAACCCCTATCCAAGTTCAGCTTCAAATTAACAAATCTGAAAAGAAATATATATTAAAAGTGAATTATGTTCCAAGCCACACAGTCATAAAACATAAACATATTCAAACCCAGCCCAGGTATTAAAAGACGGAAGCTAGCCTCAATTGTGGTTTCTTTCATATGTAGATAAATACATTTATGGTAAGATATATCAACAGACGCATTGAGGCGTTGCTGTTCAATTGTGGCGGCAATCAAATAGTTTTTTTATATTCTCATAATTGAATTGTAGCAAAGCAAAAAATTGCCTTTGTTGAAAAATGAAGCCAAGCCATCAAGAGTAGATTGAGCCACATAAATCATGAGGCTAAAGATTACTGTTGAAAGGCAAATAGAGATAAATAAGAAATAAATAATTATAAAGGCTAAGAATTGGAGAAACTAATGAAACGAGAACTTGAAATGAATGACTTTAAAGAAAAAATAGCATGACCAGTTTTTTGGGTTTTAATAGATTATTTATAAAAAAAAAGAACAGAATAAAACAAAGATTTAAAATGTATAGGTTAAGATTAAAATAAAATACTAAACATATCAGCAAAGTTTTTTAACGATTCATGTAGCTCATTGCAATTCGATATTCTGCAGCTGTCTTTGCTGTTTTGCAAAGCAGAGTTTGTAAAAATAAAACCGACAATTTATTGTTGTGCCAACTTTTCTGTTCACACTTGCTGTCCAAGTCTTGTGGAGCGTGCTGCTTCTGTTTTTGTGTCGCACAAATCAAATTCAAATTAGAACACACGAAAAACACGCGAGTGCGAGCCAATTATGCAAATTTTCGGCTGTCTGTCAGCCTGTCCGACTGTCTGCCTCTGAAATATCAAGAACAATTTGCATATCGGTCAATTGTTGCACGATTTTCGTGGTCTGCGCACGCGTTGCAAATACACAAAAAAGTGTGAATTAAAATTCCAATTTCTTGTTAAAAATATTTACTGTACTGTAACGCACGTTCAATGCCAATTGAACACCCTCACGTTGTTGCTGTCACTTTTTAGGCTCGAATTTTTGCATTTATTAATAAACATGGACATATTGTTTTTTTTCCCTGCCCACGCAAATATAACTATTTTTAAATAAATGGCGAGTGGGTGAAAAGAAAAAATGTAATGCAAAACCAAAAACTGAGGGATTAACCTACATAGGGACACTTAGCCCGTGGAAAAATACAAATTTCTGACGAATTACGCATCAATTTGATATTGAAATAACTGGAACCCAATACGAAATCAACCGCAGAAACCTCAAGCAAAATGACTTTCGTTTTGACCAAGTATTGTAACGAAAATAACCGTTGTGAATGGCCACAGTTGTAGGTATTTCCTTACTGCGGTTGGGTGACAACCAAACCGTACAAAATATAATAGTAATAATTACGCTGACCTTCATCGTCACTTCATTGTTGGTATTGCGCCCAAAGTCGCCAAGTGGACGTGAACAACTCAAGTTGAAAATTGTATTTCTGTGGTTATTCTCCCGGTGGCTAGAACACGACTACTAGATAACAAAACGACTTTCGCATAAGAACTTCAGAACAAGTTTGTTTTGCAACTGAAGCTGAAAACTATCAATTTATAAGCATTTTAAAAAAATATCACCCAACAAAAGACTTAGGCAACGAACTTGATTAGTTCATTATTTACATGGCCCGCGGCTTTAATGCATTCAATTTGTTTTTTATGTGCAATCAGCATAACCTTTTGGCCAGCCGCCAAAAAGTATAAATCAAGCAATTGGATAGCGCAAATAAATTGGCATGCCTACGCCCCAGTGCCCAGGTTCCATGTCATTAAATTTATGCCATCGCTTAATTACACTAAATTACGTCTAATTAAATTTTAATTAACACAATCAACCAGCGCTCACACTGAGATGCATAAACAGCGAAGTCACCTAAAGGAAACCGGCAAAACGTGTCCGACATACGAATCCAATTTGTGAATGTGGAGTAAGTCTGCGTGCCGGCGAAATAAAATCGCCACAATTTCGAGCAACTTTTATTTCTAGCCAATGTGCTAAAAGATTCAGCGACGCACTCGACGCCAAAACCGAAACCAAAAACCAAAAGCCAAAACGAGTGCAAGTTCAACGGGGAAAACGGGTTTCCACCGTCTGCTCTTTCGGCATATGAGGAAGTTAATGCCTGAGCAGCTCGCTCGACTAACACCGAGCTGAAAAAACACAGCCAAGCGAAGCTGTGGAAAACGTAGTAACAGTTACTATTTAGCGGTCGGCCAAAGCCGCATAAAATATTCAGAAAATTGCTTTTCTCTCTCCTTTGTGGGTGCCTTTGGCGGCGGGGGAGGAGGGGTGTTCATGTCCACCCAATTGCATCCGCTGGTCTGCTTTCGACTTGGGTCTTCACGTCTTGGATTGTGCTAAATTTGGCTTTTTTCGTTTCATTTTCGCTTTATTTTTCCAGAGCCATAAGACACAAGTATTTCAGTGTTAATGCCGCCCGGCACTTATTTGGACAGCCTTAATGGGCACAACAGTGGGGCAGGAAGTTCAATTATAGGGCAAAATAGGTTGTATTAGTCCCTTATTAAAAAATGTTGTAACAAATATATATTTTTAGGTTTTGCTATTTTTGCCCACCCTATTTTAATATACCTCAAAATGTATTTATATTATTATTATTCTTTACCAATTGTGCAAAAAATTTAAAAAATTTTAAACAAATGACTTAAGCAACAAACTTTAGCATGGTGTTGTTTTTTTCCATTTAATATAAATTTTATCAAACTTTTCCCAAACATTTGTTATTGACATTTTAGTAGGTTATCTAATGCAAGAATGGCGAATTTGACCAATTAAAAATATTTAGTGTTGAATCCATAATGGAAACTCTTAAAGACAGCCCAAGTAATTTTTTAAAGTTAATAAATAAAGAATTTGTTAAAACAGTTTTTGCTTGCGAAGTTTTTGTCATTTATTTGTTTTTCATCGGAGTAAAGTAGGAATAAACAATATTTAGTTAGATCATTATTTCCTCTATTTCATAACCAAAACTCCATTAATTTGGATAAATTCATAAATTTGCCACACATAAATCATTAATTTAGCCTAATAACTTTTGGGAACCTTAACCTTAAATCGAAGACCAACCACTGTGCCCCGAAATAAATGAAGTTCTTGCATAACTTTGACAATTACAAATGATGTGTCTGACATATGACGACAAGCACCAAAAAAAAAGCCACGCATTTGGAGATGCGGACTTTTCGCTCGACTACCTGAAATAATAACGAAACAACAGATTAAATTAAATTAAAAGCAGAGAAACAAGTGGACACACATGTCCGCAACTTGTAGAGGGGCTTCTGAACCGGAAATAGACTGTGACATCCGCCGACAGCCAGCGAGGGGAATCAAAAGAATCCGATTCTGCGCCGTTGGGGGCTATCAGTCTCCGGGTATAACTCTGTCATATCCGGAGGACGTTGGCCGCCAATTTAATTAGAAATCTGCACGACGGCTTCGGCTGGGGAGAGACTTCAAAGCCAGTTCAAAGCACTTTTGTTTCCGCCATACATCAGCAAAAACAAGACACTACATATAGTATTCCCTATATCTCTCTTCACACTTTGCAGCATAATTAACTAACGAAATTTCTATCCACTCTGCTCTTGTCATTTCAGCCAGAAAACACAGAAAGGCACACAGAGAAGTCTCAAATTAGACCGTGAAAGCCGTCAAGCAAATAGGCAGCAAAGCGTGCAAAAGGAAAAGCCAAGGAAATTATATTTGCGAGGGGCGTGCAGTGATGGGGCAGCCACGTGCACACAGTAGCAGGCCTGGAATAGCTAGAAAATTATTATTATGATAATAAATTAAAGTTGCCATTAATTTAGCCAAAACGGAACGAGAACTCGAACTCGAGCGCGATCGCGAACGCGAACGAGGCCTGGGAAGTGGCCACAAACGTGAACGTAGACGGTAGCATAATAACAATAAATAATAATTTCAAATAGGCGAGCACCACAGCCAGTCAGCCAACCAGCCAACCAGCGAACAGAAGACGACCACAGAGAAGAGTGGCCAAGCCAAGTGCAGCCTCCCGTTTTCAGAGGAGCAGCGAGGAAAACCAAGGCAGCTCGAGTGCATCGAGCGTGCAAATTAAAAGCGAACCACAGTAGCTCCAACTACAACTCCAACTCCATCGCCTCGACATGGAAGTGGCCACAACAAACAATCACAGTCAGAGCCACCATCATCATCATCATCATCATCATCTGCAGCCACCGGGGGCAGCGGGCGGATCGAGGTCCCCCTTCCAGAGGGAGGTGCGTGAATGGCAACGCATCGATCCCAGCACCGGAGCCCTCTTCAGCGGACGCTTGGAGGCAGACCGCTGGATAAATGGACCGCTGAACAGCTACGGCAAGGTGAGTGGCTACAGACTAAAGGTGGTGGCGTGATCCGGAGCTACCCATCAGTGGGAAACGCTTCCGGGAGTAAGGGGAAATCTCACAGATCGGTCTCCAATGTACCATGCCAAGCTGGGAAACCCAGCATCAGCTCTACAAGACTTTTTATATCAACTGTGAAAAGCAAATATTATCCAATTAAAAACGGGTTATTTTAGCAATAGAATATATAAACAAAAATATTATTTGATATAGAAATTTGGTTAGATTGAGGCCACATTCTTCAAACGGAAATTTATTTAAAAAGAACGAACTACATTTCATAAATAATAAATTAAAATCGATGTATCCTGCCTTTATGTATTTATATATCATACATTTGTTTTCAAATATTTTATAACAGATTAACAGACTCAGATTTATTTATAATAGCTTTGTTATTTGCTTTTACCAACACTGGTAGCAGTTCTTCCACTCACGAGTTGATCACTCATCCCTGAAATAAAGCCCCAACCACAAATCGATTGCTTTTGGCTCTGATTGATGGAAACCGTGGCTCCAGCCCGTGATGCTGGTCGCTCTAGTCTGCTCAGCTTCCACCGGGACCGGGTCTAGACCTAATTGCTGGGCCCTCTGTTTGTCCATCGTATTTTAAATGAAATTGAAAGGTCCAGACTCTCTAAATGGGAAGGCGTTCACTAATTTAGTAGAGTCTGCGGCAATTGTGGCTTGATTGCTAGTTTCGGTTACGCTGCTTTTTGATTTTAATCAGTTAATAGTTTATTTAGTTGAATACCCAAAGCTTGACTCTTGAGTAGGCAGCTAGAAACATAAGTTAAGTGCTTTGAGTTTGAATCAAATCAATGGGAATTTCAGTCAATTTAAGCTGTAATGATTAAAATGAGGATGAAAGCTGACCATCTTCTAGATCCCCTTTCTTAATTATAAAACAAAATGTGCCCACCAACATTAAATCAAGAATTTAACATTACTTATATAGTAAAAGCACAATTAAATTTGACACAAATTCTTCAGATGAAAACGCAGTCATCTGGCTTTTAATAATACGAAATAATTCGGCAAGAACGGAACGCTAACTACGCATAGCCAAGTTAATCGCTTGAGAACCCGTCGATGCTGCTCGATGGTGGTTACTGAATGCCAAATACCGCAAGTCCGATTGGCCGGTTGAGATCGTTTTGTGTGTCAGACGGCTTTTCCCCGAGTGACTATCTAACCGCAGACATCAACATGGACATGGACATGCGCAGAGATACGTTGACCGCTTTTACTCAACCATAATTAACAGGTCACACGCACAGCACTCTGATCAAAATAAAAAGTTAAAGAAAGGAAATTAAAGAGCTTTAACGCAGTTGCACACGCTGTGCCACTTATGATTCGATTTCTAAGCGGAGAGATTTCAGCAATAGGCTTGGATTTTTGTTTTCGGTAAAGTCTTACCTTTAATTAAATCGTGCTATTCCTCTTCAGAGTCGAATTTCACTTGTCTTTGGGCTACGCTTCAGCATTGATTGCTCTAGAATTTGTCGGTTAATGCTATAAATGCTTTTGGCTAGATGGCCCAGCAGCACTTCAGGGCCTATCGTTAATTTTATGCTGGTTCATCCACTGGCAGCCGTCATCAACTTATATATGGTTGTGTGTGTGTGTGGTCAAGTCGAGTTTGCGCCTCAAGTGCTCGGCCCAAAACCAACTCGAAATAAAATCACGATGGTGGCTTAGTTGGTGGTTCTGCTCGTGGCCTGGCCAACTGAAATAGCACCACATACTTAACGAGATCTGGAACTTAAGATACTCTGGCCAACTGCGAGCTATTCGCTTTGGTCTGCCCCGGGAACGTCCATCAAATGCAATGACATCATTGCTTTGGTATAGCCGCACTCAAACTGAAGAGATTGATCCAAATAATTAAGTGATTTTTTCGCCTTTGAGTTCTGATCGGCTTACGAAACAATGGAATATCCTATTGCCCCCATCGATGAGATCATGGAAAAAATATTTAAAGACTGTTGACCTTAGGATTGCTCAGCCATCCGAGAAATTCTATGACATTTTGGCCATTACGAAATAAGCATTATGATTTAATCCGTTTTGGGAGCACCAACAAATATTTGGGTTAACTTTTGCGATCATGGCTTGGATTACCGATTATAATGACATATTACCTTCTCTTTCCGCATTTTACGATCAACTGCGGTTCAGTTCAAAGTTGACATTTCGAATGCATTCTCCCGGAGCGAAATTCGAGATCATTTAATAACCGACCGCACAGTCACTCAATTTGGCAACTGTTACATTCACCCGATCAGTGTTGATATGCCCTTTTTCAGCCAAACTTTTATGGCTGCAGGGTATTTGGCGGAGAAACAGCGAAATCCCAAAAGAAAAAATACCATTGAAAGTTGTTTCATTCCGCTGACTTTGTATCTTATCGCGATTGAACTTTGTTGCCACTGCGGCTGACGACGCTGAGAGCCTGGCCGAAAGATGAAAGGGTAATAGAGTGCGGAGGGGGGTCGACTAGGGAAGCGATCAGTACAATCAATTGGAAACGATCAGCCGAAAGAAGACACCAGGTCCTTGCCAGTGATGGGAAAAGTTCCCCTTTTTAACCCAGGGTACAAAATACAAGCCATTAAAAACCGTTTTTGTAATTATCACAAAATAGATTTTCAACAACAATTGAAATGATTAATGATTTGATAACATTTCGCTTGTTTATTCAAAATTGTTTGACACTGAAATAGTACATATTAAGAACTGTTAACATTAAAATAATTGAATTTTAAGGTTTCAGGCTGGAATTTTGTAATTAAAATTCAGACCATTGCAATGGAATCAATCCTATGAAGTGTTACATTTCTTTATTTTCAAATATTTTTTTTACTTTGGAAAATAGATATTTACAAATGTAGGTACTTAAATCTGGTTAAAAAATGCTAAATAAATAGATGATATTATACATAAGATTATATATAAGAAAATAAATTTTTTAAAGTTCAAATGTTTTTTTTACTTGGGGAAACGAAGTTTACAAATGAAAGTACTTAAAATTGCTAGCCATTTATAAAGGTTTTAATATTGAAAAGAAAATGAAATAGTTACAATTTATAATTACAATTAATGGTAGCTAAAACTTCAAATAGAAGTGGTAAATTTATAGAAAATTTTGTATCGAATAAAATATATACTTTTTTAATTCTAAGTGCTTTCTTATGATAGCAAATAGATATTTAAAATGTAGGTACCTAAGACTACTAGAAGAAGTGCTATCAATTTGGCTAAAAGTCTGCCATCGCTGGTCCTAGTCGACATTAGTTTCAGTTTAAGGAGCTCGACTCGACTCGATTTGATGGCCAAGTCCGGGATTTATATCACCGACATCCCGCTGTTCGTCCGAAGCGCTTTTGCCGACAAAGACAAAGTCAAAGGCAGCGACTGCCGCCTCGGATCGCAGAGAAATCAATTTGGCAATAGCCAGCATCCAATATCCAATATCGAATCGGCTGGAGCAGAATTAAAGCAAAGCAGATGCAGATGCAGACGCACCCAGACACCGTTACTCAACCAGATAGACGTAGACGGATAGATCCCTGACAACTTCTTCATTTGCATTATGGATCGTGGATTGTGGATGGCGGATGGCGGCGAAGGAAAGGCAAGGTAGAAATTTACATTTTGCTAGACTTTCTGCAGCATGCAAGCGCAGCGTTTGAATTATTTGCCAGAAGTTGCAGTTGCAGTTGTTGCTGCAATCTTGCTGCAATGTTGCCGCCTAACGGTACTGAACCGCTGGCAATGCCGCCGCCTTTGTGGGTCACTGGGTTGCCACAAGTCAAACCAGAAAATAAAAAAAAGCAGAGATGCTGCCCGCGGTGAAGATGCAGCCATCCAGTTGAGAGATTTACCTGTGGTCAGCAGCAGCATTACATTTCATTTGTCTTTTTTCCCCATGCTCTTGAAGCCACTTGGCCGACACACACGTAAATTACTTGCAACTAATTGAGGATGTCAACTGACGTGTCTTGCCGCAATTAAGTGCTTCCTCTGCCGCTAATGAACTCCACACCAAACACATTCTACGCCCAAAGCAAACGACTTGGGGCATCAGCTTCAATGACGCAAGCACATGACTTACTAGCTGCAGCCTGAAGCTCGAGCATATAGAGATATAAAGCCAACAAGATCGTGACAGAATTAATGCATACAAAATGTATATTATTATAGTTTAAAAGCACTGATCGCAGAGGCAAAAGGTCCACAAAATGACCCAAACCAGACTACAGAACTTTTCAAAGGGCACTGTGCTGCGACAGTGGATTGCTTATGTATAGAAACGTTAGTCTAAATCGGTTAATATAACAGATTTTCTTTGCCTAAATTACTCATGTGGTTGATTAATTTTTCTTTTAACGACAAATTTTGTCCAATAATTATGCTTATGATTTTTAATATGTTTTAAGATCAACGCAATCTAATTAAAAACATTTTCAATACTTTTTTGAAAGTTACTAGCTTGAAAAAGGCTTTGAGTAAAATATTTACTTCAAACCGTAAATAAATTAACAAGTTTTGCAAAATTGGCAATTCACAGAAGTTATTTATTTAAATTTTTTAATTAAATTAATTTTATTGGAAAATAATAAGAAAATTATTAAAATTTTCTTAATGCAAAGTTTTATTATAGCCAGTTTGATTTGGTTTCTATTTGTTAAAATTTTGTTTCAGCAAAAAGTTAATAATAATTAAACAAAATTTTGATTAGATCTTCAATTTTGAGTGAACACTTACTTTAACTTTTTTAAAAATGTATTAAATACCATATAAAGTGGCCAACCTTGCGATGCTAACTACAAAATGGTGCTCCGTAATTTACAGTTTAAAAGAACTAACCAAATGGGCAACTCATGCCAGCTGGATCGTTAATTCATCTAGAATTATTAAGTGCCAAGAAAACGCATCCCACGGTGCAGTGTTTTGGCTGCAGAGCACCAAAGTCAGTGCCAGCTAAAAATAAAAAGAGTCAACGCTTTGGCATGTCTATGCAGGCGATCTGTGCGAGCTGGCAGCCCGAAGAGCCAGAAAAGGCAAAGAAAAGGCAGAAAAGGCGACATGCATGCCACGAACAGAGGGACAGATGGACCGAGGGTCGGACTGGATGACTGTATGACTGGATGGTGGATATGGATAGACATGCACCGACATGGGGCATATAGAAGAGCAGAGTCACACAGTGTGGCAGAAGTCGGAGTCGGGAGATAGACAGTCAATCTTGTGGCCACAGACAGACTTACACGACCGGGCAGACGACTGCGACTGCGATTGCGACTGAGACTCCGACTGCGAAGACCGTGATGATGATGGTGCTGCATCATTAAATTCGTTTCAAGCTCGGCCAATCGCAGGCAACCAAATATTTTGGCATATACGTGTACTGGGAAAAAATTCTGTGAATATTCACAGAACTGTCCTTTAACCAAAAGAACTAACAATTGTTTATATTTTATTGAATTAACAAAAACTAATTACTTATGAAAATCAGACTTAGATTACTACTTAAATGAACAATCTACCAAAATGTATATTTTTCCTTAAATAAAATGTAAGAGTTTTATACAAAATTAAACAAATTATTTGTAGGGTTTTATTGTTTTCCACAATAAATTTAAGCAACAAATTCAAAGATTTTTCAAACTACTCACCTTTTACTTAACTAGCAAATGTAATATATTTTACCATATAGAATAAATGTGTGACGCTTTTTATACCACACAACTTATATATGTATTTTTAGAATTCCTTGTCTATTTTCTGTGTTTTGTTTTAAGAAGGTTTTAGTCTTCATTGACAACATAAAATAAATTACTTATGCCTTAAGCTTAGTGTTTAAGGTATCAAAATGTTTTTTAAAACATGCAAAATTTAGACAGTTCAAAAGTTTTTATGAAAAGTATTTTAGTTCGTGTAATAAATTTGTATAGGTTAAAGGTGATCCTATTCTTATTTGAATATCTTGTACTGTATTTACACATCACATTAATAACAGCTCAATTGAAAGAGTATCCGAATTTCTCCCAGTGTAGAGCCAAAAGCAAAGTCTTCCTCTACATCATCACGACTTTGGCTGGCATATAATATATGCGAGTGCTGGGCTCTGTGGAAGTCGTGGCAAGTCTCTGCATTTCATTGAACCTTCAACTTGACTTTGCGCTTCGGTTCGGTTTCGGATACAGCGTTTTCAATTTTGTGGTTTCATTTTCTATTTTTTTTTTCCTTTTTTTTGCCGGGTGCATGGTATGTTTTTATCGGCATCAGCTGGCCGGCGGAGGCTGTACAAGATCATGACACTGATCGCTGGCTGATTTTGGCTAGGTCGAAATTATTCATTTACAGTTTGGCTTTCTTTCGCCAGCTGTGTTGTCGCGCTTGTGAGTTGCCATGATTGAGCCACCCCCTGGGCCATGTTGGTCGTTTGAGCACAGCTTAATTAGCACGAGCAGTCATCGCGACTCTGGCCAAGATCAAGACCAGCCAGCAGCCTACACATGCTAAGCCGAACTAAAATGGAAAATCAGCGAACGGCGAACGACGAACGGCGAACGGCGAAAAGAGGTCATCGATAGACAGGCATAGACACATATTGCAGCGGGCTCTGTAAATTGCCAGGCACTTCGAAAAGTGGGCTCTACTATAGATCCCCAAGAGCCTCCTTTTTTGACCATCGTGAGAAACTGTGGCAGAACGTGCATGGCCGCGGGTGCCAAACTCGGCTGGTAATTTATGTCTGCCACGCTATTCTGCACTCCTTCCCAGAGTCACAGTCACCCAAGGATGAGTGTGACTTTAGGGAGCCGCTGAAATTATTGTGCATTGTCCGCTTGCCCTCGGGTCAATGGGAAGCTTAAAATCACAAGCCGACCAAACCAGACTCAGCCCAAATCGAACTAAAGTGAATGAGTGAAACCGCCTGATTGAGAACTTTGGAAGGGATAACCCTGAACTCAAACAATGCTTAAATTTATGACCAGGGAAATCTTAAAATTCATTCTCTCGATACTCTTTTTTATTACAAAGGCATTTTAAATATCTTCGCTAAAGAAATCCGCTTATTAGTAGGGAGTATATAATACAGTTCGAAGAATCAAACCTAAATTGAAATGATTCGAAATTGATTTCCTCTAATAAAATAATCCACACTTTATGAATATTTTAAAAATATTTAAATTTTATTCATTAATACTTATATGTATAGAATGCATTTAATATGAACAAAAACTTATGCCAAACGAAGTTCTTCATTTTAGCCATCTTTGCCTTTTACCTGTATAGGGTTATTTATTCGGTAAGACTTTTGAAAAGTATTTTAACAACCTAAAATGAGACTATTCTTTGTTCAACAACCCGAAAAAATTCTCATCTAATGAAGCTAATTACAGAGGTTTAACCACAGGTATTATTCGCGCCATTCGGCGAGTTACGAGTTGCAGCACAAAAAAGACTAGACCCCAAGTGAGAAGCAAGAACCATTGAAGTGACTCAACCCACAACTTGCATACAATATGCATTTTTCTTTGTTTCGCCGAGCTCGGAGAACATTCAAATTTTTATATTCTATACAAACAATGCTGCACTTTGACTCATAGTCAAATGTGCGGCTGCATTTTGGTCATTGACACGAATACGCCGCGAACTGGACACCGGCGGGTTAAAGTTTTCATCTGGAGCATATTATGCATTTTTAGCTCTATAAATCATCAATGCAATCGATTGCCATAATCGATCTTTTGGGCCAGTTCGAGTGTGTTTGTTGCTTTTTGTATTTTTTTTTTAGTTTTCTTCCTTCGATGGTGTGTCATGGCACGATCAAATGAACGGATCTGCTAATTGTTCAAATCTATGCACCAAAAGAAATATAACCAAAAGTAATTAAAAAAAAAACAAACATAGCATTTAAGTGGTTTAATTTAACCTTATTTTAAAGTGAATAAAGTGAGAATAACTTTCTATAGCCAAACGGTTATTACATTAAGCCGGACTTCAAATTTCTTACTTTATAATCAGAAATAAATTTTTTTCTTAGCTCATTCACTAATTAAACACTAATAAACCAATTAGGAGTTTACTGCCGCGTAATAAAAAAAATAAATAAACATATATTATTTTGCTAAAGAAATCATAAAATAAAAATAAAAAACTCAAGGAAATAACATATTATTCATTAATTTTAATGTTATTAACTACTAACTAATATTCTCATTTAAAATTCTAAATTAGTCAATAAAATATTGCTATACTTTAACTTTTTAAATATTTAAGGTATTTTCACTATTTTTTTCCAAGTGCATAGCCACAAAAGGGTGCAGTTTCTGTTTCAGTTGCCGTTGCAATTGCTGTTGCTCTCGAGAGTCTTTTGATTTGTGGCTGGCGTTTGGTCACGTGTGCCGAGCGGGCGAACTAAGCACGCCCAGCTGTCGAGATAAGAGGCATCTAACCATTTTGGAGGGGGAATCTGGAGGGGGGAATTTGAAGGGGAAGGGGAAGGGGAGGCTTGACGGTCAAGTGCTTCGTCTGGCAACTTTCATACGCCCCGTTGCCAACGGCCGAATGCCATGCGACAAAGCACATTAACGCCCAGCATGCGCCACACCCACATCCATACAATCACATTGTGATCGCTTATTTAGTTTTTTGTTTATCTTATTTTTAACAGATTTGAATGTTATTTTAGGCAAAAAATCGATAAAGCAAGACAATTATCGGTAGTTTCTTTATGCATTAATTGATCTGGCAGACTTAAGCTCTTTCAAGTGAGCTAAGGTGTCTAAATATATAAACTCTGATTTTATATATATTTGTTAATATGTTTTGTGAGAAAGTCTTTTTAAGTCTTATTAGATGTGGCTTAAAATGGCTTTTACAAAAATTGATACAAAAATATATAAAACCTAGCCATTATATAAACAAACATTTTAATGAATAACTCTGGGTTGAAAATTAATATTCCTATTTTTGTAATATTTCTATTTTTATATATTTTTGTGATCTAATAATCGAAATGAAAGCCATGATACAGATATTTTAACATGGGCTTGTGGGACACCATTTATATAACAAACAAAGACTACAGATAGGGATTTCCACTAAGTCAAAGTCCAACTAAACCTTAAGTCTTACTAAAATACCAATAATTTTCAATAACTGGCATTGCATTATAATATAGAACCCTTGATAAATCCCCCTGTGACATCCACTCATTATCCTGCCACCACTGAATCCCACTCTCTCTCCGATCTTTTCCCAGATATCCGACTCCCAAAACATCTCACAGCCGAATGGCACACAGCACACGCAGCGCAAACAGTTGGAGGTGCTGAAGGCTCGCACCGCCAACGGCGCTATGCAGGTGATCCGCACCCAGACAGTACAAAAGAGCTCGTCCTCGTGGTCCTCCTCCACATCCACCACCACCACATCCACCACCCAACGCACCCGCAATAGCAATGGCTATGATGCACCTCCAAAGTCCACTATCCTTCCCCAAATCGAGCAGGGTGGTGTTGACATTTGCGAACTGAGCGACGATTGCAGTCTCAGCGGCAGCGATGCTGGCATTATTCGTACCTCGTCCGCATCCACATCCGCCTCCGCCCCCGCATTCGCATCCGCACTGAGCCAGGAGCTCATCGACGATCATGTTGACTTTGTTGTGATTAATGGCGAGGCGAGCGATCAAGACGACGCTGCCGACGAGCATTTGCACAAAGGCGGCCACAATTTGTTACCCGATACGGCTCCGAGTCTGAAATTGAGCAATCTAATGGTAAGTCGCCTGGGCCAGGCTCAAATGCGGTAGTCCACAGTCAGGGTCTCGCTTCTACTGACTGTGCAACACAGCAAAAAATGGATTTACATGCCAATCAAAGTAATCTGGGGTGTATTTTTTGTTAGCAATTCATCTTTTCTTTTCGATAAATATTGTCTTATATAAATAAGAACTTTTGTATTGAATGTTGTCATCTTTTTTTTAATTTTTGTTTTATTCGTTTTTATGATCATTCTCACTTAGTCAAATTGCTCCCAGAAATATTTAATTCTGACATATTTTCATTAAACAAATTTCATATTTTAATAATGAAATAAATAAAATAAAATAAAATTAAATACACCATTTTTTGTATCCAAATGTGTGAATGAAATCTGTAAAGTAAATAATTTCAATAAATTTATTAATCAGATTTGTAACCAAATTGGTTTAAAGGTACTAAAACTGTAAGAAAACAAAAATAATTTTCAAATATATCTAGAATAATTTTCAAATTAAATTTTTACTTAAAGGATTAAAACAAAGTTAATTATTATTGCCATTACTGAAAATATTACTACTTAAAATGAAAAATATCGGCTCAATAGCAGGGTAAGCCCCTTATTTACTCAGTGTAGTTCGCTTTGTTTAGCTAGCTCATTAGCATGAGCCAATGTTTGCTTTCTTCCATCTCGAATTTGTATTCGCTTGTTTCCGAGGAGTAATCTCATGACCATGGCCATGGCAATGACCGAAAATGGCAAGTTGTTAACGGTCGCAGATTGTCGTGTTTGGGGGAAAATCGTTGGCTCTTAGCCGCTGGGAAAATCATGGAAAACATGTAATGAACTGGGGTCGAAAAATTACTTACGAAAAGCCCAAAATAGTTGTTAGCTTCACAGCATTAAGTAAAGGCTCTAAAAGCTTATCTCTGTGCCTAAGGTAACAAATAAAAACTCTAAATATTTATAGAACTTCTAGGAAAAAAAATATTTTTTTTATTGACAAAAAATGTGAATTTATGGATAAATGTTTATCCATAAATATAGGGGATTTCCTACTTAGACAATGTTGTTTTGGCCAAAAAAAACCTGGTATAAATTAATGGAAGTGTCATTTAAGAACATCAGACAGCTACCAAAAAAATACAACAAATGTTTTTATTATTCTGCAATTGGTCAAAAGTCATATATCACACTATATCTCACTAGACTTTCCACAATCTGTCTGGCTCTGACGAACCTTTGACTCATCAACCGTATCGAAATCGAATGGAAATGTTTAATAATAGTGCGGCTCATTTAGGCGTTGCTTAGCACTTCAGCTGGACATCTGGGTCATGACCACAAAGGAAATTTCTACGCCAACTCTCTCGAAACGCGACGCGCTCATTAGGCAAAACAGTAAAAGCTGTCTAATTATTGGGCAGCCAAAAAAGTGACTGCGAAAGTGTCTTGAGACAAGATCAACGCCCACAATCACCTTAGGGTTCTGGCCATCAATCTTGCTACGAAAATTTCGTTAGGGGAATTTCGTTTTGTTTCTCAAACCGCTGGGGTTAAACAAGGCAAATAGCAAGTAGAGAAAAAATAGTGAAAATATATTTAAAACATCAATAATAATTGAAAGAATATCTTTTGTCATAAATGGACTTGCCAATTTATTCAAAAACGATTAAGTCTTGGTAAGGTTAAACCAGTTCGTAAAATAAATAGACTATTTGTAATAATAATAAGCCATATTAAATGTATAAATAATTACAAAAACTAAAAAAAAATAATTTATACTGTGATGCCATAAGACTATTTCAATAAATCAAATGCTTTTTATTTGTTTTTTAAGACAAATCTTGTAATCCGCTTTTAATTTCTCAATCAGCGATTAATTTATTCAGTAATTTAAATCACTTTATAGCAAAAAGCCTTGTTCACTTAAGCTCCTTTGGCCCACTTAGTTTCTCTGTTAGTTCTTAATTTATTCAAGGATTTAATTCTTTTATCCCAATGCGGAAACTCATAAGCTACGACTTACTTACCATTCAAGCTGCGACTTAAGTGCCCAGCTTCCTAAAGCAGTTCCTGTCAAAAGGTGCACCCACTCCTATATAGCACAACAATTACAATAACAACGGCATCAATAACAATAACCATACGAAAGACACCCGCACTCGAGATATACATAGCGATATAATGCGCTCAGTTCGACTGAGTGCTGAGCTCTTCTTTGTGCTCGCTGATTTGGCTGATTTTAGTTGATTTTGTTTAATTTTGATTTTAATTTTGTTTTTAATTTTGCGCCTTTTTGTTGTTGTTTGCCTGCCATTTACAGAAAAGCAGTTCGAGCATTTCCAGCCAGAGCAGCAACAATTCGAACTTAACAACTGCAGCACAAGCGAGTCAAGCGAAACAAGCGAGCAACACCCACAGAAGTGCGGGCAAAATAAGCCTACATGCAATTGTGGGACCAGATTCGTCGTCGTCATCATCATCATCGCCATTGTCAGCATCATCATCGTCGGCGGTTTGGGCCAAGCAGGCCGACTTATATGGCCAACTGCCAGGCGGCGTGGGTGGTTCTGGCAGTACCTCTGCTGATGCTGACGTAGCCCCGCCAACGCATCGTCGTGATTTGGAAAGTTTCCGGCATTATAACGATGACGACGGAGACGACGATCTGCGGTACGAAATTTCTGGCCATTTGCCGATTGGCTGGCCTTAAGTCAACACACACAAACACATACACATCTCATACGAATTTCTTTCCTCCAGGCTCACGGCTCGCCACCAGCGTCGTCAGCAGGTGTCCCAGTCGGTCTACGCCCCTCCAGTGCCCTCCATTGGATCCACTTTGCTCCAGCGCTCCCGCTCCATTTCCACGGATGATCTCAGCAACGACTGGGAGCGTGAGGATCCCGCCGAGCAGCCGGTGGGCGAGTGGCGTCGGGTCAGCAAGTTGCGCAGATCCTTCCAGTCCCAAGATCACTACAAGAGTCCGGCTTCCTTGGCGGCGCGACCCACTAGACCCCTGGATTTGCCGGGAAATTCGGTGAGCGTGGCCCGTTTGCGGGCGGAACTGGAGAACGGACGTCGCCTGCACACGGCCATGCGGAACAATCACGTGGATCTGGCCGCTCTGGATAACATACTAAACACTCCCCCCACAGCCAAGCCAACGGTGGCCAAGAGGAACACCTTCCTCACCGCCGAATCCCTGCAGGAGATACGCGGCAAGCTGAAGAAGCTCTCCGACGAGAGTCTCTACAAGGAGGACTTTCTGGCCTACCACCAGGCGAAGAAGCCAGTGGTGGTGGGAGAGATCAGTGTGGAGCAGGCGGTTGCCCCCGAAGCAACTTCTGCTTCTGCCTTTCGACCCGTGCACAATACCCACAGCCTGGAGTCGCAGTCCCGCCAGCGGCAAAAGGACACCAAGGACTCCAGCGAGTGGCACTTGCGGCGCAAGTCGTACGGCTTCGAGAAGATGTCGCCGCCGGAGGACAAGAGCATCTTCCGGGTAGATGCCTCCACGGACAGTGGACTGGGCAGATCCGGCGAGCAGCTGGGCAACTGGTCACCCACGGAGAGGGAAAGGGAGAGGAACGAAAGAAATGCTGCAAATCAAAATCAAAATGGTGGAGGAACCATTGTACACTTCGGACGATCCCTGAAACCCATCCCATCTTCAAGTCCCACAGAAGGAGAGCTCAGCAAGCGACACTCGATTGCGGTGGAGGAAACGTGGCGTGACGTTCGCAAGACCTCGCAGGTGCATGTAAATGGAGGCAGTGGTGGAGCATCCAGCTCCGTGAACAGCACCAGCCACATCCTCAGCAAGGGCAGCGCCCAGAAACGAGTCGAGTTCTGCAAGACGGAGGTGCATTTTGCCGCCGAATCGGGTCGCGTCAATATCGTGGAGACCGACGGCAAGCCGCCGCCCACGCAAAACTTTCGCCGACGCCGCCGCACCACCGCCAGCGGTCCGCTCCAGAGTCTGGTTAAGTCGGCCAGTGCCGCCGGCAGTAGCAGCAGCACCACTAGCACAACCAGCACCACCACTCAGCAGCAGAGCAGCGAGGTGATCCGCTTTGGCGACGATCCACAGCGCCGCAAGACGATAGCCACCAGCACGGTGGCCTACCGAGCCACGCTCATGGATCCGCCGGAGGTGGTTACTCAGCCAGTGAGTATTTTTCCAGAGGAAATTCAAATTGAATTGATCTTATAAAGCTCATTTTATCTCATTTAAATACTGCTCCGTATATGTTGAGGTATAACATGTAAAAACATTTTATAAATTCCTTTAAAATTGTAAAGTAATATAACCTCATAAATATTTTCTATTCTCTCCAGATTTCGAGCAGCAGCAACAACTCCTCCAGCAGCACTCAGGTGACAGTGACCACTGTGGCCAAGCCGATGCATGAGCCACGATACAGCCTGATGGAGTCCACTTCACGGAACAGCTACACCTCAACCAGTGGAGTGGACACCACGGACAACGAGACGGATGAGTTGTCCAACATTCGGGGCATCCTGAAGAACAAGCCCGTCAAACCGAAACCCTATCACTTGGGGGAGAACATAGAGAGTGCCGATGTCCTCTGGAGTGTGCCCGCTATGAAAGTGGATCGGGAGAGTCCTTCAGCTAGAGATAGTGGTAAGTTATTTAAAGATTAAGGAAAAGCTTAACTTATTTATTATAAGAAAAAAGAAACAAGAAAAATCACTATCAGTAAAACACTTTGAAAATTTTATTATTTATCAACTTAATTATTTTGATGTTAGAATGTTAGAAACAAAACTAAATTTAACATACTATACTATTAGCATCCTATGCGTATACTAAGGATTTTTATATTAACTTAAGTATTTGAGATATAATTTGGTTTCTTTAAGGAACTTTGTTTTTACAAACCTTACTCACTTTGTCATTTTTCACCAAAAGGAATCACGAGTGACTCACCAATTAGTCCCAAGTCGGTGGCCGAAAGGATTCGCATCGTGGAGCAGCGGCAACAGCATCAGCAGCCCTCGCCAGCTGGCAATGGATATTCGACCAAGATCAATGTGAGCCTGGGCTCAGAGGAGTGGACAGAACCAGGTGGGCATTTTAAATATGTATTTCCTTGAAAATATTTAGTTGTACATTCGATTAGCTAGTTGGTATGCCTGTAGTTTGTAGTACCTTGTCCACCGAAATACGTTGTTTGATCTAGTCTATCTGGGTTTTAGCCATGGACTCCTCTACTTGACTCGAACTCTCTGTACTCTGAATTGTATTTTTAATGCATGTTGTGAACTCTGACAGCCGCTTCTCTAAACCACACATCTAATCTGCTACATCTAACACCACTCGCTAAGCTCAGCTCCGATAACCACGCTAAAAAAAAAATAAATACATAAACATAAACAAACATAAATGCCACGAATGAATTGCCAACCAACGACACCTTTCGCACAATTCCCACACAGGCACCGCCTTGGATCTTCATCAGGTCAGCTCGAAACAGTTCTGCCAGTTCCGGCGTCCCAGTGCCCAGGAGCTGTTGCTGGAGGATCTGCGCCAGCATCAGCGCATCCTGGACGAGGGCTTGAAGTCCACCTCGCTGATCATGAGGACCATGCGGTCGGCCAGTGAATTCGATGAGGCCATGCGACGCCTGAGCATAGCTTCGATTGAGTCCGCTCTGGTCCAGCCGACGATTGTGGTGCCCACGCCCATGCTGCGATCGCACAGTTACCAGGAAGAGGGATCCTACTCCTCATCGCGCCGTCCTTCCACCGTGTCCACCACCTCCATTACGAGCAGTGATCTCTTCGGGAGTGCCCTCTACGACTCCCTGCCTCGCACTCCTTTGGCTCCGCCACGTCTCAAATTGCTGGGAAACACACAAATCCCGGTGAGCCAGCAGCTGACCCAGTTGAGACGGCTCTACGACGCCGCCGAGCAGGACCAGGAGGACAGTGCCGACGAGGAGGTGAAGCGCTACTTCCGGGACAGCAACAGCGACAGTGGCGGCGGCACACAGGGCAGCTCCTCGCCGGACCAACAGACGCCGGCGGAGTTGTTCAAGGGCAGCGAGTACTCCAGCAGCTGGAGTCGGATGAAGGCCAAGCGAACCATCTGGAAAATCGAGGCACAAGACCAGATCCTGCAGCGCGCAGGTAACGCTTGTTTCATCACAGAGAACTGAGGGGTTGAGTTAGAGGAGTTCCATTTAAGGGATCAGATCTGGTGGCTAGCAAAAAATACTCTTTTTTAGGGTGTTTAGAGGACACTAGCTGAAAAAAATACAATTTTAATTTTAACTGCTATAATTTCATTTTAATTATAAGTGACAAATCTTTTTTACATGAAACACAAATGAAATATTAATCGGATTTAACGATAAGTTGACAATTTTTTAAAGAACAAACAAATATTTAGTGATTGCAAACCCTTAGATTTAACAGACTTTATTTAAATCACAAATTTATTGATTGCAAATCCATATACTATACAAAGAAAATGCTTTCTAACAACTACCCTTAAAAATTTAAATCAAAAAGATAAATTGCTATTACTTTGTTTTATTTTTAGGTACCTAACTATTTTTATTATAGCTACAAAAACTATATGTAGTAATTTTAGCGAAATACAAATATTTTTAAAGCTTTTTTAGATTTTAGGAAAATAAGTCTTACTTTAAAGAACAAAATTATATTTTATGATCACAAATCTTATATATTGTTAAAGATTTATTCCAGTTAAATATTTTATTTGTAGATAGAAATCATATTTTTATACTTAGCAAAATGTAAGTTTTGTTTTTAAGTAAGATTTTAAAATTTATTTGCCGGAAATACTTGTTTAGCTTTTACTTAGTTATAATTACAAAATCTCCTTTGCAGATCTTCCAAAATCGAATGTGATGAATATAGCTCTGCACGCTCCCCGAATCGAGAAGCCCAAGGCCACGCCTCCCACCCTGCGAATTGGCCAACTCATACCGGTGGCCAAGCCGAGGACACTATTCATTCAGCCGCAGGTCCAGGCGCAGGTCACTTCAGACAATGCCGATGAATCCGGCAGCGAGTCCTTGAAGATTGTCAAGGAGGCACGTGGAGCTCGCAAGCTGCGTGAGCATGAGCTCTCCTACTTTGGAGTGCAGCAGAAGGAGCAGCAGCAGCAACAGCAGACGAAACTCTCCACAATCAGCTCGAATCCCCGAAGGACACTGCCCAGCCGCAGCAAGGTGACCCAACCAGGTGACGAGGTCACCAGGGCCAGCAACACCACGACCACCACCAAGTGGCAACTGCTCAACGATCGACCCGACCTGCTGAGGCACAGCAGTCCTCAGGAGAAGAAGAACGCCACGTTCCAGGACGATGGTCTGGATGGGGAGGATCTGGACGAGGAGCACTGTTACGAGAACATTGCCACCGAGCTGACCACCACCTTCCGGGTCAAGTCGCCGGTCCACTCCCCGGACAGATCCCGATCGCCGGGCAGTTACGAGCGGAAAAGCGACCTGCAGAGGGACGCCCAGATCCTCAGCGAAATGACCCGCAACGCTGATCAGACTTTGAAGGTAAGCAACGTGGAGAAAATCTAGGTAACTAGGTTCCAGATATAACCAAGTTGGATTCTATTGGATTGGATTATTGGATTATTCGAAACTTTTAATTTTAACCAAACTCCGTGATTTGTATATTTTCTTTTCAATTTTTCTGAGTTTTATACTTTGTGTGGGCAAAAAAGCATAAAGTTTTATTGTTTTGCAATTCGACTGATATTTATTCACATAAGGTTTGAAAATAAAAATCAGTGCAGACTTTAAAAAATAAATATTTTAAGCACTGGTTATTTTAAAACAAAAGATATTCATATTCAAACGATTTTAAAATTGATTATTACAACTTCACCCCGCTTAAAATTATAAATATTAATTGACAGTTTCCTCTCAACGCAGTACAAATTTCAATAAGTTAGTTTCAACTTTAAAGTTTTGCTTATTTAGAATGACGTTTCAATTTTATTTCAAGTTATTTTTGGGTTTCGAATGAAAACACTATTATACTGCACAGAATCAAAAAAAGCTAAACAATTTTAAAATACGCTGCCATTTAAGTTCCAAACTTGCGAGCAATTGATTTAGAAAAGCATATCGAATGCCAAATTTTAAAATGGTTAAATGCGATTTTTACGTGTTACAAATATTAAATTAAAATGTTTAATATGTAACATTTTAAATGTTAAGTTTTTTTGTATTTATTCATTTGCATTGATTGCTTCTTTTTATTTTATTCACGTTGCTAATAGCCAATTGATGTAAGGGTTGTCTTTAAATTATTTCAATTCAGAAAATTCATGTTGAAATATTTATACAATAAATGTAGATGTATAATTTTTTTTTCATTTTTGTTCTTGTTTTTTGATTCTTTAAGAGTCCAAATTACTATGTATTTTTAAAAATAAAAAAGGACAAATAATAATTCTACCTCTACTTCCACAGGCTCTCTCCGACGAGGCGGCCATCAAGGATCAGCGGCGCAGATCCTGTTCCCTGCAGCGTCGCAGCGCCAAGCCGCTGGAGACCATCGACGAGAAGGTCAAAGTCTACCCCCAGTCGGTAGGCGTGGCCCGGGGCACCTTCGCCTCGGAGGCGCGTCGCAACTCCCGGCAGTCGACTCCATCGCCCTCGAGGGCACGCAGCTCCTCCCAGTCCTCCATCGAGTGCTGTCCACGCGATCGATCCCGCTCCAGTTCGCGGGAATCGATGACGCATGGCGGCGGATCATCCGACGACCAGGTGGCCACCAAGCAGCGGGCCGAACGTCTGCGCATGCGCACCCCCAAGCGGGAGAAGGCAACTCGTCATGAGCCGATCGAAGTTCGCGTCCACCGGCACAGCAGTAAGCCGAGGAGCAGTTCCAGTGCCACTGCACCGGGATCATCTTCTCTGGAGTCCAAGCGCAGCTCCCATCGGCACAGCCGAGAGGTGGATCACTCCACCAGTGAGACCAAGACCTCCTCCGGTAGTCGTTTGGTGAGATCCTCCCGTGTCGCCGATGAAAGTCGCCCCAGGCAGAGCACCCATCGCGATCGGGAGAAGGAACGCGACCGAGAACGCTCCCGAGGCACCGAGAAACATCGCGAAGAACTCACACGCTCCAGGGGTAAGTTGTGAAAAAACCTATCCAAAATGACCAACTCTTCACCCAAAGGATCCAAACGAGTGAAAGGATAATCCGGTTAAAATGATCGTGTCTCTTGCAGAACTTCTTGTTTTGGGCTTGCTCATTATGGGTGCCACACAGCCGCAGAGGCTGAGCAAACGTTATAGGTTCGCCATATGAGTTTCAGTTGCGATCAGTTAACACTTAAATAACACAGTTGAACACACAAAATTACACACTTGAACACAAAAAACACTCCGATCAAATGATTTAAGCAGAAGAACTACGATTAGCCTTCCAAGGCCCACATTTGATTTGTTCAATATCTTGTCAGTGAAAACCTATAGCGAAAAGAAAGATTACTTTTCAACAACTTAATCCTCCGGATTTATTTATTATTCACTTTTTATTTTGCACCTTGTCACACGCACACAGTAGATTCACACAGTTAACATTTAAAAAGATAAAACACAAATACAATTCAAGTTACTAAGTAAAACAAGCATTTAATATATTGATTTTGAAAAATGTTTTTGCAATTTCACAAACTTTTTGATTTTTTTTGTAGGAAATTTAGTTCTGATCACCATACGAATTCAAAACTATAGAATTGTAACTAGTTTTATTTCAAAAATCTTCTTAAAATAGAATGTGACATTCTTTTTTTCATAATTATAAGATCCATATTTAAGCTCATGAAAATTAATTGCACGTACATTTTAATTGGTTATATCAACTTTTAATATAATTGAAATTAAAATGCAATCTAAAAGCCCTTAATACTATACTTTTACTAAGAAAATTCTACCATTAGCACAATTGAGAATGTATTCAAGTTGAAACTATTAATTATCCTTGACATCCCGCTACAGGTCACTCCAGTCGCTCTAGGCACAGTGAGCACCCGTCGACGGGAACGCGGGAGAGCAGTCGGCCAAGTAAGACGAGATCGAGTCGCAGTAGCCACGACACCACAACATCGCACAAAAAGTCCACAACGACAGCCACGAGCACAACGGCAACAGCCGGTTCGAAATCATCGAAAACCACAACGCATAAGCCATCAGCCAGCACCACAGCAACAACAGCACCACCCACGCACAACGAACTGACGTACGTATACGTAACGAATTTAGCCCATAATCAAACCATCGAGGAGACCCCCGAGGATCGCCCTGCTAGAGAAGATTCTGCCAAAGAGGCAGACTACGCAAGCATCGACGAGGTGGAGGTGTCGAAAGTCCCACAGCCACCGCCGCGTAGCAAACGCAAGAGATCTATGATCCCAGTGCCCGTAAATCAGCCGGCCAGCTATGAGTACCGCACCAAGTTACAGATGATCCCGCCCAGCTATTCGAATCAGTCCACGCTGAGGTGCAGGAAACCCTCGCTAAAGGCCACCCAATCGACCAGCTCGAGCTTTGCCTTTCTGCCATATTTGCCAGCTAAGAGGAATTCGAGTGTTAGCCATGTTTATGATAACTATCTGCTGTATGCCATGAGTGAAGATCCGGGAAAGGCGGACAAGCTAAAGCCATATCAAAACAATCTGAGCAATGAGCATGCCCAGCTTTTTGGCAGCTTTGGCAGCGGTGCGGGGGCGGTGGCCAGAGAGGGGCGTGGCCGCCTGGGCGGCTGGCCAAAGCGGCTGAAAATGCGCCAAGTGCGCAGCACCGTTTCCACCCACCAGCCCTTCGGCATCTGCACATGTTCATAGTCAGCGCGGGATAGAAAAAAAAAATACAAACCAAAAAATCAAAAAATCAGAATAAATATATAGTCCTTTGGCTGCCAGGATCTCGTCACAAAAATATATAAACACACCCAAAATAATACCCAATGCACGTATACGTTTGACACCATTGCCGGCAAACAGCGAACTGCATTTTCCTAACCCAAAACAAAACAAAACAAAACCACCCAACCACTGTGTTCCCCACTACTAATACTAAACCCCAAAAATAATACTCAAGCGTGAGAGATTTTCGTTGTTAATTTTCAATTATTATTTATTTCGGAGCGCACACAATCAAAAACTCGGCCAAAGCACACACTCGCACAAAATGAAAAAGGGCCTGTCTGGGTTCAGTTTTTACTTTTCACAGCGTAAGCGATTTTTCCAAATTTCGTTTTCTTCTTTAACCCCCAGTATTGCATGTTGGGTTTACGAAAATTGGTTTGGATATAGGTATAACTGATTTCATTTAATTTCGCAAGCAATCAAATTGTAGCAATTAATATAGACTTTTATTTCATTAGAATTGAAACTCAACTAATACACTTATTTAAATATTTTAACAACCTAATTCTCTATCTATTCAATTGACCTCGCATGTTTGACGACTATTAATAAACTTACCCCACGTAAATTTCTAACCTCATGCACACTCCGCTCTATCAGTAGAATAAAGTTTAAAAACTGACTATGAACATGTTGCTGGAAACCAGAAACAAAAATATAAATTCAACCGAAATCATCAATGAAATTGGAATTAAACAAACAACGAAACACAACATTTTAAGCAGCCTTGCTCTATTCTATTTCTCTTTAGCAACTGGAACTACGTAGTTGAAGTAGCAATTTGGATTATCATAAGAAAAACAACCAAACAGTAGAAAGACTATTAAAAAAATACATTAATCTTTGGATGGGAATAACAAGGCTAATCGGTTACTTTCTGTTTCCCCAGACACGGTAAAGGCACACTGAATGGACACCACCATCATCAGCACCAGCACAGCAGCAGCGGCAAGCATCAAGGATCCGGACATGGTCATCGGGAGCAGCAGCCACATCATTTGCATAGTCTGACCACTTCGTCGATTGCCGCCAGCAGACATCAACGCGATCGCCACGGCAAGGACAGGAAATAGTTGTGGGCAAACTGCAGCGAGGAAGCAACGAACTACTAATGAAATGAAAGACACCTAATTTAAATGACATATATTTACATTTGTAATATGTACGTACTAACACCCAAACGAGCGACCAACCAACCCATTTCGATGAGACTTTCTTTTGGTAATTTGCGAAATTTTCTGGCATTGTGAAAAAATTTCAAACAAATTACTCGAGGTTGATGGGACCCAAAACTAACCGATTGACTAACATTCGATATTGCAAAATGTGACTTTGAAAATGTTCCAGCTCCCAGTTCCTGATCGCATTTCCACACATTTTCCCACTCCCAATCACACACATAAGCGCTTTGGCATTGCACTCAAAATTCAAGTATTAAAATTATGCCAGCAGTTCCCCAAAATGAAACTAAAAACTAAACATATAAAATAACAAATGATACTCATATATATTCTTCGATAGCATTTAGTATACGACAAGCAAACATGAATGAAAATAAATATAATATATTTTTCAATTATAATTATTGTGTGATGATTAAGTGGGAAGGATCAAACATTTTAGCTCTCTAAAATATTTTAAATAAACTGAATTCAGGTACAACAATTTAGGAACGAAGATCAAAATCAAATATTTAATTGTTCATAGACCCTTTAATTAAAAAGCAATTTAAAAGCATTCAAAATATAACAACAACTTTAAAAATATGGTAAAATCGCCAAAAACTATGTGGTTTTAACTGTCAATTTGAATTCAAAGTGCATAAATAAAATAGTTAGACAATCTAGGTAAACTAAAGACAGTCGGTCGATGTAGTGATAAAACAATGTCGAAGTTCTTTTTCGCAGACCCGTGCTAACTCTGTGAAAAGCTTTTTCGCAGCTTTTCAGCCAAGTATTTCATTATATATATTTTACTTTTTATCACTAAACTCACACAGACCAACGCGGTGATAGGTAGTAAAGCTTATGGGTGCTTGTTATGACAATAATCCTCTGCGAGCGTTCCGGTAAATTGAAGCGGCTCTCAGTTGTTGTCCAACTGCCGTCACGTCCAACTAAAATCGACCACTTTCTGTGCCGTGAGTAAAATGTAAGAAAACTGATAAAAAAAAAGCAACAAACCAGTCAACTTCCACTGCAATATCTTTTGGCGGGGCCTCTGATAAGAAAATTGTTTACATAAAAACAAAAATGAGAGCAGCATATTTTGGAAATACACTTCAAAATCTCCACATCGCTATGTATTTCAGCGTTAAAAGTGATTTAAGACACCTGCTGTGATACATAAATGAGTCATCGATCTGATAGGCAGATAAAACACTAATCTGCATTATCAGACCAAAAAATATCGAAAGAAAAACGTATAGAGTATGTGTCTTCCATCAAGTTTAATTGTGGTAACACCTGTGTTGATAACTGTCTAGAATTATTTCGTTAAATGAGTCACACGAATGTTTGGCACAAAGTTCAAGCCTTCTTACTTACTAATTGCCCTACTTTGGATAGTCAAATCAAAATTGTTATAAGCTTACTAATTTATAATAATAAATAAAGTGCATTTGAATAACCACAGTAAAGGCATTATATTAACAATTTTATTAATGCGAATGGAAGCTTATAACTTAAGTCCTACACTGATAAAAATAGTAAAAACAAAAATATCTGACTATTGAATGCAACATTTTATATTTATGTGGAAAATATTAGATTTTGTAATTGATTTAAATGCATTTTATTTAAGTTTAGTAAGGTTTAAGATATCAAGATACTTTGTTTTTTAATCCAGTGTAGTATATATTGGAACATTTTGTTTGGTTGGTTTAATTTGACATGCTTATAAAAAATAAACACCCACATTCCGTGGCATGTAAGCTTTTCTCAATGAGCTTCTAAATTGCTATAAGCATACACTTAACAACAAAATAAATTTTAAAAATTCAAATTTCACTTTTATTTGTATTTTGTTTTTAGTTATAAAATAAATACCAAACTTCTATCCTATTCTAGCGTATCTTATCGTTTTTTGAGCATTTGGCTTATCTTGTCTGAATTGGCGGTCTAGGCAACACCAGCGCATACGAAACACAGCAGGTAGTTGACCACCTTCAGCTTAAACAAAAGCAATTTGCCATATCATTTACTGATAAGTAAATATATATATAGTTTTTCACTGATTAGAAGTGAAACCTCCATTTGTGTCTAAGTTTGGACTGCTGCACACTTTAATTAACTTTCGCAATCGATTCGCAACGGTTGTGTATCATTTTCTGCTTGTCCAAGAAGTTAGTCTAGCTTTCTTTAGTCCAATGTTTAGACACAAATATTTTATAATAACCTTTGATATTCCTGACTTTACAGAGCTTAAACTTAATTAGACAAGATGTCGCTTCTAACCGGCAGCGCGAATGCGGTGAAATACACGCTATTTGGATTTAACTTGATCTTTTTGGTAAGTAAATGACATAGTTTTGTTTGGATGAGTCACCAGTAGCAGCCTACTGATAGACAACATGTGAAGATTAGATTAGCCAACGATTGATGGTCATTTTCTACGGGGAATTACCTTGATCAATTTCATATAATTAAATATTTATTTTACATTTCCATATAGACTTTGATGAATATTTAATTGAACTTTTAAAGAAAATTTTGTTATTTATTACTAATTCAGCTCTCCTGTTCTAGCTCCAGATACAACACTAAAAAAATTAAATTAAAAAAAAAAAAAATTTGAATAAAATAATACATATTTTAATAACAATAATTTTTGACATTAATTAAAATTTTTTCTTACTTTTTGTTAAATTTTAATGAATTTACAGAAAATAGGCTTTGGATTTAATTTTAAATATTAAAATTATTAATTTTTAAATATTAATGTTGTTCTCATATTTTCATTTATTAAACTCCAGTATTATGTTATGTTAAAGATTATAGAATAATGTAGGTATTTGCTACATTCCATCTCAAGAACGTCATTAATTTAAACAAAACCAACGTCTGAAAAACCTAAAAAATCACTATCTTATCATATTTGCTAGCAACTGTCACCATAAAATACGAATTTATTTTATAGGTTTTAATGGATCAGTGTAGAAAAAGATTCGTGGAAATAGTTTGTCAATTTTGTAAATATATCAAAAGCAAATTATAATTATTTAGGAGATTCGGAGAATTGTTATTATCAGTTGTTAATATTGATCACAAAACTTCTCCAACCAGATCACTGGCATTATTCTGATCGCCGTTGGAGCCGGCGTTGGTGCGGTCTATACCGGCTATGAGCTCTTCCTGGCCGCCAAGTTCTTCTCGATCCCCACGTTCCTGATCGTGATCGGTTCCTTCATCATCTTGATCTCGTTCTTCGGCTGCTGGGGTGCCCTGAAGGAGAATTACTGCCTGGTGCTCGGCTTCTCGATTATGCTGGCCATCATCTTCATTCTCGAGCTGGCTGCTGGCATTAGTGGCTATGTGCTGCGCAACGACGCCTCCAAGTTGATCAGCACTTCGCTGACCAACTCTCTGAAGGAGTACAATACCTTCAATCAGAATCCGACCACCCGTCTCTGGGACGATGTGCAGCGGCATTTCGAGTGCTGCGGTGTGAACAAGTACGAGGACTGGAGTGTGACCTATCCGAACCAGTCGCTGCCCATCTCGTGCTGCTCCATTCCGGTGGGTGCGGCGGGCACCTTCAACTGCTTCGCCAACACCAGCAGTGTGGATGACCGCCACAAAAATGGCTGCCTCGATGGCTTCTCCAACTACATTGCCGCCCATGCGGTCAGCTTGGGAGCAGCGGGCGTGGTCATCGCCATCCTGCAGGTGAGTTGACCCGAGCTGCAGACGCACCTCATGGCTTCTCTCGATCGAATTTGATTTAAAACCTTATATTTAAACCAAATAATGGGTCTTTACAAATATTGGTACATATTTATTTACCATTTTTGTAAAGCCTCTCATTTCTGAATAGATGATAAAACATGTCAGGTTTTTCTGATTTTGCATCCACAAAAACAAAAGTTAAAATTTAAAAAAATTTTAAAGCTTTATGAATTATCACCCAATAGAAATCCTACATTATATATTTTAATAACTATTCAAAAAAAAAGTTTGAAAATGTTCCTAAAATTATATGGGTTTTAGTCAATTTATGAAATTTGTTTGTTTTCTTTTTTTGTTGCCATTTCAGCTAATTGACAATCAAATCTGATCACAAATACCGAAGTCTTAAATTAGAATGTCTCAATAGACCTTAAGTTCTTATTTATAATGTTTTTATTTACATTTTTAATATTTGGGCAACGAATGTTATTTATTATTGATTCATTTGGGTTTGAATATGTATATTTTAAACAAACCTTTTTGATTTAACGCAATTATTCATATTGAAAACCTCTTCATCCAGTTCATACTATTACCAAACTAATTGTATATTTCCTCATTTTCTTTCCAGTTCTTTGGTGTACTCTTTGCCTGTTATATTGCACGTGAGATCAAGATCCGTAACGGAATTACTGGTTTTATCTAAGTCCAGAAAAACTCGATTCTTTGAGTTTCGGAACAGGTGCTGGAGGAGCCGAATCCCGCTATTTAATTATAAGACATTCCTAAATTCATTGGATGTTTTTTGCTTAATATTCACTTTTTCTTCTGATTATATTAATAAACATACACATTTATAAACAAACTGTACTTTTGTCAAGTATTCAAACTAATTTATATGGGTTTGGATTCCTTTATTTCTTAAGCTATTGCAAGTCAAATTGGTTGATATTGGTCGGATTTAGAAATCCAATCTTATCGTTCTTATCTTAGTGGTATTAGGTTCTATTTGAAATGCATTGTTCATTATCACATCAACACTCGTGCCCACACATTACCTTAGAAATAATAAGTGTTTTTTTCTAAGAGTTTCATACTTTTCATATCACATTTTTTGTTAGCACAGTCATAATACGAATTTTTCATGAGTCTCTGAAACCATTGGTTTTTAAATACAAAAATATCTACCACGATAAACAATCCAAACACACTAATGTACATAATGTGCAAAGTAATGGCAATTATGGATAACAACGATCTTACAATTTATCACATTAAATATTGTTATTATTAATACAAAGTTTTTCAACACATTTTTGTTGTATTTATTAAACTAATAAACGCTTACGTGGTTAGTAATAAACATCCAATAAAATCTGTACAAAAGTGGAAATTATCATATACGATGTATTTATTTATTGTCTGGGGCACACTGTTAACACGTTCAACATTTTTAAAACTACGTTTGGAGTCAAACTTGCATATCAATCGTATAGTGAAAAGGGTACTTTGAATTCGCTGAAAAGTATGTAAAGCGCTTCCGACCCTAAAAAGTATATATAAATGCTTGATCAAGAACAATAGCCGAGTCGATCTAGACATTTCAGTCTGTCTACTCACTACGAGTCATCGTTCAGTCAGTTATAAAGATTTCTTCTTGTCTAAAAATACAACAAAAACAACTAAATTTCGATAGAGAAGACAAATTAAAAACCCGTATTATTTTTAGGAAACATTATTAGCATCAAAAATAACTGAGAATAACAGTCTTAATTTTATGAGGACCCGTATAAGCCATGCTTAGTTCGAAAAAAACCCAGTCAGAACAAATAAAACTATTATTTCCCACCCAAGTCAGACAACGAGCCAACACACTTATGAACTGGAACACCTGTGTTTGCCTGTGAATAATTAAAGCTATTCGGAAGTGCAGTGCGAATAAGAAATCGATAAGTCATAAGCTTGACTCACTTAAAACTGAAAATAAATCGATATTATACTCGATTGAGGCTAACGGCATTGACATGTGAACTTGACCAGTAAAATATATGTTAAAGTTGGGGGAGTGAAGACATTCAGTGGGATAGGTAGTTAATTGCAGTTAGTTAGATATTTTCAAAACCGCACTGAATGTTCAATCGTGTCGCTTCAATATTCGATTACAGAAATTCCGTCATATTGCGAAAACTCGCCTAATGAAAACAAGAAAATCATTATCTTATCTGCTATTTGTCTAACTGGAAGACCACGAACAATTACTGCCTGATAAGCGTCGCTTGGAAAGCTGAGTGTGGAAGTTCCAGCTGCACTGAAAGAAATACAAGAAATTTCCAAAAAACATTTTAAATTTGTTTATGTAAAAGTAAACAAAACGAACAAGTAATAGGAGTATGATTAAAGACTAAGCCCAGTTTTCTCTAATATGCAGATTGGATCTTTAATACAATAACATTTAAGTAAAAACTATGTTTTTCTAAAAAAAAAAATCAATATCCCTGGATAATATAAAAGAAAATTCAAAAAGAAATGGTGACTAATGGCTTCACAAGTTTGAATGGAAGAAAAACTTAATAAAAATGATTTAATTGATGGAACATCCTTAAAGAGCAAAACAAAATATTATAAAGCCCTTTTGCGAATAAAATTTTCGCGCAGTGTATGAGCGAGTGGGTGGGAGTGGGTGGCAAGGCCAGGCGGCACCTGCCGGAGCGTGGGAGAGAGCGAGACCGACTCGCAGTTGAGCTCGTCGATTGCGTTTACCGTTTTGCCACTCAGTTCACGTGTGACTAGCAAAAGTTAAAGTACGTTCACTGCCGACTCGGTCGGCGACAAATTATAGCGAGCGATATATACTATATACTGTATATCGGAATCGGCCTGTTAATAACACTTTTACAAATTGCTTCTTACAACCGACCGAAAATCCGAACAGCACAATGAATCGGGAATTACAATTGAACTCGGGCATGAAGTGCGCCAAATACATGCTCATCATAGTGAGCTTTATGTTTGCGGTGAGTCGATCCTGGAGCCTAATCCTTTATTTATTCGATCCATGAATCACAATTCCGCCATTTTGATTTATTTCCATTTTTCTGCGCGTTCTTTTTTTATGATATGGCACACCTATTCTTATCAACCATTAAGAAATGCGTGTGTGTTGGTATAGTTCTTTTTTTTTTTGTGAATCATTTTTCTCCTACGTAAGTAGGTGATAAAAAAAAATAAATGAGAGCAGACTGGAAAATCGGAGAGAAAGAGAAACGGTTCAAGAGCAAGCAAAATGTTCTCTTTTATACTGGTAGCTTTTAAAAACAAATATCAACAAGATCAAAAACAATTGTTAGAGACATCCGAAATATTGTTGATAAAATAGATAGAAAAATTTCAACGAATAACATTTATTGCTGAACAATGAACAATTTAATAAAATTCAAATTTTTACAAATCTGATAAAGATTTTTGCCGAACAATTTATTGTTTGAAATCTGTTTTTGATGGCTCCTAACATTATAGCTTTTCTGCCAACGTTTTCATTTAATTGTCAGCCAATATTTCACCATTCTTATAATATCTCTGTTGCCATAAAACTGTATAACAATTACTCATTTTGATAAGATAACAAGACAGAAATACATTTCGATGTGTTGGAAAAAATGTACGAGTGCATAAGTATAACCGGAACCAGAAAATAAATTCTTCTCTCAACTTCTCATACTCGTAATTTTAACGTTGTTGATCAACAATTTCAAATATTTACAAACTTGTTTTAAAACAAAAAACACTTTACACTTGTTAACAAACGTATAAATGAGTAGTTAAAGCAAACAGGGTTTTAAAAATTAACAAATAAAATTACGAAAAAAATAAAAAATATTAATAGAGTTTTACTTATACTGTGAACTATGTTAAGTATAATCTGTAAGTGACTTTAATTATATTTATTTTATTACAAATATACAAATATATACAAATCTTATGACATTTTAACTTTCCATAAAGGGGTATATTAAAGCTTTACATTTCAAAAGCATTATTTAAAAAATCACAGGTGTTTGGCAATGCTAGATATTTCGGAGTGGGTTATTAGCTGATCGACATAATAATAGATACAAAGCCTAACTGAGTGCATCACCATACCATCACGTAACCACTGCGTTTCATGTGCTCACAAAGTCACACTAAAAATCTCACCTCAAATTAGATCTGACATGCAATTTGCAATGATTTTGTACAATGGTTTCCCTTTTCCCGCAGCTGACCGCCATCCTCCTTATAATGGTGGGAACTACGATCCAGACGATCTTCGGCGACTTCAGTCTGTTTATCGATGGTCACTTCATGGATCCTCCGGTACTGCTCGTCGCCATTGGAACCGTTCTGATCGCAGTGGCCACTCTGGGAGCTTATGGCGCCGTCAAGGAGAGTGTGATGGTCATTAATCTGGTAAGTCAATTACTTCAAATAAAGTTGAAAGGTAGATTAAATCTAAGAAACATGGATATAATGGACTTCCTTATCATATCAATTCACCATCTGTGTAAGGCATATTTAGCTACAAAACCAATTAATTTAATAAATATATTTAAAACTGAATTTTTTCTTATCTGTGTATATTGATTTATAAGTCATTTGCCATATAGAAAATCCAAATTCATCTATGTGGCACATGACTTATAGCATTCTGTAACTTTATAAATACCTTGTATTAAAACATCAATTGTTTCTCTGAGTGAATTTCGAGTTCGTTACCTGGATTACCTATTTAAGGAACCTGCTATACCATTTACACTTTAGTCATCAAAGAAACTTGAAACTATATTCACAGCTTTAAATTGTGATGCCACAAACTGACTTACTAATTTCATTCTTCTAGCAATGAACTCATCCTAATGAGTCTGAACAAGAAAATAGTTTATCCTTCGATTTGGGGGCCTTTTTGAGAACTTCAATTTTGTTCAATATAAAAATAGAATAATACTCTTTATATGATTTTAGTACGGAGTGTGCCTGTTCCTGGTGTTCATTCTGGAGGTTTCTGCCGCCATCGCCGCCTTCATGATGCAGTCGCAAGTGAGGGAAATGTTGGTTCGTACAATGCACCAGGCCCTGGAGCAATACGACCACGATCCCAAAGTGAAAGCTGGAGTGGACTTTATGCAAACCGGGGTACGTTAAATCTATAAGATAAAGCTTTTCTATGAAATCAATTAAATACTAGATTTAATTTACATCAATTTTGAACATACATGTTCCAAAAATAGTTAGAAATGTTTACATTTGAATTATAAATTAATTGCCATTTAAATGATTTTTATTTTAATTCGAATAAGAACAAATATTTGAAATTACTTACACATTTACCAAAATATAATTTTAAAGTTTCTTTTCCGGGTGGTCGAAATCCTTTTCATTCACATAACAAGTTTGGCTTGAAAGATTTTGTAGCTTTTATTAAATATAAATAAAGAAAAATTATTTAATTCCCTGGCTTACAGCTTGAGTGCTGCGGAGTTGACCAGCCGGAGGACTGGAAGGAGTACTTCGCGCCCAACAAGAACTCCACCCTCGGCTCCGACGACGTGGTGGTGCCCAACTCCTGCTGCGGCAAGATAGACAGGAGCTTCACATTCGCCGAGGAGGTGACCTGCCAGGAGACTTTCGACTACGGCTGCTTCCGCAAGATGAACTTCATCGTGTCGCAGAGTGCCATGCTGATTGCCACCGGAGCCACCACGGTGGCCTTCGTCCAGCTGCTGGGCGTCCTCTGTGCCTTCATGCTGGCCAAGACGCTGCGCCGGAACAAGTCGATCCGCGAGGCACGCCGCTGGCAGCTGCAACAGAGCCTCGGCGTCCTCATCTCCGGCGGCAAGATGGCCCCGCCCCAGAACTCGGCGGTGACTGGCTACCAGCAGCTGGACAATGGCGACACCTACACGCCCCAGAGCCCCAGTGTTAACTAGGCTTTGCCATTGCGATGAAGGCCATAAATTTATACCGTATAGCACACCCCAAAAAGATCCCTTTGTACATGTAACTTTTGAAATTGTTAACTAAAAACATAGTTGAACGAAATAAACGCGGTGGTCCTAGGACCACTTGCTGAAATAATTGGTCAGTCAATTGGGTAAGGGATTCAATTAACAAAACAGTAAGAGTGCGAAAAATATCGTGATTAAAAATATGTCTTAAATAGACGTTCTATTTGAACAACTCTTTGTTAGCAATTGTACAATTAAAGGCAAAGATACTAGCCATTGTGTTTTTTTTTTATTTCTTCAACTTAACTTCCAAGCCTTTAAAACACTTGTATACTTAACAATTCATTTAAGTGTGTTTAATTATTAAATTTATATATTTCCATTCTAATTATCAAATTAAGTTTTAAATACTTAGCTTCTTAAATATAAGTGCTTGAACTAAGTTCAAATTTGACTACTCCTTATCTGGCCTGTTTTTACTTAGCCAATAAAAAATCTAAGTATAGGAACATTATGGTTTTTATGTCAAAGCTTAATGTGTAGACAGTTGATACGGCAACTTACAATACCATGTGAGAATCGACTCTGTGAGAGGAAAACAGTTTTGTATTTTTAAACACAAATTTTTGTTTCTTATACTCGAAATTCTAAAAGAAAAGGTCCCACATGCAATGAAAGAAATAAACAAGTTCCTCCGAATCTTTATATTTATTGAAGGGATATTAGTTATTTTTTGGGTGTATATGTATATTACAATGTCTCAATAGCAATTAGATAAATTGATCTTATAGGGTTTTCGATTCAGTGCTTATTCTATCTATCATCGATTTGAAAGTTGTTTGACACGGCATCCAAAAAACTTGATTTTGGCGATAATCTTATGAACACCGTAGACGTATAAAACTATATCACAATAACTTATTAACTCTTGATACTTTCAGTGCTGCTTATCAGCTTAAAAGTCTACAAAATATTTTAAAAATCTCCTGGGATTTTCTTTCGAGTGCAAACTCAACATAATGGTATGCCGATTACGTTCACCATTTCAGTTCACTCGAGGCAAGCAAAACTTAAAGTATGTTTAAATTCTGAGTGCGGGTCCGATCAATTAATGAAATACTTTCGAGTTAAAATTCAACTTTTTGAGAAACAACTATAAAAAAAAAAAATATTGAGAAAGTAATTTTTGGCTTGTGAAATAATGTTATTTGGCTATTTAAAGCCATTAAAACTAATTACCCATAGAAATTTAGAACATATGTTAATTTTAGATATTTTTTATTATTTTTCCAAGAATAAGTGTCAAGTGCTTAATGCGAGAAGTTATTATCTTTTTTATATGCGTGTAACTACATTGCATCTGGCTAAATAAGGATTACAATAATGGCGAATCAAGAGTACAGAATAAATTGCATAAAATACGCGCTTTTGATTGTAAGCATTTTGTTTAAGGTGAGTTGGTCCTGGAAATATAATTATTTATTAATTTAATCAAAGGATTTAAAATGAGCCATTTAAATTGGCTTTGTTTCTGAGCATTTGTAGTTCCTGTTCTTATTAGTTTTTTGAGCATAAGAACGAGAACAAGAAGAGAGATTACCTTATACAATTTGCATTTTTTAAATATCTGCCTTAAATAAATAATACAAATAACATTAAAATAAAAAAAAAATGTAGTACATTTAAATAAATTTGTTGACCATGTTTCTCTTTTTCCATAGCTGACTGGAGTTTTTCTAATAGGGTTGGGAACCGTTCTCCTTGGAAGTTTCCAAAGTATTAAACACCTCCACCTGTTCGTCGATGTACACTTATCAACTCCACCGGCGTTTCTCATCGCCATTGGATTTTTTATCATCGCAGTGGCCACTTTGGGAACTGTTGGATCCCTCAAGGAGAGTGTGATGTTAATTAACTTGGTAAGTGGAATTTTAGTAAAAATACATTGGTTCAACATATAAGCATGAAAAATGTATGAGCACTGCATTAATTTTGTTTTTAAAAATGTATTATTTCATGGCTGTAAAAATAACATTAACTTATAACCATTCTATAGTAGTTTATCAACTTTTTTGCAACTTTAAAATATATTTGTTAAAATTATATTTTTTTGAGAGAACGATTATTAAATAATTTTCATCTCTTTTGCAGTTTGGGCTATGCCTGTTGCTGGTTTTAATCTTAGAAATATCACTAGCCATTACAGCTCAAGCGTCATATTCGAAGGAGAAAACCTTTGACACAATGAACGAGGCTCTTGCAAAATATGGCAATGATCACTATGTGACACAAGAACTAAATCATTTGCAATCTGAAGTAATTTTGATCAAATCGAAATGTTTTCGAAAATTAAAAATAAACGTAATTTACAGTTTAATTGCTGCGGAGTGAAAAATCATACAGATTGGGAGGAGCATTTAGGCAACGGAAACTATCACATTGAACGGGATGCCAAGGTGGTGCCAAATTCCTGCTGCCACCATCAAGAGACGAAACATGTGAGAAACGACACCCATTTGGTCTGCCAAAAACCTTTCAAAAACGGCTGCTTCGACGAGGTTCACTCCAGGGTATCGAAGAGTTTCACTTGGATTACCATCGGAGTCACTATCGAGGCCTTTTTCCAGGCGATGGGCATGGTGTGTGCCTTTTTGTTGGCCAAAATGCTGCGCTGGAACAAGTCCTTGCGGCTGGCTTATCGCGTCAACTTATTGAATGAATTTAATACTGGCGAGTAATTTGTAATAAAGTGTTTACATAAAATTTTTAATTTGATAACCAAAGTACAACACAAATAAAATGGCAGTTCCTAGGACTGTTTGCGCAAGTTCTTGACGTAATTCTTGAGTAACCGCAGCTGCTCCACAATGCTGCTACTTGCGGTGCCACCGATCGCATTGTACTGCTGCACATTGTTGGCGTAGTCCGCCACACCGACGATGTCCGATCCAAAGACCGGACTAAAGGCCTGCAGATCGCCCAGCGGCAAATCGGTAATGTCCACGCCTCGACTTTCGGCCTCCGAAACCACGCGACCGATAATGTGGTGCGCCTGACGGAAGGGAATCCCCTTCTTCACTAGGTAGTAGGCCTAAAAATAAAAGGCAATTTTCAATTATGTGTTTCGTATTTGAATTCCATTAGATTTTGTATATTTGATTTACCTATTATTTTACATTTCTCAAAAAGATTCAATTCTGATTATGCTACGTCAAAAATTGATTTGGAACTGATAATTCCACTTTTAGACTACAATAAATTAAAATTAAATATGTTCTACTTTCAGACTGCCATAAATAAAATTTCATTTTATTAAGAAACTAAAACTATACAGTTTTTTTTTCATAAAATATTGTGGTATCTATACCAGTAATAATTTCTCAATAAAATATAAGTTAGATTTGGTTGCAAGCTGCAAAATTTCTATAACTTTTCTCAGTTTTAGTTTACATTGAAAAGAAGAAAGGGCAACAATTTTTTTTTTTTTATTTAATATTTACTTAAAACAAAACCTCTTGATAAGTTTGATTTTAAAATTCACTTGAAAAGAGTTTTGTTTTCAACAGTGGTAGAGAGAATTCATAATAGGTAATCCTTAATCAAATGGAGTCATCTTACCCAGTCAGTGGCCAACATGTCCGTGCTAAGGGCAGCCTCCATGGACTCCTGTTTCACCTGCATTGTCAGCAGGACGCCTTCGGTCACCTCCAGCACCTGGGACAGCTTGTCGAAGGACTGGAAGCAGTACTCCTTGTCGAACTGCAGGTCCTTGTTGTAGGTGGACGGGGTGCCCTTGATGGTCATCATGATGCCCGTCAGATTGGCAGTGATCACTCCGGCCATGCCGCGAATCAGTTCCAAGCTGTCCGGATTCCGTTTCTGGGGCATCAGGCTGCTTCCGCTGGAAAAGCCATCGGCCAGTCGGATGAAGTCGAACTCCTTGGTGCTGTAGATGATCAGATCCTCGGCCAAACGGGACAGATGCAGACTCACCAGGGAGCAGCAGTAGATAAAGTCAACTAAAAGAACAAGGTTTAAAATACTTTTTTTTATGTGTTATAATTTAGGAAAAATTTATAATTTAACTTTTATACTAATAAAATAAAATAAAATACACCACAAAGTATTTCTTGAAAAATACACTCAATGTAAATGGAAATATTTTTATCGCTTTATCTTGAAGAAGATGCAGCTACGCATACTTCATAGCCGACTCTATTTTTTTTATTGACATTTAAATTAATTTATTTAAATTAATTCTGTCCGTCTGTGTTGCAAACTTCTGACTAAAATTATAATACCCTCTGCAAGGGTATAAAAATAATAATAATAATATTTTTATACCTTTTTAAACATATACGCAAGTAAATAATTATTTTAATGTTTTTAAGATTATATAATTTTGCATTAGCTGCAAGGGTATATGAACTTCGGTTTGCCGAATTTTGCTTCCTTTCTTGTTTGCTTTGTAGATTATACGGTACTAGCGCTCTGTATCAGCGTCTCCCCGAAATAATCTAAATTTGAGCAGTACGCCGATAAGAAATCAATCAAGCCCAAGTTTCCAAGTTGCCATATCAATGACTTTGAAATGACTTAAGTGGGCGTTACTCTTCGAGGGACGACGACTCACCCACAAAATCGCGATCTCCAACGGCGTGCATGCTGTTTGCGGTGACGCCCGAGAATCCCAACCTTTCGGCCAGCCACAGGCGATCGATGCCGAGGGGATTCCCCGCCAGGGCGCCGCTGCCGAGGGGCAGGACATTGGCCCGATCCCGGAGCTCCATCAACCGCTGGCCATCCTCGCGCAGGGCGAAGGCATGGGAGAGCAGCCAGTGGGAAAACTGGACGACCTGGGCCCGCTGCAGATGGGTGTATCCGGGCATCAGGACACCCAGGTGGAGTTCCGCCTGTCGGGTGGCGGTCTCTATGATGCGACCAAGTTTTGCCAAAATCTCACGAACGGCCTTGCGAAGCCAAAGCTTCATGTCGGTGACCACCTGGTCGTTCCTACTCCTTCCCGTATGAAGCCGCTGGCCCAGCTCACCGGTGATCCCCACCAGCAGTCGCTCGTTGACCGTGTGCACATCCTCGTCGCCGGGCTGGAACTTCACCGATCCCTCGATCCAGTCGAATCGCAACAGCTCCAGATTCTTCACCAGCTTATCCGCCTCCGCTTCGTTCAGGTGACCTGCTCTGTGGAGTGCCTCGGCATACGCCTTGCTGGCATCCAGATCATCCGCATACAGGCGGGAATCGTAGGGCAGGCTATTGTTCAGCGACTGAAGTGCTTCGTTGGGCTTCTCGCTGAACCTACCGCCCCACAATTTGTAGGTGCTCTTGGGATTCTGGGACATGATGGATCCGATCCGCTTGGCGTAACAATTGGTTGACTACTGGGACTGCGTGCTCAGCAGTTCTATATTGTGCTCTTCGCTTTTTTATGTAATCGTGTTATCTTTTTGAAAATAATATGTGGCTCAGTTTTTCATATGAGTTGTAAATGATTAGGGCAAGTCAGAAATAAAGTGCTCTCCGCGGGAACAGTGGTTTAAGTTATTAAAAATAGCCAAAGCTAAGTAAGAGTGGCAACTTTAGTTCAAAATTAATCACTGCTAATTAGGCTAATCAACAAAAGAATATTTAACTATACATCTCATAATTTCTGAAGAAAAGAAAAATAAATTCAGGAGTAAATAAGTTTTTTTACAGAAAATAGTTTTTATTTTCGACTTTTACTTTTAAAAGAAAAATCGTATTTTGTTTGCAACCTGTCTGATTTTTAAAAGCTTTTGTGGGTTTTCTTTTTAAAATAAATCTCAAAATTTACAATAGTTTTTGCACTAATTTGAAGTGCAATTTAAAGTGAAAGAGTAAAAAATTACATTACATCATAGCTTTATAGCCACTGTGCCTTGCTCTCCCGTAAGCAATTTGATTTTTCTGCTTGCTGTTATTTGGATTTTTATTTTTAATTGACTTGGGCTAAAACAAAAAAAAAAAAACAAATAAACCTCCAGCGTCGTAGAGATATAGCCGCTTATCAGCCAAGATTAAAATCAGCAGAGCGTGTGTAGCCTCTAACGCTTCTTGCCGTACAAACTCCAGATAGTCTGGTTTTGATTGTTGCGATGATGACACCTCGCTTACGAGGAGAGATCCTCCAGAAAGAGCTTGTTTAATTCACAGCAGAGGCGATGCAAAGGCAGTCCCATCACACAGTAAAAGTCACCATCGATCCGGTGGATGAGAGCTCCTCCAGGTCCTTGAACGCCATAAGCTCCAGCTTTATCTCTGCATTGAATTCATTTAATTTAGTCTCAAATTATTTATTGTGAAATACAACAGCTTACAGAGGATGTCCTGTATCCACATAGCTTTGAATTTGTTCTGGCAGCAGATCACCAAAGTACACGTCCGCCGTGTCCGTAAACTTGCGAATTCCGTGGGCATGTTTCAAAACAACGCCGCTAAATACGCGATTCGAGGTTCCAGACAAACTAAAGGAATACAAAAAAAAATGTACGAGAAGGATAACTTAAAATAAGTAACACAAACTTAAAAAATAACAGTACAATTTTAAAGATGAACCGATTATTTCTAATAATATAATATGTGCATGAATAACATATTGTGATCGACCGGAGCAAATAAATTAATCTATTTTAAAACAGGTTTAATTTAGACAAATATCAAGAAACTATTAGAAAACTTTTTTTAACACTTAATGGACGTCAGCAATTTGAGAAATTGAACATTAAATTTTAAAAAATTACAATTTTGATCATTTTGTAACCTTAATAAAATCAGAAGCATTTTTTTTTTATATATTAAGAATGTAGCTAAGTGCAAGTGAATATATCTCTCCAACAATTTAAAAATATTTCTAAGGGACTAATTAGAAGAGAATTACGTAATTTCCAAAACATGTTTTTTATGTTATCCAAAATGGGGAATTCTTTCTCCAAATTCTATTAGATTACATTAATGTAAATAAAAAAAAGGTTGTAAGGTTGACGCCTAGTAATAACTACTTGGTCAGCATGCGAATGGCATCAGCAGGATCCTTTGGTTTTCCGTAGATCTCCTTTCCCAAGGTCACCATCGTATCCGCGGCTATGACAATTAAGTCCTTGGAATCGCCCGAGGCACTTAATCTGGAAAACACTTCCTCCGCTTTTCCCAGAGCAGTGGCCTCAATGTAATCCGAGAACTCCTTGAAATCCTCGTGGTTTAAATTCTCCTCAAATGTTGAGGGACACAGCTCTGCATTGAGGCCCTGAAATGGAAATATTGATTGGGGTATTTAAAAAACTTGCATTTCTATTACAACTCACCAGCATTTTGACCAGTTCTTGTCTTCTGGGAGACCCGCTGGCCAAAACAATGCGATAGTTTCCCAGTAAATGCTTAATTGGCGCCAACATTATAACTTATTTTATTTACAAACAAAAACATGTGTCTTGGAGGTTAGAGGTGGAGGACTTTTAAAAATATCGCTCTTTTCGATGTTTGCCAGGGATCATCGAAGTTTATCCATCTCTAACGATATACCCGTAATACTGTTACTGCACTGTTAACTTTTAAGTACAGTTCTGGCGCATTGCTGTTGGTTTTCACCTGAGTTCTTGCACACTCAACCTTCATTTCACGTCCACTCTCTGTAAAAATGCCTAAATTTTACTAAAATTCACTCAGTATTTAACACCACTCATGTAAAAAATGTTAACAAAAATTCTTAACATCTCTACATAGAGATGGAACAACACTCCATGTTAATTTGATTGCTGCAATTTTTTCCCGGTTCGTTCACAAGATATCGATATTTTTAGAACCGATTTTCCAATTTTAAATACATAATTAATTTGAAATTGGGCGGATAACCTTTTTTAAATACTAAAAACAGTTAATTTCTTTTGTATTACATTTGCTTTTTATTAATACACATTTAAATTTGTAGAAGATTAATATCTATAATACGAAATAATCTCAATCACAAAAGAGATATATAAGATTTACCTAGTCGACTTATAGTAAATATGCAAGTGGCTAACGGAAAACCGGAGTAGAAATCGTGAGTGCGCGCCCTATTAGTGATGACTTCATAATTGTACAACCTAGTCTTAATTACAAACTATAGTAACAAATCTAAATTAAAGCTAGGTTTGGTATTTTTACAAAAGGAACGAACCTGCAATAGAGCCCAAACGAAACCTTTCTCTGAGACGTGAAGGAAGTTCAACTAAATCAAAGGACCGGACGACATAAAATAGATTTATGTTAATGGAAATGGTAATGGCAATGCTACACTCAAAAACTTATTTTTCTGAAATATAGAAAAATGTTCCTTTTTCTATTTTCAATCTATAGAATGGCTTATAGTGATTCAATATGCGGGAGTACACAATTATTTATAAATATATACAAATGCTATCTATATACATTGAGAGTGTACCCAACTGTCTCTATTATTGTGTCTTTGTCTCGACGGATCTCTTAGAGACCCCATCGCTCGAACTCTCCGTTGGCTGCTCCTTGGGCACCGGCATCAGTTCGCCCACGGCCAACTTATTGGGCAGTGCATCGGGTGTGTTTATAATGCCATACGGTCGCAGATGGTAGATCAGATAGTCCAGCACATACATTTGATTGGGCGAGACGTAATGGAAGGATATGGCGTTGTCCGAGCAGCAGTCCAGGCCCTGAAATAAAATCAATAGATGATAAATCTGAATAACAAGATAATCAAGCGGACATTGACGGCTGATTTAATGATATTAGCATCTATACTTGCTTTTCAAAATAAACTGTATTGAAAAAGTTAGTTTTGGCGAATAAAGTGAATATAAGCTTGAGTTGATAGCTAAAATGTATTGGTTAATTTAAAAATAAAAATAAATTACAAAACTAAAAATATCTTAAAACCCACAAAAGGATGTAGATCATTAGGAATTGTAAATTGATTACACAAACGGTACAGGTACATGTCGACTCGATACTGATTGAATGGAATTCATCTTCCCTATGGAGGATAACTTAACTTCACTGATAAAAAAATGGAACAGTAATAATAAATATCTGACTATTGAATTTAAAATTGTATATTAAATATTGAAATTAAATTAAAATTAAATTATAATATTAAATGCAATGCATATTTATTAACTGACTTAATATTGAAAATACAAATTAATTTTGGAATTACAGGATATCAAAAAGTTCATATTCATTTAAATGCATTTTATTTCAATTAAATGGTTTAAAATTAAATTTAATTTTCAGATATTTAAATATAATCCGTAAAAAGCTCAAAGAAAAAAACAAACAATTTTTAACTATTTTCATATTTAAAATAGCTAAAAACCGCAATGGATGAATATCAAAGGGAAAATATTTAAAGGAAAATATTTAAATTGTAAAGAAAATATTTGGACTACCACTTTTTTTAGCCAGTGTCAAAACAGAAAATTGAAAAATTTTAAGCAGTTTAAACGGTGTTTGAGTTAATCAGTTTTGTTGAAACTATTTTTTAAAATTATAAACCTTGGCCTTTAATTGGTGAAATCGCTTAAAAAAAAAGCTTTTAATAATTATTGTTAACCTCTTGTTGAACAAATTCATTCAAAAAACTCTTTAAATCCTGTGCTCTTTGCTTCCATCAACTGTGCGATCTCACCTCATCGGTCTTGTAGAAGATGTACTGCCAGTACCAGAACTTCTTGTCCGTGTGCGCCGGGATCAAATGGTGCTCCGGAACGAAGGGAAAGAAGCGACCTCGTCCGTTGGAGTCGCGGGAGTCGCCCGCCAGGACCTTGACATTCTGCAGGCACTTGCCAATCTCGACGTCCTCGGCCCCCGTGTTGTCCGCCTTGCACAGCTTGGGATTGGGCAGAGCTTCGACCACAAAGCGACGCACTGCCTCCCGACTGAGAACGTATCCGGCACCGCCGGACATGTAGCCCTGCTTCACATACGGCTTGAACTTGCAGCCAAAGTAGACAGGCGTGTCCGGACTGTACGGATAGAGCATGTAGCGCATGTTCTCCACTATCGTGTAGGTGTCGTCGTCGGCCTTCAGGAACCAGTCGGCATCGTTGATGTGGTGCTCGTAGATATACTTGTAGGCCTCCTTCGTCTTGCCCCACAGATTGTTGCGACCCTCGCCCACGGGCAGAGCCACCGCATCCAGTTCATCATCCTTGGCCGAACTCATGAAGATCAGCTTGTTGCACCGCTTGCCCCACGTCCTCTTCACGTGGCGCGCCTTCTTCTGGTGGTTGCTCGGATTGGTCATGATCCAGCAGAGCACGCGCACCTCGCTGTACAGCTTCTCCGCAATGGTCGAGTTCTCGTGGACGTGCTCATGGCCGCCCACATCCTGCTCCGGTCCCGACATCTCCATCATGTCGTGGCTGTGATGGGCATCGTTGACATCCCCGTGCCGGTGGCCATCGTACGGCATGAACTCGCTGCGTTCCGGCGCGGAGGAGTACACGAACAGCTCGGCCAGACAGAAGCCAACGACCAGGCCCACAATCAGGGACACAAACGATCGCTTATTCGAGCGTCCTGTGAACGAAAATATATATTTAAATACACTGTTGAAAATATTAGATTTAAAATAATTCCTATTTCATTTAAATACATTTTATTTCATATAAATTTAAATTAAAATTTAAACTTAATTATCATCAATCAATTCCGAAAATAGTTAAATTTAATTTAGTATATTTGAAAATCAAATATTTAAATTGAATACAAAATATTTGGATTTACTACGTTTTTTTTTTTACCAGTGTACATATACAAGAGGAATAACTAGCTTAGTAAAAATAATCTAAACACCAAAGAGTTACATTAACTATAATTCCTTTTAAACATATTTTTTAAAATTGGTAACCTATTAAAACTAAAACTAAAATTTAATAGTTACTACTGACATTGAGTTTATGGCCACGTGTACCTATATTAAGTTTATGATTTCTTTAATATTTTATTTCGTTAAAGGAAGTCTATAAATGTTTTATGAAATGTTGTTCATAACTCCTTGGGTATTATTATACATTTTTCTGATCACGGTTTAGTTTAATAAATATAAATATTATTAGGAAATATCAAAAAATACTGGATGTTTTTTATGATTATTTTTATGTTTCTTTATGGGCATTCTATTTATTATTGTTAAAATGTAACTATTAAATTTATGGACAATAAATAGAAAATAATTTCAATACAATATTGTAAAAAATTTGAAATTTGTGATTTTTAAAATTTGTGGGTAACATTCTCAGACAATTTTCGATAAATTTAGGAACTTCATATAAAATACTCATAAACCATATTTTCCCCCTGTTTGCAATACTTTTAGCTCGCATTTGATGAGTTTATTCGTGTAATTAAACGTATTCAATATTTAAACTAATAACTTGATAAGATAACAAAAAGCAAACAGACAATTTATTTATAATTTTACTCACCTTCATTGAGTAATGACCTTCCTAGCAGACTGTTGGCAGTCATTTGGCTTTAGTTTTGGGTGTACTGGTGTGGGGATATGAGGAACTTTCAGGGTGAGTGTCGGCAGAGCGCCGTTTTGAGGACTGGCAGCTTCTTTGGTTGCGTTTCTTCAGCTGGGAAATCCACCACGGTTTCGCCTTACATTTTCTGCAATGCAAACGAACAAATGCACACCTTTAGCCACGTGTTTCTTAAAAGTAAATCACAGCTGGAGTGCGCGATGCGTTTTCGGTTCGCATCTGCACTCGGCCATTAGTGTCAACTATCTGAGAACATTGAGCTGGTTCTGCTCGGTTTGGCTCGCCTGCGCCCGGTTTAGTCGAACTGTGTTAATCTCATGCAAAACGTGACAATTGCCTCTGGTCGGAGTTGCATTCTGCAACTGCTGGCGCGTTGCTGATAAATATTAATTTCTGAAATCATTTTAATTTTTCTTATTTGCTCATTTTTAACTTTGCACATGTCAGTGTGTGTTTTCCTCTTTTGGAGTATTTCCCTTCCGAGATAACTGCAATACTCTACGTTGGCTTTTTGGCATACGTAAACATATTTTGCTATTTTTGAATTTGTGTCATAAAACTAGCAGACAATATAGAGATTTGAAAACATAAGAATTTACCTATTTTGTTGCGAAGTGCCAATAGAAAAGCAATTACACTTTTGACACCGCAATAAAGATAATTTTTTCGCCATGGCTTTGCTTAAGTTTTACACATTTTTGTTTAGTTAGGAACGAGCCTAACGAATACTAAACCAATACAATATATTGTGTTGGTTGGTGTCGTTGAACTAAACACTCGTTTAGTGTTAGTTGCATAATTAATGTTAATTAATAAACTATATATTTAAATAAGTTTTGATTTTATTACTGATGATGAACCTAAAGCTTGTTTAAATATAATTATTTTGTCCATAAATCACAAATAATCACGAAAATAAGCTTTTAGTTCTAGAGTTAATTGGGAAGGTCATAAATCTTTTAAAACAAAAACTTTACATAATGACTAAAATAAATTGAATTAAACTTTAATAAGGTTCTCTCGTCTTTCAACTTGTCTTCCCAGCGTCACAATAGTTAGAACAATTAAATTTCCGATTTAGGTATGAATATCTCTTTGTTTGGTTTTGCTGCAGTCATTGTTTAGCATATCTTTTGTTTAGCACTCACTTAATGATTTTGTTTGCATCGACAAATAACAATATTGGTAATAATAATAGCAGGAGGATGCAAAACAGCTGCGACAACAGATTGGGCTTAAACAAATCAAACTTGGCTGCAGTTCTGAACCCGGACGAGTCGACACTTCGTTAATAAATGCAGCCCGACAACCAAAAAGCAGAGTTTTTTAAGCAATTTGCAGTTGCATTTTCCGCCGGTTCTCAGTTTTGTTCTCTTTTGTTTGTCGCAGTCTAGACTTATCAGTAAGGAAAACCAGGAAAAAAAGTGCCTTGCAAATGCATGTATGCATATAATGGCATAGGCATTTCAGTATTCAGTATTTCAGTATTTTTGGTGAATCACATGGATTGTTCATTATATCATGGACGTCCCTTATCATTCAGCAACTACTTAACGCTATCTGAAACCAATAATTACTCATTATCATTCATTTGCCTCAGAATGTTGAAAGTGCTAAGCGATAGCTTCAATGGTTTTTAATAAAATTTTGTGGGTCAAGTCTCGTCGGCATGATAAGTTGATCTATTGACTAACCTGTTCCGAGGAATTCCCTTATCAATGGAAACATACTCAAAGTTCCCCATGGTATATATGATATACTTTTAATAAGCCTTTTAAAGTTGTTCTATCAGTAGAACAATATGATCAGAGATTAATAATAACAAGGGTTTTTAATTGTTTGGGGAAAACAATTGGTGAATTTAATGTTTACAGTTTATCAAAAGAATTGACAATTCTTTTCATTTGGGTTTCTTTACTTTAATCTTTTTAAGGAAATATAATTTTTTAAGAGAATCATATCATATTTCTTTGTAGTTGCGCTCTTTTTTCCAGAGATCACTGTTTGTTCGAATGTCTAAAATATTGTAGACGTAATTTTTGTTTGATCAGCTGTTTGCTCCAGATCTAGATGTTTCAATTCAACTTTATTTTTCATTCGGAATTCAGTCACCAAAGGGTGAAGTGTGATAAAAAATGATGTCTTATATTCAGCTGCCTTGGTTATCCAGTAAAGGTTTGAAAATTGTAAACTACCTAAAACACGAGTTAAATCAAGTATTTCTTGTATTTCAGTGCCATTGAGCCAATTGATTTTAACAAGTTTTTTGTGTCTAATTGTGTTTTTCGGCCTGGCTAAACTCGTGTCCATTCCGCTGCGCATCGACGACTTTGATAGCTTCAGGTTGAACCCCACTCAGGATGTCCAATTAGCAGGTCAAGGATTTGGGAAATCTGTGCTAAACCACTGAATCCAGCAATCATGGAATAACCAGATCGCAAATTATTGTTGTGAGAATGCAATTCCAGCATGTCTGGGACCACAATGTTTACCCGGCTTGCTTGGCTAAATTGCAATTGTAATTGCAAATTAATTAAATTTAAGCATGAGCAACATGTCAGACCTCCAGCTCCGCTCCAATTCAATGTACAATTGCATTTAAACGCAATTTAACAGCATATTTGCTTATCATTGTAGGAGACTCATGAAAACCAACTGCATATTAGATGCCTGATTTGCGTGAAGAGGAACACTAACAAGAGTTCACGGATTCAAAGCAAATATTTTCTCTACTAATGTTCTAATTTTAGACCCATTGCCAACGTAAAACGTAAAACTATCCCATGCACTGCAGCTGTCAATTGAAAAATTAGTAGGTGAACAAAAAAGAAAATTATATAATGACATGTTGTTCAGAAACACGAATATATGAACGTGCCTATAATTCATCCCGTCCAGCAATCTATTTTATTGTTATACATATTTGCTATCTATTCTGGTTGTCTTTATTCATACAATTACGTTACCGTGTCGTTATCATTGAAAATGTTGTTTTAAAGGGTTCGTAAGATAACACTTGAGGTAGTAAGACTATATAACGCAAGCTTTAAATAAGGTAAAAACAAATAAAAAAGCCTTGAAAAGATAATACAAGCTTAGAAAAGTTTTGTCAGATTGTAAAACAAAAACTTGTCTCCAAGTCAAGGTGTTTAAGGCCGTGACATAAATTGTTTTATCTAAGATAACAGATAACATAAATCATAATCATAATATAAATCAACAAAACGCAAAAACATACATACTTTGATTAAACAAATGTTTAATTTGAATAAGATTTTTGTTATGCAGAGATGGACAATATACAAAGTATTTACACCTTTTTGCAATAAACTTTCAGTATACAAGAATGGAAGTTTGTCAAGTAAATGAATAATTATATGAATACTTTTAATTGAAATTAATTTTAACTACTTCATTAATTGTTTTTTATATGAAAACCCATTTTCCATTTCAGTAATGGACAATCAAACATATGTTAGTTGAAATACCGTTAAAATTAATTTACTATTATGTCATTCAGTAACAGAGTAGATTTTATTGCTGCCCTAAACTCACATTGGCGTGACTTTCAATTCATCGCACTCAAAAAAAAAAAAACGGAATACCAAACCAAAACCAGAAACCGAACCCCAATTGTTAAATTGTTTTGTTAGGCAGCTGTTCATCTGCGGTCAATAAAATCAGCCACGCTCTACGATCCCGCGTATATTTCAATGCAGATTCTGTTTTTATTTTTGAAGCCAGAATGCAAAGTACTTTATTCTACATGAATTTGCTCTATGGGTCTCGTTTTTTTTTAAATTCACTTTCAGTAACTTCCCTTTCAGATAAACAATACAGAAACTATTCGTACAATAGATGGGTGCTTATCAACGTGGAACTGGACTGCGGAGAATTGTTATCAAGCACAAAAAGAAATATGGCTTGCATCCGTTTCAGAACTCAGTCCACATTGTTAAATCAGTAGCTTTACAGAAACACATTTTTTGAACTCATAACTCTTGACGCTGACTAATTGTTTCAGATTCAGATAAAGAAGTAAGGAGTGCTGCAAAAAGTCTGTGTACTTATAACATCAGAAATCTAAGTTGAATCAATTATTTGAAACTGACAGTCGAACCAGAATTTATTTTTATATCACCTGAAAATGTAATTACTTTGTATATCGTTTAAAGTGAATCTATAAGCATGTCAGATAATTAAAACCATTTATTTACCGTCTCAATCAACAGCCAATACTTTGTGACCTTTTTTGTACTTGTATAGATGGAAATGACAATGCTTTAAGAATAAATATTGGAAATAGTTAGTTAAACGGGATTTATGAAATATTAACAAATTTAAAATCTTTGTTGAGGGATAATTGATTGCTGATTGATGAAAAACGTCTAGGTCTTTTCGACCAATTCTTACGTCAAATGGCAAGATTATGGGAGTCATTCATTGATGTTGTATAGACTAGCCCTTGGGGCATAACAGCTGATTTAAAATTTGTGGGTCGTTCTATTCAAATACAAATTTCTAGTACTACACACACAAAAATAAGTTGAATTCATCAATATATGTTGAGAACATACAAATTCCGAAGAACAAACACCTTCTGCAAAATAAACTCTTTTATTTTTATTATAGTGCTTCCTTTTTTGACATTATCACAATAGAAATTTACCTATTCGCCTATATAAAACTGGTGAAAGATAAATAAACCCATATTCTCAGCGTTTTGTATACGTTCCTATTGGGGAGTTCAAAAAATGCAGTTCATAAAGGGTTGAGTGCTTTAAAATAAGTATTTACAAAAACGTAGCTTTGTTTCTTTCATAAAGCGATTTTTTAAATAATATTATCCTTGGGTAGTTCAAGGAATTTCGGTCGGTTTATATTTCTTAACTTAAAACATTATGAGAAGATTTCATTTGTTGTGATAGTTTATATTATTTTTTTGGATTAGTTTTTAAATATTTTAAAAACTACACAAAGTTGTTCACTCGTAGTTCACATTATCGAGTGCTCACTTTTTTATTCAAAATCGAATTGTTATTTTCTAATTTTCCCTAAAGAAAAACAATCTTCTTAAAGTGAATTCATTGACATTCAATTTTAATTGATTTTTGTTGACAGATGGTGGTACGGTTTTACTGTAAAATACGCTTTCCTTATCAGTTGAATCGAATTGGAAATCTCGGGTTGCAATCTGCATACGAATTATCCCAACTACAATAACAACAATAACAACCACAACAACGAACACTAATCAGAGAGACACAATCACATGCGCTGCACTCTCGCAAAATAAAGAGAAAGAGGGAGAGTGGAGAGAGAATGGAATTGGAACCACAAATAAATTAAAGTAAATGCAGGCAATTCACCCCCCGAGGGAAAAGGGGATGGGGACAGGGCAGGGGGCTGGTTGATCACAGAACGGAAATGACAACTGAAGAGAGCCGGAGAGGAGGACATGGAGACGGGGGTTGGGGCAGCTGTTTGGCAGAGGGGGAATGTCATAGTTTTAAAAATAACAACAACCACCAGGATAGAAAAAGACACCAAATAACGACTAGGAAAGACACTTATAACATTCTCTTGTACATGTGCTAAAATAACACAATTCCATTCACTTGAAGAGATAACATTTTTTCTCTGATAACATTGTGAATGCCCTTCATAAAAATGTAATTTTTTAACAAAACCTTTGAACGTTAAAATGTTTGCTGAAACTAGATTAATATTAAAATAACACTTTTATGTAACGGCTTAAGTTTAAATTTTTAAAAAACCTTTATAATAGGGGTGCCTAATACAAACAATGGTATTTCAGTTTGATACAAATTATAAGCAATTAAACAAGAAAGTGTAACATTGTTTGTGTAAGTTCCAAATTGCCTTCAATCTTTTATTATTATTGTGAAACAAATATTTATTATGCAATAAATAATGATTGATAATCATGGATATGAACATGATAAGAATTAAGCAATTTGGCGATATTACACATCAGTTTAAATAACTTTTTGAAAAAGTCAGTGTCGTAGCACGAAATCTATTCAATGTTAATAAATATATTTCTAAACATAATTTTTTTGATTTGGTATATAAAAACTTGTTAAGCATTAACTAACAAACTCGTTGGTAAGCTTTAGAGGTTGAACACGATACAGATACCGTCTTCAAAAAAACTATAATTTTCAAATGGATTTAACAAACACATAAACAAATACTAAGAATTTCGAACGATCTATTTTGAAAAATAGGAATTTTAAAATATACAAAAAATTCAGGAGTTCGTAAGGCCTTTGTGTTTTTTTCATCATTTGGCTGCATGCATTTTTATACCCTTCAGCAAAGGGGCTTGCGAAGTTGGTGTAACCGAACTGGAAGAAGGGCACCAAGCGAGTACGTATTCCTTCCACTTCCTTCGGGTTCCATTTTGGTTGCCATCCAGTTGGAAGACTAAATGTATATATTTTCGTGCCTTACTCGGCGTTGCAGTTGCTTAAACTTGTTCTTTTTGTTATGGCCCAAAAAAAAGAATGCGAAAATGTTTTATTGGTACTCATCACCTTCCTTTGGTTATTCACAGTCACGTTGTTTTGCGCTCTATACATATTCGTTGCGTTTTCTGTTTTGACACAATATGCGATTTCTGCTGACTGAATAGTTTTGCGTTTCAGGTAAAAATTCACGAACGTTTCATTTAAGTTGATTTAATCTGCTGCCCCGGCGTCCATTTACTTACGAATTGATTTTTTGCACAATCTCTCACACGTTTCTCCGTCGCAGGACGCTCCCAAAAGCTTATTTTTTTTGTGTTGAACGACGAGTATGTTTCTGCTATTACACTCACGTTTTGCACATTCACTTAATTGCCGCTTTAGTCGAGACACTCGAAATATTTAATAAAACTTATTTTCCGCCCCCTTTTTCCTCTTTGAGCAGCGCATTAATGAAAAACTAGCAAACGCTTCGGAGAAACAAAAAGAACTGGCGCGAATTCTAAACTGAGCAGTGACTGCCCCGAAGAGAGTGCCATAAGGCACACTTACAAAAATATTTTACGAAAATATAGAACATTGACTTTGATTTTAGAAAATCGCCTTTGATTATATTTATGGGCGATTTTGCCTATATTACAGAAAGAAGGTTCTTAGAATATAGGGAACACATTTTTCAAAGAACAAAATTGTTTATTTTTCAAATATTTAAGAAAAGAAAGAGTTGCCTACAAAATTTACCTTTAAATTGGGAATAGTTTAATTCGTATAACATTAAAAAGGGAAATGTTTGCAATCAAATGGCTTTTTAAGCTAGTTTTTTTTTTTAAATCAGCTCAGTAAAAACTTGAAATAAAAACAGAACATTATTATAAATAAACATACACAACAACATTACATATGTAGATTTTAATAAAATTCAGAAAATATTTTATTTGTTCTTATTTTATAAGAAAAACAATTTTTTTGAGTGCATGAAGAGAGTAGTTTCTCGCTCTCGCGCATTTGTTCTTTTCGTTGGAGGCGGGTGAAGGAGGGTGGATGGCAGATAGCAAAAAACAGCCGGCAAAATTTCTCTTAACAAACCGGCTGCAGCTTTTTTCCCGGAGACAGAAAGAGATAAAGAGAGCTCCCCAGAAGGAACGCTTTAATCGAGTGCACCGACTATTAAATAGCCGTTATTCAGTTAACCAAATTTAAAATAAATATGCTCTGAAAAAACAAAAGGAGGCGTCATCTACCTCGAATTTTCAATCATTCAAAATGTTACAATTATGCTAGTAACTTCTTAAATAATGTTTTTAAAATATTTTATATGTCCAGTTATACATAACATACACCGAATAAAACATAACTCCCCTCTACCACGTCAGAATTCCGATTTGTGCGAGAACTCGACGTTTATACGGATAGAATTAGGTCGATTTGGTTATTGATCCTGTTCAAGAATAGATATACATAGTAAGGCTCTAAAATTCTTCCTTCTACGCGTTACGTACTTTTCAACGAATACATCATACCCATTCAGTCGACGAGTAACGGGTATAAAAAGCGACAGCAAAAGAGTGTTAATAAAGTCAATGATTTGAAAACTAGCAATTTAGGAATAGATTATAATTAAATCTATTATAAAACACTTACAAATAAAATTGTCTTGTTCTACGAATCGCTTAACTCTTTGAACTTTTAAAGAGATGAAAAACAGCTGTTGAGAACTGTTGTCTAGGTTAAGGGTTTGTTTTTAGGGGTAGAATTTTCTATTTATACTATCTCTTCAATTTGAACTGCTCACTCTTAAATTCGACTTCCTGAGTTTGTCGGCTTCAAAAATAATTTAAGATATTTAAAAAACAAGTTTTAATATCACATCATCGGTCTTTTCTCGAGTGTTCGGGTTTTTTTTTTGAAAACCCGCTAACACGAAAGCGTGACTTAAAAAAAATTCGAAAAGAACCGTTAACGAGATATTCCCAAAAACATGTTTAACAGACCGCAAGACCATAAAGCAAAAGGCGAACAGTAGTAATTTCTTTATTGCAGTCTTAGCATTAAACCCAAATTTCTGTTAAATATTTTACAAATTTATTTATATACCTACATAAGAACTATTAGCCGTTAAAACTTTGTTATTCTGGCCCGTAGTCTTTTTAAAAATTATTTAAACAACATGGTTTTAATTTGAAAGCATCAATTGAATAAGTTTTTTTTCTAGTTAAACTCAAGATCATGATTGGTTATAAATTTCCATAGCAACGTTTTTATAACTTTCAAAATAATTATAAAAGTATTTAATATAAGCGATGTATTCCACGAATTGGACGATACTAAGCATCCTATTCAAAAAAATCTGGAAAGATTTAATTAATAAAACAAAACACTATAAGCAAAAAAATATATAAACTTTTTACTGTACTTTCTAAGTGAGTAATTATTAACCTTTCCAAAATACTTATAATTTGTTCTGATTGAGCTGTAATTAAACAAGTTCTAAGCGCTCGCTCGTTAAGAGATATTTTTGTTCGATTCGTTATCACCAAGAGTAATCGGCAACCCTGATATTCCAGTCTCAAATTAAAAATTATTTTGAAACCAGAATTATCGTAGTTTATCATGACTCATAAAAAAAAGAAATTATAGCTTTTAATTTCCGTATACATTATTAGTAAATTAGTTATGAGCGCCAGACACCATTAATGAAATGGCGTGTTTCAAATAACAGTTTGCTATCGATCAATTCAGATAAGATATATAACCTACATAAGTTTGTATGTACACACAATTGTGACAAACATGATAAGGTTGAACTGGCACTTTTAATTAGTCCGACACGGCGCCTTAATAAACTTGAAGAAAATTAGAAACATAGTTTTTGAAAAATTTAGATTTAAAAAATTTAATTTAAGTGGCTTTTAAGAATGTACTGTAATACATAAGAAGCTCAATAAAAAATTAGAGAAGTGAACAATTTTATTTTTATTTTTATTATCCGTGTAATCTGTTTAATTATAAAAGACAAAGAAATTTAAGGTATTAACAAAAGTCTTAGGGCCTCTTAAACAAAAAATTAAACTATTTTGTAATTTTACATGCAGTTTTCGCGCATTCTACTCAGCTCTAAAATATGTAGATAAGTCAATGTAGCCACCATAATTTTGTAGTCGTTACCTTTTGTTTGCCTACGCTTATAGCGATCAGCTTAAAAAAAAAACTTTTCCGCTTAATTTCTCCCACATGCCAATAAAAAATATATATTTTTGAACACTGTGTTCTTTTTTATTTATTTGGTTGTCTACATTTAGGTATGCTTACCCTAATGAAACTATGTTAGTCGGATAATCCAAGGCACTATATTCACGCTCACTTTAACTCAATAAACCATGAAAGTACAAAGTTAATCAATTCATTTTTGATGACAATGTTATTTTCTGTTCATTTATAATGCCAACTGCGAGGCATACAATTTGTGTAAATATTTGCATTACCCCCGTGTCCAAATTAGGAAATAAAATAACAAGCCACCCACAAAGGACGGGCAAATGGGCATTGACTGCCTGACTTGTGTGTGAATTAATCTAAAATAACTAGAGTCAACAAAATTGTTTTCTGTCCTGAAATTAGAGCCAATGGAAAATATTCTGCTTATGATTACGACACCGACCAAATGTCTGCATTGAAAATAACAAACAAAAATCCAGTTTTTTCTCTTTAAATTTATTTTAATCTAAACCGAAAAATGAACTTAATTCTAAAATGAATACTACCAAATTTAACGAAAAATCTCAGTTAAAAATATGTCTTTTTAATTTGTATCTACTTAATGAAACTAACAACTTTAAAGGTCAACCGAAAAAGCAAGGAGGTACATATATCCCGATATACAAAATGAGAATTATTTATATTGTTGTTAATTCCTAAAGTTCTATCTTAAAACTACTGTTGTCTACAATTACATGTATTTAATATACAATTTACATTTATTTCCTATATTCCTAATATAATCCAGTATTTGTAGACTATCAAATGCTTGCGTCTTAGGCTACATTCATATTACAAACTACGAATATTGATAACGAATTGTTCAGACTGTTCATTCCGTGTGTATAATCGATATGGGCTATAGATATACTTTATATGGCTACTCGAAAAGCTCTCGTTTTGGGGCCGGCCATCACGTTACCACACACTCACATGCGTGTATATCACCCGCTAGTTGCCTCCCTATAAATATCACAAGACTTCGCTGGATTTTCTGGGGGACTACAGGAAGGAGCAGCAGAGGATCAGGACCAGCACGGTAATGGGAAATATGGCGTAGATTTCGCTGCGCGGATGGCAGGTGGAGATCAGGTTGGTGATGTCATCCTCCTCGTGTTCGATGCCATCCCGCGTGGGCACCTCCACCACCACGATCTCGTCCGAAAGGAAACTGATGGTGAACGTACAATTCGTCGTGTTCAGACAACTCTGCGTATCGCTCATGTTGGAGTACTGATAGGTCGGCTTGTAAATATCGAAGATGGCGTGTATCTCGTTCTTCACATGATCGTTGTCGCTGTAGAATATATAGTAGTAGTAGCCATCTTCGATCACATTGTGCACCACCATCGAACTCTTGTTTGGCGATGACTCCATTATGTGCGGATTGGAGCACTCATTTTTTGGCTTAAAGAATTTCTGCAGCAGAACCATCCCATCAAAGCATTGTTGCAGTCCTGTTTCAAAGCTGGACACTGAATTGGACTCGTCGGTTTCAGTGAAGTTAATGGCATTGCCTCCATGAGTGGGCCTTCTGTCGTACACATTCCGCAAGTTATCCCGTTTTGGTCTCTTATAGAGCTTCTCGTAGAGATCCTGCCTCCTCTGATTTCTATGGGTTCCGCCATTGTGTCTTTTTCGGCGTTGGCGATGGTGCCCACTATTTAAGTTATGGATCTCACTCGAATTATGACTTGGATGATCCTCATTCAAATTGTGATTTGGATGCTCCTCACTCAAATTGTCATCTCGATGATCCTCACTTGAATTGTGATCGCGTTGATTCTCTCTCGAATTGAGATCCAAATGATGCTCATCACGAATGTGCTTGGGATTATGACTAGTTTCCTCGGTTGTGATATTCGAACTCTGCTCGGTATGATCTTGATGATGCGTTGGACTACTATTTAAAGAATGATTATGATGATGTGCAGGTGAGTTGGAGCTGTGATCGTGATGATTTAAAATATGTTCTGTGTGATGTGATCCTTGCAGATCTGTAACTGCATTCAAATCGGGATCACTGTGATGAATTACACCTTTTTTCAGTTTCTTTCTGAAAAGTTTTGGTTGTGACGAACCATTGTGTTTGGGTGGTATACTCAAATGTGGCTGCGATTCATCCTCGCTGAGGTCCTCGCCCCCATGATTCTCATGCTCCATCATAACGTCCTGGTTGCTCTTTTCCTCAGTGATCTCCACATTATCTTCGAAGAACACTTGAACTTGTTCGTGTCCTTTGGCATAATTGGCGCCCACCTTGTTCTTATTGTGATCGGTGAGGCCACAGAGATTAAGCTCCCTGTGGCCATGGATGATTAGGATGCTCGAGCCATCGTAACGGGAGCACAATTTCACATGCACCTTGGCTCCTTTCAGCAAAAAGAAGCCCCAATATTCCAGGGTATCATCTGGCAGGGTCATCGACTTCTTCAGCCTAATATGCTTGCGGTTTGTGGCGATCTCTGGCTTATTTCGCAACTGAAAGGCGTTGAAATTGGAGCTCATTCGCAGGGTGTGTTTCGAGCAGAAGATCGACGAGATTCCGGCCCGAATCTCGATGATATCGGATTCGGCCATGGGATAAATGACGTCCGCAAAGACTGTCTTTCGCAGATGCAATGGCATAATGATAAGAATGGCCGGCAGTATTACAATCATCAGGCAGAAGATCAGCACCCTCTTCACTCCGTGCATTTTGCGGGTTTCTGCGAAAATATAAAGATAACACAGTTTACTATCTCGTGATATATAAATATTCATATTTTTTATATGGCCTGACGGGGCACCTTCAAAGTGATATTCCGTTAAGGGCTGCATCTTGGAGGCTCAAAAAAAAAAATAAAGGATGTCGGGGAAACAGTTTTCTGCGAATACGTCTGATTGCCAGCCAGGTTTGTTGTACACTGTCTGATAGTGCGATTATCAAATTAGTCTAGCCGACTCAGTTTGTTTTCACGCCTGCCGCCGCCGCCGCCGCCCCCTTCTTATATTTTTATATGACTAGCCGAGTATTTGTGAGAGGCGAGATTGTATCAACAATCCGACACGATTATTGATATTGGCCCGGTGTTTAACTAAGCTATTCACAAGATTCAATTGGCAGGCCCAGATCGATGGCCAGCCAAGTGACAGCCTCTGTTTGATCGATTTTTAGCGACCCACGACTCCGGAACATTCGCTCTTCTCCGACTTGATTTGCGGAAAAAGATTCGCATATCACTGTTGGCATATCACAATTAGAACAGGAGCGGAATTTTCTAATTATTTAATTCGTTCAATATTTTAAAATACTATACTTTAAAATCCAGCAGTGCTTTTGTAAACATATACATCAGCTTTTCTTACTGAAACCTTTATACATTTTCCTTCTTGGTTTTAAAATGATTTATAATTTTTACCAAGTTATTAGTACATTTACTTGGGTTTTTTTTTAATTATATCAGAAAACCAAAATTCCATTTGACAAAGGCAAATTTATAGCGACTTAAATTTGTTTGTTTAGCTATACTTTTTTATTTTATTGAAATATATATTTATTTGGAAAATATAATAGTTTATAATATGTAAATATTAATTAAATATTATTATTTAAAATAATTGAAACAACTTTGTTAAAATTTGAAACCAATTTAAAATCATAGAGGAAAATATATTTACGTTTCAGTAAAAACGACTCAAATCGGAGGTAATACATGGGTACATCTTGGGATTTTTATTTAAATATTTTTCTATTACCACTGTTACTGTTACTTTTAAATTTCAATTGGTATTAATGTTACGCATATTGGTTATCAGGATCTTAGCTAATTACCGCCAGACTATTGATGCCAACTTTGATAAGCCCTATTTCTTTTTCATAACGATGTTTATATTAGTCAGGTCTTATCAACGTCAGCGAATGAGTTGTGATCAAGAATACATATACAAAATTTCATATATGCCTTACTTATGTGACATAAATATAGTATTTATGGCACACACGAGTGATGTTTTTATTTGTCACGTTTTTGTCGAGTGCTTTTTGAACCCGACTGAAATGTGCTTCGAGCTAAAAACAATATCATAAACAAATTTCGCTTCTCACTGCTTATCAACGAAACATGTTCAGTACCGACAGATAAAAAACGTTACCTTATTAAAGTAAAATCTCATAATAAAATATTAGAGATAAGAGAGTCTTAAATTAAAATTTTACAGGCATGGCAAGAAATAATACAAAAATTAAAATCATCAGATTAAAATACAGAAGATGGTTGGATTTAAATGAGAAAGCCTTTAAACAAGATACTTTTAAAAAATTGAGCAATTGTTACATTCAATAGTTAAACAAATATATCCCAAATGTCATTAGCACGATTTTGAAAACAACAATTGTGTAAGCTATATAAGTAAAAATTATTTTATTAATACTATTAAGATTATTTTTCTTGAACACATTTTACCGAAATATACACGGGTGGTAAAATAATCTCTATAAATAAGTTATAGCTATTTTAAATCTAACGTCAGTGATAAGATATAAGCTAGTTACCATACGCGCCCCACTTTTCTTATCACAGATACATTCTAAATCTTGACTTAACAACAATTCATCTGTCGCCATCTGAAGAGAGGTATACTTTTTGAATTTCTCACGATTACCGTTATTGCTGTTATTTTCCTTTGTCAGGTTTTTCCGGTCGTTCCCATGACAAAGACACCCATAAGTATGTGACCTCAAAAAAAAATGGCATAGGTCGTGAATTATTGGGATTTTATTTTATTTACATTTTATGCCATTTTGACTATTATTTTCGTGTAAAAAAACCTGTTGTGATCACACAGAAACATTTTTAACCTAAAAATACATACAAAGTTTTATTTTTGACCTGAACAAAAAGTAAATATGAAATATTGAATAAAACTTATTATAACATACAAATATTAAAATAATAATAATTGTACAAAATATAACGAAAACTAGTTTTTTAAGTGTTTTCATTTCCTTGAAACTATCTTAGCCGGTTCTTTTTTCTGGTTTTGAAAAACATTTGTAGCCGCGACGGAAATATGCATTTCAAATACAAAACCCGCTGCAGGCACCTGTGGAAATGTTATTCTTGTTTGTTTATTTTACCGAGGGAGTCGAATCATATTTACACATGTAGTCTTAAATTCGTTTCTCAGCAACTTAATTAGTTGGCACTTACATGATTTTTGTATCTTTCCTATATTTGCACTATATCTTTGGGATTAGCTGACGTCATAAGGTGGTGACAAGTGAGACTTTTTTTGTAAATTTCACATGCACTTGTCGATTTTGTTGTCTTTTCTTTTCTTTTGTTTTGTTTTCTTTTTTTTTTTTTTTGTTTAGGTGAACATATATTTAAAATTAGACGGGTATATGTGGGTTGATATATGTATGTTTATAGGGAATCCGAAAAACACGTGCCGCTTCCCATGATTTATTATCAAAAACAAGTGATTTTTCCATTGGTTTGTTGTTATATTTTGACACACATTATAATCAACAATTTGCTCTCTCTCTTATCGCGGCACTCTCTTTTTCTTTCTCCCACGCTCTCTCGTTCGAATATCTCCCGTTGTCTCTTCTATTTAACACTTTGTTTTTAGGTCTGCTTCCGCATATCTTTGTTTGTTTTTGAAACACGTCGTTGAATATTTATAAATTAATAGGCATTTTATTTGCTCTTTTTTCGTGTAGTTAACTCAGCATTTCGCCCCTCTGTTCCAATTGGTTAAATATTTAATCAATCATCATTATTACGAAATTTTTAATCGACTCGGCAGAGGAAAAACAAAACGCTTCAGTCACTCGCAAAGCAATCCAACAAATGAGACGGAAACTCAACTCAACTGCTCTGCTGCAATGGAAATTTTAACCCCAAAGAAATATAGACAATGCGATAGCGCATTGCGAAATGCTCTCTGCGCTCTCTGTTTTAAGAGTACACATACAAAAATTACCTTAATTACTCTTCATTTTTTTATGTTTTGTTTTCCCGGAACTCATACAGACCACAGACTTCAGCTAAATATTTTAGGCTCATAAAATAAAATAAAAAATAATCTACATTCTTAGCACAGACCCGTTAAAGAATTGTTTTTAAAAAATAGAAAATATTGCATGTATTTTTTTGAGTGTTTGCTCTCATTTCCCACCGTGAGCGTGAGCGAAAAAGAGAAACACTGCTCGGAAAAATTTTACTTTGGCCAGAAAATTTTAAGAGAAACTGCTTTTGTTTTGAAGCGAAGTTGGCTGCGCTAAAACTAAGGTTGAAAACTGAACTAAACAATATTTAATTTTAATACCCGTTACTCGTAGAGTAAACATTTAGTCCATCTTTGGTTTTATTTGCTTTATATATACTTTACTTATTTAATTTAATAAACAATAAATAACTTATCTTATCTTGTTGATGATAAGTTCAAAACTATTACCTTATACGAAGAAAAAGAATACTAAAATTATCAAATCACGAATTTAAGAGGAGATGAGAATGTTTTTTCATGTATGTAATCAGTATCACTATATCTTGTTTACCCAATAAAATCTTAAAGAGGTTGAACAAAACAGAAATTATAAATCACACTGTATCAACCACACAAAAGTATGTGAAAGTCCACGACGTATTAAAATCTAAATAAGTAGAACCGTTCAAAAATGCAATGACATTGCTTAAGGATTCAATGCAAAACTTTTCCTTTTAAACACTTTATATGTACATACATATATCATTTGTTTAAACTGCATTCCTTCTTAAACTGCATTTATTTTCAAAAGGAATTGGAGTTATAAGCGGATGTAATATAATACTTACTATGCAAATCCGGCATGGAGTAATAGAAATCCGTGTGATAATAATGTAATTGTCCAGGACTAATTGAAGTACTCCTGTTGAACATCTTTTTGTTGGCCATCCTGGGTATTAAGTGTTATTTTTTCTACGCACTTTGATGAGAGCCAGAGCAGAACCGAAGCCTGCGAATTATCGCAGTGAACTAATGGAATGAATATAATCCGAATCGGACGAGAGTCAAACTGTGGAAAGTGTTTGGGATAACGATGACGCTTAATTCAAACAGTCGTCGCACAGTGGCGCAATTTCAGTTTATTCGTTGCAAAAATCATTCCTTTCTAACCAAATAAAGTAATCGAATAGTTTAAATGACTTCTGATACATCTTTTTTTTACATAAAAAATAATATACGTATATAAGTATTAAAATGCTTTATGCAAAAAAAAATACAAATAATAATTAATGGCGGCCAATTAAAGTTTAAGTTTTTAAAGTATAATCATTATTTTCTGTAGAACTTACCTCTTTTATTTGCTTTAAGACTTAAATAATTGTTTTGAGTCAACTTTAAAATGTTATAACTTTTAATAAAATTTAAAAATAAAAAAAAGAAAGAAAGTTTTTTACAAGATGAATTAATTTACAATTTTTAAGGCGGGGATGAGCAATTGCATTTCTGCAACGTATTGCGTTCCACAGTGCTTCGGGGGTGCCTGTCCTCATGCGAACTGATACTGATAGTCGCGTTGGCCTATTATCATAATGAGTTTGTAAACACTGTTTAAAAGTGGACAAAACATAAAACCTGCACCAGCCCTACAATTGATAAGCGACTAATTGTTATTGTCTGTTAGACTAGTTAGACTAGATTGACTTTGAACCTTAACACATCCACATAACTATTTATCTGCCTATTCAATATACCCTTGGCAACAAAGATATTTTTGGCACATTCGGCAAAGCTCCATTTGGTTGATTGGATATTTAATATCATAGCGGAAATGCAAATAAATTGCAATTTCCGGTTTGAAAAATAAAAGCAAAATAACGTCGACAAAATAAACAAAGTGTACCAAACCCTGCACAAAAAAAATCATTACACAAAAAAATTGTTCTTCGTAGAATTTCAAACTGCATTCTGCTCTGTCATTAAAATTTGATTTTATCTAAAATTCGCTTGTATCGAAACTTCCTCTTTTTCATGAATTTTAAATGTTGGATGCTATCAAGCAGGTCCATCAGTTGTTTTTCGCTATCAGGTTTTGAACAGTAATGTGACACCTGTCGGCGTAATTTACAAACAAAGATAAAACTATTTCTTGCCGCACCAACCATCTCAAGATCGCCGACGCAAACGCTCCAGACGTCAAATAAATTAAAGATTTATGCCACTGGTTTATCTTATCTACTGCAAATTATTTTATAAGTCAGGCGGAAAGTTTTGAATCAAAAATGCAGGCTATTTTCAGCATTCACATGGGCTTCATTGCTCTCAGGTGGTTCAGTGGTGGCAGCAGTTCGAAATGCCCATGCAAATGACTGCCCTGAAAAGCTAGATAGCAAATCCTTTAATCTGACGATGTCCTCTCTGATTTGCTCCTCTTTCAATAAGCTACTGTGCTCCAGATCTTCTACTTCGTGTACGATATCATCTATCATTAGTTTAGTTTTGGAACGAAGTGTTGCAGACTTGCACAGGCAATACTTTTTGAATTCATTTTTTGTCACGCATTCCGATTCGTGGACATGTCTATAAAATCGATAGAAAGATCGGATTGATGCACTTTCAATATTGCGCCACTTTTTACCGGGAAAATAGTCAACAGTGGCAACAAAATTGGTTGAATTCGGAGTGGTTACAAAGTTAACTCGATATGTGTTGATCTGTCCTCTAAAGTTTGTTTTAATTTGGTGAACTGATTTCAACAATAACAAAGTAAACTCTTCACAAACGTCTAACAGGTTGTTATTACGAAGATATTTGTTAAGTCGTCTAACCAAAAATTTTCCAAGTATTAAATTTAAGGGATACCCTTGACGAAGTTCAGTAGAATACGCACACTCGCAGTCATTTTTGATAAATCCCGCATCTTGACACGTTCGAGTTTCGGGCATTTTCTCGAAAAGTGTTTGACATCTTGGACAAATCACGGTGTGGGTTCGATTCCGGGTGCTTATATCTCCAAGTTCCAAAATATTTTGCAGGGTTAGGTAAAGGTCAAACGGTGATATCACTCGCCTCTTGTTTTTTCTCAGACTCTGAACCATTTCGGGATATTTCTTACGAATCGAGATGGGCAGCCATATGAAAAGCATTGGCTTGCACACATGATCGCTGAGGAAAATCACAATTGACTCTTTGAACAATCCCAGCTCCTTGAATCGTTTTAAATAGTCCAGAAAATTGAATCGATAATGCTGTTCCTCTTCAGAAGTATCAGCCCAAAATAGCCCAAAAAATGGCTGCGAGGTGTTAAGATAACGCTCAAATAATTGCTGGCCATAGTCGTAAACCAAATTGGCACTTTTACCTGGTGGCAAATTGTGCTTTTGCTCGGCGATTGCTTTTAACGCGGGTCTAAGGTAAAAATCAGCAGGTTGAGCCTCAAACTCGTAGGGAAACTTCCTTATTAGCGTTATATCTTCTGCAAACGCTGTGAGATAACCCTTATTTTTAAAACGCTGTAAAATAGATTGCGACGAAAGATTTAAATGACGGCTTTCAGTGGCACTTGCATTATGGCCGGATAATAATACAATCAAATTTAGGTATTCGTTTTCTCCATTTCTGCCGTACTTATTGAATCCAAACAAAGCGTCCGTTTTCTTGGACCCTATTATTTCTTTAAGTGCTGATTGAAAACGGTCGTTCACTCCATTAAATCCAAATAACACAACGTTTGGGAAATTGTTTCGCGTTCTTTTGAAGACGATTTCTTTTTTAGTTTGCACAAAGATGATGGGTTTCACTTGGAGCACCTCATTCATTTTACTCCTACAGGTGGTAATTATAGCTTCAACACTTTTGGGCACCACATATCCATCCTTAAGTGAAACTTCAGCTATCTGACTGTGAAAAAATAAACTTATATATGCCATTGTATTCCTGTAAATATTTAAAAACATACTTATTTCTCTCATATGATCCCATTGAATTTTTGATCAAGCTTTTATAACTACAGGTAAAACTAGGGTTTCGACTTGACTTTTTCTTAAGTTTTTGTAAACTTTGATTGGCTGCTGTTTGGTTTAAAAGTAGTACAAATTGTTCTTTTCGGTCGTCATATTTGTATCTAACAATGTCGCTTTCAAGAGTCGTATTTATTTTTATTTTAGTAGTTGTCTTCACATTTCGGTTTATGGCCTGTAGTTCTACAACAATGCAAATAACAGCTATTGACTGACACCACTTTCTGCACATCTTTATTATTGACAAAAGACTGAACAACTGAGAGGTCTTAATCTTTATTTAAGGCTTAACACATTTATACCGAGGTAATTTACATTTATTGGTTATTTTCTGGCTGCATAATAGGCATAACAAATTTATCGTTGTTTTATTTCTGATAAAAGTACTGAAAAGTTGGGCAGTGTAAAACTTTACTTTAAGAATAACACATTTATACCGAAATAATTTCAATTTTTTGGTTATTTTCTGGCTGCATGTCTGGATATTCAAATAAACTTTCATCAATTTTCCTTATATCTATTTTGGACTCTAATTTCGTTTTAGTTTTTGTGTTTGGAATTTCTGTTTTTACTTTCTTTTTTATGTTGTTCTTTTCTTTATCATTATCTTTGGTTTTTGGCTCATCGTTAACTATTCGATTCATGCAAATGCAGAACTTTCTGCCTTTCGGCCTTCGCATACAATCGGAATCCTTTCGATAGGAATCCAAACGATTTATGGATTCTACATTTAAGTATTCCAGATATTGGTACATTCGATTATAGCGAGTGGTTGCCGAGAACATTGGGCTATTCGGGGTGGCTATAAAATCAACCCGAAAGGTGCTGCCACTCGACAACTTCCTGTCCTTGCGTTGTTGCACCATTTTCACGGTTTTAAGAGTGAGATTGGAGCAGATCTCTTGCAAATTGTGGTGGTGCAGGAAATTGTTTATACTCCGGACGAGCAGCTTTCCCAAAGACATTTGCCGTATCTGCTTGGTGCTCAGCCGCTTGTAGCTATCACACGGGCAGTGCGATTCTGGTATACCGGCATCCGAACAGGTGCGATTCTCGGGAACTGGAGCAAAAAGTGTCTGGCAGGTGGGACAATCCACCAGTTTGTCCACCGCTCGGGGCCAACGTTCACCCATCTCCAAGAGGTGCTGCAATGTGAGATGCAGATCGTATGGAGAAGTGAGGCGTTTGCTGTTGATTCTCAGGCCCTGAACTATTTCCGGATGTAGAGATCTGAACCAGGGTGGCAGCCAAATGAATAGAATGGGCAGTCTTTCTCCGACCAAGTCCTTGCTTTTGCCTGATCCCTGATCGCTGAAGAGGATCACAAGCGACTGGGAGAAAACACCCATTTTCCTGAGTGTCTTTAGTTTGTTCAACAGTACATAGAATTTATCATGCCCCATACTGTTGCCCAGGAATAATCCAAACAATGGTCGTGGCGAGTGTGCATGCCGCTTTAAATACTGCTCACAATAGTCGAGGATATACCTGATATTCAACCGTCTGTCAATGCACTCTTCACCGTTACTTGGCTCAAAAAATGGTCGAGCATAAAAGTCCATGGGTTTTTCCAAAAAACCGAGCTTGTCCTGGTTGAATATTGATAAGTTAGACATACCCTCGCCATAGGCTGTGATATAACCCTTTTGCTTAAAACGCTTCCATATCAGCGGCAATGTTTTTATGCAACCCACTTCTTTCGAATTGCACTTGAGATTTGTCCAAGTATGAGGACTATATCCTGTCAGAAGAGCCATTAAATTGGGCAGACTTTGGTTACCCACTGCTGCATATCCCTCCATATTTATCCATCCCTGCATTCTAAGATGGTTGATTAGTTCAGGCATATTGCGACGGAAGTTCAGTTGGGAAACTCCATCGATACCAATCATTATTACACTCGGTCTTCGATGCCAGGAAACAAGTGGCGGATCAGTTTTAAGAGGTTGCACAAAGGCAAAGGTGTCCGATTGTAGATCCTCGAACAGTTCATTTCTGCAGGCTGCTTTCAGGCCATCGACATGCCGAGGAACAACATAGTTATCCCAAAAAGCCACCTCTTCTCCCAAGCTGTTTGAAATTGTATTCATTTAAGTTTTTGTTACTCATATAAGAGCTAATAGAGTACTTACACAACAGGAGCGTTTGCAGTGTTACTTTTATTCACTCTTTTGATCTCACGATAACTGCAATTGTAGCCTATCAAATTAGGCGATTCCTCCTTCATAATCCTCAAAATCGATTGGGCAACCGAATCGTTGATAAGCATTACATATTGCTGGAGCTTTTCATCGAATCGAGTACTAATCAAATTATCACCTTTTGAGCAACTATTATTGTTGCCAGCATTTGAGGTGACTTTTTTCTTATTTTTTTCCTCCTTTGGGTTGTACGCAATATGACACTCCGATGTCTTGATGTAGTGCTTGTGTTCGATTTGTGTAGATCGATAAACTGGTCGTCTTTTTGCAGCTATAGGCAAAGAGCTCAATGCGAGCAAGCTGAATATCAAGAGCAGTGTCCTATGTGCTGTCATACCTATTTCCAACTGATCTGCGTATATATTATTTCATGGAGTTCATTTAACGCCAAGAGAAAATAAATTTCATGGTTAATTCACATTTACAAGGTGTTATACCAGAATAAATGTAAAATGCTGCTAAAATATATTTCATTTGTCGGTTCAAAGATCTCGAACAGTCACTCCCAATGATATCGTACAAAACAAATTTGGAAAGCCATTTTCCCACGTTCTTTCGGCAAAAATCTGTCAATCATTAATCCATCTTTTGACCTGGGATCTATCGGAAATATCAGTGAAGATTGCATACCTTTAACAAAGTAAAACCGAAGATCTTTAGTAATTCTCAGTTAAAAAAATGCAGGAAATGAATTGAATCTACAACTGTGGAGCGTGAAGGTTAGTTAAAGATGAGGACTAGTAGAATGTTTGTAGGAATAAAAAAAATTACGAACTAATGAGCATAAATAGTTTCTTACCTTAGGCTAAAGCTACTTAGATCGACTGCTTGTATTTATGCAAAAGTGTATTAATGAGAGAAAAGCTTTTATCTCATAGTTACGCATTCTCAAATCAACAGTTTCTTAAGTAGCTTGGAAATTAATTTTTCAAGTCACTCGGTAGTTGAAAGCCAATCCAGTAACATTGGTGTATCGTAATTATTTAAATTAAAATTAAAAAATCCGCGGTGAAATTAAATTTTATTTGGTAGCTAAGACAGAAGTTAAGAACATAAAAAATTTTATTTGGCTGACATATCTGCAATGCTGCGTTTTTTTACAAGCTCTATTAAACAACTTATTGGATGCTTTCTAGTGATAACGTTTATATGTCTATGGGTTGTGTTTTTCTCGAATGATACTACAAATTTTAAAATCAGTATACGGGAAATTCACGGAGTCGAAAAACGCTTTTACGTGAAATCTGGCATGTGTAAAATTCCCTATGTGGATCCCTTTAATGAGGAATTCTTGAAATTCAACAAACCGACGATGTTTATACCTTGCACCAACGAAAGTGATCTGATTACGGTGCACTACGATGACCTTTTAAATCAATATGTGCTGCACATTAATGAAGAGGTGGTTCATAAGTTGTCCCTGACAAACAGGAATGACTTTGCGTGCTTTTACCAGAAAATTATTTACGGTCAATCACCGGATCGCTACGATAAGTAATGTTGTGATATAACTAATGTTAGGATTTTGTAAAAAATACATTTTTATAAAAAAACAGAAAAGGAAACAGAACTAAGCTAACTCAGGATTATGTGGTGCCATTGGATGTCGAAGGGATGCTGGTGGACTGCAGGACAGCGGACGAGATGAGAACCCTACAAAAGGACGCGTTTATGTTTGTCCAATACCAGGAAACTCCTCAAAACATACAGCCACATCGAAAGCCCAGTGTCATTATGTACGGCATAGATACTGTTTCACGCACAAATCTGCGTCGCATGATGCCCATGATATACGAGTTCCTTAAGTCACCAGGCTGGTTCGAAATGATGGGATACAACAAGGTTAGAACAGTGTTGTCCATTTAATGAAATTATTTAATTTAATTATACAACAGGTGTCGGATAATTCCTTTCCCAACATATTTGCTATGCTAACTGGCTATTCGCCGGAAACGGCAGCCACTCAGGTTTGCAATACTGATAATGATGGCTGTTTGGATAAAATACCCTTTATATGGAAAGACTTCAAAAAACAAGGCTATTTGACGGCCTATGCTGAGGATGAGGGGTCCTTGAATACATTTAATTACCTGAAACCAGGCTTTTCCGTAAAGCCCACCGATTACTATTTTCGCCCCTTTATAACGGCCCTGGAAAAAGAAACTCTTATCCAATTTTTTCCCGGTTGTTCTATGAAATACTGCCTGGGTCGACGGCTGGCCAACAGCTATATCTTCGACTACTGCCGCCAGTTCATGCAGCGCTTTGTGGCCGATCGGCCCATTTGGGGCATGTTCTGGTCGACTCACTTCAGTCACGACGACTTCTTTATGCTATCGGCCATGCAACACAAGATCCTTAACGACCTGCTGAATTTTGAGAAAGACGGAGCTTTCGAGCACACGATTATGATATTTTTCTCGGACCATGGAGCTCGTTTCGGTCCCCTGATGCATATGAAGGAATCATTTCTGGAGGAGCGGCTGCCCATGATGTTCATTTACCTGCCACCCTGGTTCCGCAAGAAGTATCCGCAGTATGCCGAGGCTCTGTCACAGAATCAGAAGCGTTTGAGCTCGAACTTCGATGTGTACAACACGTTAAAGCATATATTAAATATCGAAGGACCACTGGAGGGCAGCAAAACTTCGTGGTCCTTTGACTGCCCCCAGTGTCAATCGCTCTTTTATCCACTGCCCGAGAATCGCAGCTGTTTGGAAGCTTCCATAGCGGAGGCCTACTGCACTTGCCACAACTACCAGGAAGTGGAGGAGGAGGCATCATGGACGTGGCGCATGGCCGATCTGGTGGTGGATCGCATTAACCACTACCTCCGGCAAAACCACATTCAGCATCTGTGCAGCAACCTCACTCTGAAGACAGTCAACATCACCGAACAGAGAATGGACGAGGTCGAGGAGGATGAAAGCCGACCGAAGGGAATGCGACACTATCACACTAAGTTCCAGGTTCACCAGAACATGGCCGAGTTCTTTGCCACCACTCTCTACGATGTGGAAACTGAAGAACTGGAGATCAATGTTGAGCTCATCAGCCGCATCAATAGGTATGGATCCGATTCGGTGTGCGTGCATAATAAGATACAAAAGTTATATTGCATATGTCTATCAAAATTACGGACAATAACAAAATAAACTGCAAACACTTACAAAATAAAAGAAAATCGCAAAAAAAAAATGTACAATACATAATGGCTTACAAAATAAAAAAAAAAAAAAAGTTTAAAGGCATCTACCGATCTGTTGCTATAAAGTTGCATCCATCAAAGTTATTCTTAATTTACACATATGTTAACAGCACGTCTTGCTTTCAATAGCATAATTAATAAACTGAAAAACAGCTTAATTATTCGATCGTTCCAATGGCAGCTATCAGAAACCCTTATCTGATTTAGATAAAATTATAAAATTAGAAGTAACATTTATTTAAAATATTGTTTTTTATATTTGGATTGTTCTTATGATTTAGACGTCTGATTTCAATGAAATTAAAACCATAAATCTGGGGGAGCCCTTTAACTTTTAGTTCATGAAAGTCTAAAAACAAAAAAAAAACTCTACACCATGCTCCAATCAAAATGACCCTATTACAGTGAACCTCGTTAAATGTTTAAACAATATGTGGTTGAAGAAGTGCATTTTAAGCTGTCCCAGTCAGAAACCAATGACTTTTCTTGCTTTTACCGAACAAGTTACAGTTTCATCTTTGCCACTACTCTACGAGATAGAATCATAAGCATGATAAATGTTGAGCTCATCACCTCATTAATATATATGGCCCCGAATCGTAGTGTGTTGACGATAAGGTCCGAAGGCTATTTTGCATATACCAATCTAATGTACGGACGAAGGCGCAACATTTAACTGCCCTTTACAAAGATAAGTTAATTTATTCCCTAGAAAGAACTAATTTAATATCATAAAATATGATATCTATTATTTGTTGGTATGTAATTTGTTATCTTCTATGTGTCTTTTTTAATTAAATTAATTGTTTGAAGGTCTTTGAAATTACTACAACTAGTGGCAGCTAAATTTGTCCAAGCTAATCAATCGAATTTCTTTAACGCACCCACAACAGCATCTTCGATTTAAGTAATCGTTTGGCATACTGCTCTGTGGTGTTCCCCGAATTTTCTTGTGACAAACCTTTTTCTTACTATCAGTGCTCGTGCCATTTGACATTATTCATTAACAGCAGCGTAAAAATATTTGAAAGAGTTTAAGCGTGTAGGCTCCAGTTCGAAGGTATTTGTGTGTGCGTGCTGCTCATTAAAGAAGTGTGATAACGAAAGCGCGTATATTTGACGAGGCCGTTTTCTTCGGGGTTCTGTGATTTTGGTTCAGTTGGGTCGTTCATGTGCTCGAAGTCACACCATGGAGACGAGATTTCGCGCCAGCCACCCGCTCTACAAGATCTTGGGCTTGTGCTGTTTTGTTGTAACCGTAGTGTTTCTGTTGCAGCGGTCAAATATATCTTTGGAGTTGGGCGAATTACAGTCATCTCCGCGATCGCGAATTTTGGCCAAGCCCAAGCCACAGCTGTATTATGTGAAAACCCCAAAGTGCCAGATCCCCTATGTGGATCCCTTTAATGCCGAAGTGATGGAAATATATAAGCCTCAAGTCCTAGTCACCTGCTCGAATGAGTCCGATCTCGTATCGACCGAGTACAATGAAAAACTTAAACGACATATTTTGCATATCGACGATGAAGTTGCTCTACAACTGCTCAACTTCACTGAAGCGGAATACAATTGTTTCTACCGGGAAATCAAATATAGAAGTCAGGCAGATACCTATGACAAGTAAGATACGGTGAATCCCCAAATTGCTAGAAAAACGTTATCCAAATGTTGTCCAATTATTCAATCGCGCAGTCTCTCGGCCAAAAAGTATTTCACCGATGGATATGTGGTGCCGCAGCATGTGGAGGGCATGGTCGTCGAGTGCCAGACGGCTGAGGATCCCAAAGTGGTCCTCCAGAAGGACGCCTTCGTGTTCGTCCAACATCAGCCGCTGCCCAAGGACCTCCAAAAACCGCGGGCCGCCCGCAAGCCAAGTGTCATAATGTACGGCATCGACTCGCTGTCCCGCATAAATCTACGCCGCACTATGCCCAAGGTCTTTAGCTTCCTTCAGGGTGCCGGGTGGTACGAGATGCAGGGTTACAATAAGGTGAGAAAATAGTTACATTTCTAAACAAATCTAAGCAGAGAAGCAAGCCAAAATCTAAAAATGTTTGGTAAAAGTTAAGAATATATAGAATGCATTTTAATTTGAATTTTTCTAAAAAAAGCAAAGTTTTCCATTATTTCATAGTTTGCTTATATTTACTAACACTACTTAAAACAAAAAGTTTAATTAAATTTAAAGAAAAATAATGATAATATGGTATAAGCTTTATACTATGAAGCTTAAACCTAATGTTTTTACAACAATAAAAAAATTATTTTTTAAAAGATTTCGATAAGCACGTTCCGAACCAGGTCAAGAAAATATTGATATTGATAATTTTGAATCCTTAATAAAGCCGATTTATTAAAATAACTTTTATTTAACTTGATAAATAATTTTTAAATAAATATATCAATAATAATTAATTTTGAAATAAATAACGATTTATAAAAGGAACTATTCATTTACTTGATAAATAATTTAGAAATAATGAACTTGCTTATATGCTGTTGAGTTTGTAAGAACTTTTTGAGTTCAGATTCAAATTTAGCACGCTGAATTATTTTAGAAAGACATATATATGATAATAAATGTACATTTTTGGTTAAAAATGTGTATTTTTACACGGAAATCTATACTAAATAGAAAAGGCAGCAAAGTGAAAGCTTTCGTATTTACAGATAAGGGTCAGGTAAACAAAGCCAAAGCGTCTCGCCAGATGATGTTGATCAATATCTTCCTTTCGGTCAGTTACTTTATTTTTTTTTTAATTGAGAAGACCCACTTCTAATTGTTTGCAACGAGTAAGCTTATCATCAAATACTCACAGATGTAAAGGTGTTCAATTTGACAAACAAACAATTTGAAATAAAGTCATGTCCACATTATGAGTAAATAACTATGCATAAACCAATAATTACTTAGATGACCAGTAAATTTGACGTTTTATGTGTAAGTGTAATTTGAAATACTTTTTTATGAAAGCTAGAAAAAAATCGATTCAAATGTCTATAGTTATTGGTTTAAACTTGCATTTTCAAAATTTAATTTGATCTTTTCGCAGGTGGCCGATAATTCCTTTCCCAATATACTAGCCATCCTAAGTGGTTATTCGGAGAGAACGGCCAGGGAACAGGTGTGCGATACGAACAAAGCTGGCTGCTTGGATGAGATGCCGATGATGTGGAAGTACTTTAAGAACGCCAGCTATTTGACGGGCTATGCGGAGGACGAGAGTAATTCGAATCATTTCAGCTATCTGAAGCCGGGCTTCACCAGAAAGCCCATGGACTTCTACTTCCGGCCAATGTTGCGGGCTCTGGAGTCCGAGTTGGATGTGTATCGGCTGCCCGAACATGACTACATGCGATATTGTCTGGGCCGTAGAATGGCGAATCGATATATTTACGACTATGGCCGCCAGTTTGCGCAGCGTTTTGTCCACGAGCGTCCCATTTGGGGCATGTTCTGGTCGAATCACTTCAGTCACGACGATCCCTTCATGCCCTCGGCCATGCAGGACAAGGTCCTTGGCGACCTGCTCGATTTTCACGCAGATGGGGCTTTTGAGGAAATGATAATGATATTCTTTGCCGACCACGGCACCAGATTTGGCAAGCTTACCCGGCTGCAGGAGGGCTTTCTGGAGGAGCGACTGCCCATGATGTTCATATACCTGCCGCCCTGGTTCCGCGAAACATATCCCACCTATGTACAGGCATTGGAATTGAATCAGCACAGGCTGAGCTCCAACTTTGATCTACACAATACGCTGAAGCACATCGTCGAGATTGGTGGCACCCCCGATGGCCCGGTGTTGCCCAAGTCATTCGATTGTCCCACCTGCCAGTCACTATTTTATCCACTGCCAGTGGATCGCACCTGCTCACAGGCAGGAATCGCGGAGCACTGGTGCACCTGCGATCCCTACAAGAAGATCATGGGTCAGACGTGGACGAACACCATTGCCGAGAGTGTGATCGATCGGATGAACGAGTATTTCGTGCACAAGAATCTCAGTCAGCTGTGCAGCAATCTAACACTGAACTATGTCCACAAGACTGAGATGAAAACGGGTCTGGATGTCCAATGGTACGACGAACTCAAGCAGGTCGAGACTGCCGTCTATCGTATCAAGTTCAAGGTCGCGGAAAACAGTGCCGATTTTCAGGCCACCGTGGTCTACAACAACGTCACCCAAAACGCCGATGTGGATGTGGAGAAAATCAGCAGGACTAACACCTACAAGGAGGACTCCACCTGCATCGAGGACAAGCTGGCCAAGCTGTATTGCATTTGCTTTAGTGACCTCAAGTCATAACAATCTCCTTAGAGCAATTTAGGTACAAATTAAAATGTAGACTTTGAAAATTGTTTCTTATATTTTCGGCTTAATGGTCATTTTTGTTTCCTGCGATTACGAAGTTTTTTTTTTTAAGGAAACTAAAGATATTAAGTAAATGCTATCTTAATTTAGTTTAGGAAAATAAAATAATATCTAAAACTATTTATAGCAAAATAAAATATAAAATATAAAGTTTAAAAACTTGGAAAGGGTTTTTCGAACTTTTATATATCTTATATATATCTTATAATTGGTAAGGCATATATATTTAATTTAATTGTGCTTTGTGTGCTTTGTAAAATTTAAAAAAAAAATTAAAAAATAGATATGTACATATAAGCATTACAATGTATGAATATCAAAATTATTCGCATGTTTAACCGATAGTTTTTGTGGGAAACTCTTCTCGATTTACATATAATTAGATAAGCTAGTAGGCAACTGTTTCTAATCCCATAAAACGACTCAATGATATCAAGCCTTGGCGTTACTATTTGCTGGGTTTAGCCGATAATATTAACAGCTGCAAAGAGGGCTAACACGTTTAAAAGCAGCTAGTTAATGGTCACCATCACATAAGTAAATAACTTGAAGTCGTCATTGCAAAAACTTATTAGTTTACTTAGCTGCCAGACAGCCTCGAGATTCTCTACTTAAAATAGTTGTATGATTTTCGTTCCCTAGAATGCAAACTTAGTCATGAATGAATTTGTTTTTTTTTATAGGTAATTCGGGACAGAGAACAGTTGACGAAAGCTTGGCTTGTTTATAACCATTCATAATTACTATAGCACTATAGCACTCATTCTGAAAACTTTAAAGAGTGAAAAACCCGAACCGATCGTGTGTTTGCGAGGTTACCTCATTGGGTTTTTTTTTCTAATTTCTTAAGCACTCGTTAAAAAGTGTAAAATTTAAATTTAGAAAAACCGTCCACGACGTTTCTTGGGGCAAACGATTATCTAACAATGTAATTTTGATTTTAAGATTTCGGATTGCTGCCCTTGACGTACCATTCAATATATCTTTTGAAAATTGTTTAGAATATTGTTTAAGTGTCGTTCTGTAATGCATTCTAGTTTAACTATTTTCCAGACCCTTAATAGATCTTATCGTAGATTGTTAATATATCTGAGCAAAATTTTAAGAACAAAGTGAGTATCGCCTAATCAAGCAAAAGTCACTTTATAAATTAACCCAAAATATAATAATGATTCGCTACAATGGTCGCAAACTAATATACCTATGCATGGGTGTCATGGGTTTGATTTTTCTACTTGTAAACCACGTGACAAACGACTCGAGAGAAGTGGATAAGGCCTGGCAGATCGAAATAGATCCCATAACCCGTATGAATATCAGTAATGTACAAGCTGGCGGTCTTGATCAGAGGGAGCTGTATAAAAAGTTCTTCGTCTTCAGTTCGAAGTGCAAAATGCCAAAGGTTAATCCCTTTGTTGAGGGATTCCCTGAGTTGAAACCCCTCAAGTTCAAAGCCTGTACAGATGAACCAAGTTTGGTCAGCGTTATCTACGATCTTGCCAAAAAACACTACATGCTGCACTTGAACATGGAGAAATCTTTGAAAAACTTTGCGAATTATTCGGCTTTTGGATGCACATACTTTGAAATTGTTCCTGGAGCAGCCGACATTGAAGCGTAGTAAGCAATAATCACGCTTTATTTTATTTTTTGTTTGACTCTGTTTATCTGGTGTAGTACAATTTTGCGTCAAAAGTAAAAAAAAAATCGGAAGATATCTTTAACAATATCAAATTGCCCCCAATAGATGGCGCCACTTGTAATCCTTTTCGCAGGACAAAAAAGATGTGGCGCCATCTAGGCGAAGGCATATTTAAATATAGCGTTAAAGTCAATGACCATTTAAAATTTAAATTTTAAATAAGATCTGAAATATTGGTTTAAATTAAAAAATTGTGGGTGTGTTGGTAGACCGATTAACGGAATAAATACTTTCTAACAAATTACTTTAAAAATTCGTGGGCCTCAGAGTGGGCTTGGTAAATGTTTTAACCAAATTGCCGCTGCCTATGCAAATCTTTAGCTTTATAGTTTATAGGTGATCGACAAGCATACGGACAGACAGAAATGCACGATGATCGTCTCAGCTATTAATCGAAGATCTAGATATATATATTTTTAAAGGCTTGAAACCGTTGTAGTATATGAATCGGATCGAGTATATATATTGCCATAGCAACGATCGAAAAAACCCAATGATATGCTCAAATTTAGTTTAAGTTTGAGCTAAGCCACTTCCGGTTAAATAAGTTGGAAGAGATTTCTTGGAAACTAATAAAGCAAATCAGTTTGTTATTATTTTTTCTCTGCAGTGTAAAGGCCCCGGAATACTTCCACCAAGACTGGGTTGTGCCGAGTCACTTTCTGGGCGTAATAGTTGAGTGCCATGAGATGGCGAACAAGTCGAGGGTGTTGCAGCGGGACGCCTTCGCCTTTGTCCAGCATCCAAAGAATCGCAACGAGGCGAACGATGCTCTAAGGGGTGCGCAGTATCCGAGTGTTTTCCTTTTCGGAATCGACAGCATGTCACGGATGAACTTCCGGCGGAGCATGCCACTCACTTCGAAGTTTGTGCGGCAAAAGGGATGGTTCGAGATGGAGGGATTCAATAAGGTGGGCGACAATACCCTGCCGAATTTAATGGCCATTCTCACGGGTCGTACTCCGAGGCAATGGCAATCGCTGTGTGATGTGAGAAAGCCTGGCTGCCTGGACAGTCTCCACTTTTTGTGGCACCACTTTCACAACGTCGGTTACTTAACAGCCTACGCCGAAGACTTGTCCTCGATCTCCACCTTTAACTACCTGAAGATGGGGTTTAAACGCCCGCCGGTGGATTTTTATTTGCGGCCCTTTCTCATGGTCATTGGACAGTTTCTACAAACAGTGGAGTACTTTGGCTTCAAATACTGCGTGGGCAGGAGGCACAGTTTCAGTTATGTATTTGATTATGCCAAGCAGTTGATAGAGCGATTTGTTTTCGAGCAGCCAAAACCACTCTTTGGCTTATTCTGGACGAGCAGTTTTACCCACGATGATTGCAGGGGTGGTGCCAATTTGGATGGCCTTTTTCTAAGCTACATGGAGCAGTTCAAGGACTACGGATTGTTCGAAAAATCTGTTGTGATACTCCTCAGTGATCATGGCTCCAGGAACGGAGCGCTGGCAGAGCATTACACAGGGTTTCTGGAGGAGCGTCAGCCCATGTTGCACATTTACCTGCCACCCTGGTATCGAAAACTCTATCCATCGGTGGTCGAGGCCCTGAACTTGAATAGAAATCGCCTGAGTTCCAATTACGATCTATACCTCGGCCTAAGAAACTTTATTGAGCAGACCCATCCGAGAATGGATTATTTTAGAAACATTAAATGCGACCAGTGTCTGTCCATCCTAAAGGTGTTACCCTTCAATCGATTTTGCCAACGGTTGCAACTATTTGACCTGGAATTTGTGGAGCAAAAGCTGATTAACGAGGAAAACATATACGGACAAGTCAAGACTTATTCGCTATACTCAAGAACTCAATGAGTTAGTCGATTTAAAAGCGGCGGATGTCAGTAGTATGTAAAGTGCAGAAGAGAAATTTTAAAATGGTAGCAAAACAGAAATGTAAATAAATCTTTTAGTTTACTGACCATATCTGGAGTTTTTGCTTTTATTGAAATTGTTCAAGTTTATGGCTACCCCTCAATTACATTGGTGCCTGCAACGAAGGCACTCTTAGGTTAGTCTTAGTCGGTACTCGTCTAGTGAAATAAAGTACTGAATTGAATTCTTCTAACTCTTAAACTAGTCGGACTTATTTACGCATTGGTCCCTAGCACATACCTACTCCCTCAAAAATTCAACAAAACCAGCATTAACAATACGCTTAGTCTAGGTCCATTAGAAAACTATAAAACTTTGAAATACGCATATGCACTACGGATTCCTTTGACTCGTACGCCCACTCTACATATACGAATCGACCGGATATCGCTCGGCCTCCTCGAGCATGTGCCGGAAATCGACGGGAACGGGTTGAACGACGGGTCCGTTTCCGGTTCCGGTTCCGGGTCTGCCGGGGACATGTCCGTTCATCATCTGACCCTGGTGCTTTCCACTGCCCAAGGCACTGCCCCGATTCTTCAGATGGCCGTTCATCATGCTCACGTGGTGACTTATCGTGGGCACGGCTCCCGGCACATTGGTCTCCAGATCATGGAGTATGGCATCCGTTTGCTCGTTCCGCATCATTTGGTTGTCCAGCGGAACTGCATCATCGGTGTCATCGGTTTTATTCAACAGCCTCTGAATGTGATTCCGGATGAGACGCTCGAATTCACGCTGCACGGATGGACTGTCCGTGTCTCCATCGACCTGGGAAATCGTTGAATCGTTGTAAACAATATTCTGTACTGCTGTTGTCAGCTACTCACAATCTGCAAACGATTGCTGGTATCCAGGATCTTGAGCATTGGTAGGGTTTGCTCGCGAAAGAGCTCCAAACGACGGCGAAATGAGGATACCGTGTCATCTATTCGTCCTCTGCCAAGCTGAAGTTTTGAGCAATCGAGCAGGATAATGGGCGGTCTTTGTTTGTACTAAAAAATAAAGAAGCAATTAAAATATAATAATATATCGAACCATTGATAAAATTTTACGAAAACGATACAAGTTCCTTTTGTTATATCAACCCAATTCTCACCTTATTCTCAAAGTACTTCACCTGCTGAATATTTCTGGGGTACCCATCTATGATGATTCCAGTTCTATCTCGTAACTGTCGCAGATTGGTTTCCAGCAGCTGATTGAGCGCCTTTTCTGGTGCCATATCCCCGGCGGCCAAAGCCTCTTTCACTGCGAAACTTTCCGTATTGGCACGTGGTGCAGAGTCCGTGATATTGCGCAACAGGCGACCGACACTGGAAACAGAATTTATAAATTTATAAATAGTAATTAGGGTACATATGCTACTCCAACATACCTAATGTGAGCCCAGCCAGGATTTAGACCGACGGCCTTGAGGCAAAGTGTGGCCTTGTTGCTGCCAGGACCGCCGATTACCCAAATAATGGGTGGCAGACTCGATTCATCCGGTCCGGTTTCCGGTCGCAACTTTGGCTGCTGGGTGACCACAACACCACTGTCGTCATCCGCACTGGTGGTCCCAGTTCTGATGGCCACGGCCACTGACCCATTGGGCCCAACACGACCACCAACCATGGGTTCGATGGCCAAATCTCTGGCCAGAACGGTGCCCGTGGTGGCGATGTCTTCTGCAATTTGAGGCGCTTGTTGGGCTTGACTTGGTGCGGTGTCTACGCTAACTATACTGCCGGGTATATCATGTATCCCTCTGCCCATACCTGTAACTCCGTTCATCACGGCCTCTTGGTTCTCGAGGGCGCTTAGTATATCGAGGACGGCGGTGCGAAAGTCTTTGTACACCTCTGTGGGAGCACGCTCGCCATTTACCTGCAAGAGAAAGCGGAAAGAATCAAATTAAATAATCGGTAAAACCAATATTATTTTTACTATTAGAACCTTGCAGAGTGCCTTACGGTATTCGTCAGAAATTTCGCATGGCAATTTAATGCTTTCTTAAACAATCTTATATCTCGGAACTCTTAAGCTATTTTTTAAACCATTTAGAAAAGTAATTATGGTTTCTTTTGAGGAACTCTAATTATGGGCTATTTTTGTTTCTGAATATAATTTTGCTTAATTTATTTAATGTAATTTTATTAATCGATTGTAATATTCTTAGGAGACCTTTTTAATGTGATCATCATCGGATGAACATAATTTAAGTAAAATAAGTAAATTAGTGTGATGGAATTAAACTTAAATTTATCGACCTATATTTACTTAGGCCTTTGGGTATTTATAGAATTGTGTCAAAAGAAAACATATACACTGGAACCCATACTTTGAAGTTACAATTTATCAGGTTTGTAAAACGCATTTTAAAACATACATTATTTTGTTATTTCATTTTACATTTATTTCGGGAATAAATTATAAAATACTCACGGCCAGCAACATGTCGCTCTGATCAAAATAATCAGCGACTGGCATCACATTTTTGAAGAAATTTTCTAATTCCATTTTGGCTAAGGAGAGTACTACATGACCTAATTTGGCCCCATAATCGATTTGCTTCTGTAGAACCGATTGGCGCCAGGATATGAGAATCACGCCATTCACGACTTGAATCTGAAAGAGAGAAACATAAAAACAAAAAATTAATCAAAGAATATTAGTTTTGAGTTATATACTACCCAAATTGTAAGGCTCAAAGTTCTATTTACAAAATGTGTCCTACTTATGCAATGATAGGGGTTTATTCCATTGGTTAACGCCATGTGTACGTGACTGGGCGTTGGGAACCTCCTAAGTACCGCTTGGCCCCAAGGCTGTTCAATTACCACCTGCATATGTAATAGCCAGTGAATGTGGACCTCACTGTAAATCCATGGGAATTATGGCCGAATAAACACACTGTCGGCGACCCATTTGCCCGTTAATTAGTTCAAATAGTTCAGCAGCAATTTACTGGGCAAATAAAGTGTGCGGCAACCAAAAGGGCTTCATAATAAATAAAAGAGCTGGCAAATTAGCCGTTGGTGGGCGGAAAACTACCCTACCTTCTCAGAATACTCGACAACGTCGCGCATGGAGCGTGGATATCCCGATATCAGGTATGCTTTGGCAGCTGGAGCCATTTTCATTTCCAACATCAGCACCTCGGTGACTGTTTTCGACGATAGTTGCGAAAAGTCCTGCATGTCTGTAATGAGAAAATAAAGCAGTTCAATTTTAGCATGAGACCACTTAATACTATATTGGATGTGCTACAGAATGGCCTAAAACTTTCAAATCACTTTAGAAGCCTCCTAAAAGTATGCAACAATCTATTTAGAATCCGCAAGTCTGATAGATTCACTGCAAAAGGCGCCATTTCTTTTTTTATTGCATACTTTTGGACACCGTTTTTAAATCCCATGTGACTTTAAGTTAACTACTTACCATTGCCCATTGCATATTGCTGCAGCAGATCCATCATGTTGATGTGCGTTACTCCGCGTCGCTCCTGCATGAAAGTATCGCAATGGGTGACCTTGCCACTACCGGGGCCGCCTAAAACAAATATCACTGGCACTTTGGGCGGATCGAATTTGATTTTTCCAGCATTTTGCATATCGATAGCGCCGACATTGGCAGAACCGAATCGCCCCCCCGCCGCAGCGGCCTCCAAATCGCCAGCATTTTGGCCATTTCGATTCCGTGTAAGACTCCAATCGTTGCCTTGTTCGCCGGTATCTTGTGCCGCGCTGGCATCTGGAAAATGTTGAAAAGATTATATAAATATCAGCTTTTTAATTCTACAAAATACGAACAACTATCTTCTGAATGTTGTTTTAGTTATTATTATTAATAATTAATTTAATTACAATATTATTAATATATTTTAAAGGTTCCTCCAGGATTTTTTGACTTAAATATAAATTAAATTAGAAAGCTTCACTAAACATTTGTAATGTTTTATCTATTCTAGATTAATATTTTTGTTTTTGGGATCTCAAACGTATATATCAACAATTTATTTTTAACAAAATTCACTTGACTCTTCCATACAAAAAATACGATACAATTTTATAAATAGTAAATTGAAATGGTTTTTATTGGCCAGTGGAAATCTTTTAAGCAGTAGTTATCAAAATTGTATTTTTACCAACGACATAGTCAAAATCGATTGAAAATTATATTGATGATTTAACAGGTAGTTCGAAAGTTTTTTGTTCGTGGGCGGGAGCAACAGTTGACCCTCGGCCAAAGCTCAGCAATTTTTCAACCGGAAACCGGATGTGTTGGCAAGTTAGCGCGAGGAAACACGGGTCCGGACAAGGGCAGGCCGTAACGTGCCAAGTTGGCATTAGCCAGCCTTCGTCGAGGCCGGAAGCAATTTGCCAGGAGTAGGAAATTAGTGACAGAAGCACACGCACTCGACTCACTCGTAATGGAAAAAGGGGATCGAAACAAATCGCAAAACACATCATTAAAACATGTTTAACAATTATTTAATTGTATGGCAACCGTATGTAGTATAGTATGGCGTCACCGCTGAATTCATTCATGGAAAATCAGCTGCGGTTCCTGGCAATTCTCTAGCGATTTTGTGGCTTTAGATACAGACCCCGCCCCCAACCCACCCCCACTTCGAGTTAACCACCGCGGCAATTTCACGTTTTTCCAGCCGGAAAACCAGTTCGGTCTTGTGACATTTTTATTGATTTTCCTGCAGTTTTATTTAATTGACATGTTTTGTTATTGTTGCTTTCCCTTTTCCGCGCAGTGGTTTCTCTACTTTAGTTTTAGTTTTAGTTTCCTTTTTGTTTTTCAGGATTTATGTGTATTGGCTTTGGTGGTCAACGAACATGTCCAAGGACCTGACAGCCATCGAGGCCAAAGGGTCCGAGTTCCGATACAAATTACAGCGTTGGGCAAGGTCTCGATTTCGATATAACGCTTTGTATTATACATTTAATATCCGTATAAGCATTACACAGCCGTTTTGCCACAGATAATTGTTTTTTAAATGATTTTCAAAGCAACTGATTGCAGTAATTTCAATTGAAACTGTCCATTGAATTGTGGTCAATTGAATATGTCCACAATGGCTTAGTACTAAAACCGGAAAATATATTTGTAAGTCTTTTGGCATTGAAATAAAAGAGAAAATTCATGGCTGCTTTAATTTCATATTTCTATGCAAGTTACATATTATAAACGGTAAGCTTTTGATCGAATAAATTTATACCAAAACACTAAAGAGTATACAAATCTACCCCAATAATTTATGTATTTGAGCTGTTTTATAATAAACTTTTAGTTTTTGTTTAAATAAACTTATTCAAACATTTTAAGGAAGGTAAATTCCACACTCATTTTTCCCCCAAAAGTATGCCCCAAAATGTTAACTAAGCTTTAATGATCAGCTGAAATTTATTCTACAACTTTGAGTCTTCGTTTCGAGCTTCGTCATATGGAATTCGTAGTTACAAAAACTAATGAAACTTTCTGTATTGTATTCCACCTGGCGTGTTTGGCCTGCGCGACTCATTAGGGTTCTTTTTATTATCTTTGGCCGTGGAGAGGCAATGCTAATCTTTGATTACGAATCTCCTGGCTGTGGCATTACTCACCTGTGTCTAAACAAATACCCATTATCCATTCGGTGGCCAGTATAGCTGAATTTTCGCAATTGTGTTTTCCCTACCGCACACCCGTGAGTGTTCACTCTCTACTCAAAAAAGTGTTTATTCCGCTAATGGAGTTCTTCAGAAGGAGTTCTGGTTATTAAATTCCACAAATGTTTTGCACGCTGTCCATGGCTACCGTTAATGGTATTCGCTCAATGTGCATATTATAAAATATATGTCTACATTTATTATCGGTATCTCTGGGATACTTGTTCTCGCGTTTTATCGTCGGCAACACGCACAAAAGCGAACTACATGACGTTGCCGGTTCTGGTGTGTTTTGATTCCTGAATTGGCGGCGTTCTGATTTCCGAGGGTTCAACAAACCGAACACGTACTCCTCGACGAACGTCCGAAACGAAACTGAGTTTCAAAATTGACAAGTGACTCGGTTTTTAGCTCTACGAGCCCGGTTCCGAGTGCCCTGGTCACTTTTCCAATTAATGAATACTTTATGAGTTCCAGCAGTGCAGTTCCAGTGGAGCGTGGGTGGATGGCTTCCCCTTGTCTATGGCGGTCGGGATTTCCTCGCCCGCTGGAAGTTTCACGCACGACCTTAGAACCCCTCCGCGCCTTTCCCCTCCTCACCCCCCACCCCTTTTCAGTAATATCCAGTTCTCCTGTCCGTGTCATTCATGGGCCGCCATTTGTTTATGCGCTCCAAACAAAGTGTCCTGTGTCCTGGAGCCAGAGGTGCGTTTCCCACACATCCTTTATGGGTACGAACTATCACATGTGTGGAACGCTTTTTGAAACATTTTCCCGATTTTGGTTGCCATTACTACCGGCGTGTCCTGTCGTCTTTGTTGTTTGCTGTTGTCAGCTTGCCTTCTGTTTCTATAGGTGTAAATAAATCCTCTGACTTGCAGCTGTTCAAGTCAAGAGGGCAAATATAATGTTTTTGCGGCTCGAAAAAATAGTTCCAGTTATATACAAAAATTTGTAAAAATAAATAAATATATTTTTAATTCATATAAATTTATCTAAATATTTTCTTTGGGGGTAAGAATAAAAGCAAAAAAATGGTTTGAATTAAATAAATGACTTATAAATCGAGGGCATTATTAAGTAGTTATAGCAGTTATATACAAAAATTTGTAAAAATAAATAAATCTTTTTTAAGTTCATATAAATTTATCTAAAAATTATCTTTGGGAGTAAGAATAATGCAGAAAAAAAACAGTTTTGGATAAATGACTTATAACATGAGGGCATTATTAAGTTCTCATAATGGGAAAAGGTTTATCTGCACGTACTCTTTTCTCTTATAGTAAATGAAAGTTGAACTACTTTTTTCATTATTGCCAAGACATGCTCAACACAATGAGCTGAACTGATGTTATTTTATTAGCTTTTATTTCGAGCTTACCCATATTCTATTAGTGCTGCAGAACAATTGGTTTTTTGTGGAATCAAGGTTTTTGATATTTCCAAAAACCAATCAGTTTAACCGAATAAACCGATAAAAAAATTATTTATTTCTAAAATCCATTTGGGATTGATGTGATTAATTAAAAAAAATGTTTAAGGACCACCGTTTTCCTTGTTCTTCAGCTGCAAGTAAGCTAAAAATTTGTTTTAATTATTATTTGTTACGACCTAAGAACAGGTCCTAGGAAAATACCGCATGTTACCCTGGCAAAGTGTACACCTATCATGAGTCTGGCAAACGGTATGTGTTCATTCTGAATCACTTTTGTGGACTTTTGATGACAGAGAAATTGCACAATCATGCCGCCACACAGGGACAAGGGCCCTAAATTGATAAACCCGGCGGAGGGTTGGCTTTTCTGAACAATAGATGGGAATTAGAACACTGGGCTGTCTGATGTGCAGTGGGCGAGCGTTCAATTAATATTTCACACTATTAATTGGCGTTAATTATTTAGTTTGCTTCTAGTTGCAGTTCAATGAAACCGGACTTTTGTAGGAGGAATAGAAGCAAAGCGTGGCCAGCTGTCCAAATTTCCAAAATGTGTTCGATTAAAATTCAATTGGATACGTGGAGCCGGTGCTTTTTAAGTTGACACTGGAGGGGGAGACAGGTGGAATAGGCTTGTCAAGGACACGCAAAGAAGTTCAAAGCTCAAGGAAACTTCATATCGATCAAATTGGTCTCATATCGATCCATGGACAACCACAGATGAGACGCCTAATTTGTTGGAATTTGTGACATGTCATGTGCCGTCGACACAAGGTCAGCAGAAACAGAAACAGAAACAGAAAAAGAGACAAAAACAACAACCGAATTCACCAGAACTGGCTCTATTCGACCGACATTGAGGCCCACACCTGACCGGTAATACTTATGCGTGAAGTAAATCCTTCGCAATGACCACCAATGACCACAACACAGTGGAACAGCTCGTGTCTCTGGTGTTCGTCCTTGGGCCCACTGGGCGGGTTCTTTGGTTATTAAATCCCCTTTTCGAACTTAATTAAGGCTACGCGTTTTGGCCAACGTGTGTACACAATTGCGGACGGGCGCGGTCAACTTAGTGTTAAGCAACTCGAGCCGAACATCTGTGATTAAGGACACTGGCCAAGGTGCTAAGTGCCCCAAAGGACGGGAAAATGTTAAAGTACCCCTTCCATGCAAATAAGGATGCATTCAAATAAATTATTAAAATACATTATTTAAGGTAAGGACAAAACAACCCATACGTGACCTCATATGAAGTGAGTTAAAGCGTCACATGAGTCACAAATATTGAATCTCTTTCAATTTTTCATTACACACGGATATTTTATTAGTTTATCTTAACAGAGATTTTAATTTTTGGGACAAGGAAATGTTTAATTATTTTAGTAATTATTATTCTCTTTTGTTACAAGGAATTTAAATATAATATTTTCTATTATCAATATTTTTGTTTAATTTTTAAACCAAAAACTAACAATTCAATATTGGGTGGCTAATCATATTTTTAGAAGTTTTCGGTGGAAGTTGGATTTTATTACAATTTTGAGCTTTTTTTTTCGCAATATTGCACTTTAAATTTGCGCGGAATGAACTCTAATGCATATAATTAAATATAACTCACTCTTAAAACTCCTGACATTCGCTAGTACTTATAAATAGGCATGTCCCACTACCAAAATTAAACCTGTCCTTGCTAGTTTATTGTATCTAACTCGCTGTCCTTCAGGGACTATTTGGGCTAATGTAGTCATTCAAAGGTGATTAAGGGCTTAAGTTAAATATTTACACATCTCAGAGCTAGCCACAATGAGAATCCTGATTGGCTTACAGTTTTTTTAAGTGCATATTTACTTGGTGCCATCCATCTATGGTCAGTTATAAATTTTTAATTATCAACTGTAAAGTTCCCAAAGGCGGGCGTGTCAATCGAATCGAAAAACCCGAAGGCTATTGGGCACATTCATGTTTTTCTTCTTGAACATTTAACTGTTTGAATTTTTGATCAGAATTTTTAAACGTGTTTTTCGTTTGAGTATAAATATTGATTCCTCAGAAGGACACTCGCATTTTTGAATATTCGTTTTAATTTTAAAAAACCGTTCACCAAAAGTCCTGCACAGAACGAGTTTATTTACTTTACACAAAACTATAGTTTATAATATCACTGGTTGTAAATTCTAGAAATTAATTTGGCTATTACTACAGTCTAATTTGAAGTATTAGAAGTATTAGCTTTTGTTCGAGAGTTCGCCAGTGGGTGAATAGGCCTGGTTCTCATAGCCAGCGAAATTGCCCAATACCATTGATATGCGCGAAGGCGAGTGCTGTATTCCATTTCCGGATTTATCGTCCAGTCCATTAGTTTGACCATTCGATTTTGCACTGGTGGGCAGTACAAAATTTGCATTGCGACAGCGTCTATGGAGGAATGATCGCAGCTTGAAGAAGGCAAAAAGCAGCACATAGACGCAACAGGACAGGATTAGTACGCCAACAACCGTGATAAAAGCGTTTTCTGGCTTGTTCCAGTCAATTACATGATAGATGTAAGGTTTGCCTTTCCTAAAAACAAATGGTGAATTAAAAATCATTATTTAAGTTTATTACCCAACGATAAAACTCACTTGTTAATGCCACCGCACAAATGATAGATGTATGAGAAGACGGCAAACACAACTCCGAATAATACTGGCAAAAATATATGCAGCAACCTCATCGGATGTGCTACAATCCACAGATCGATGAACATGCAAATGGAGTTAAATGCATGAGTGAGTACATTCGTGGCGTCCAAAGCGCTTTCATTAGCTGGAAAAAAAATAAAAAAAACATTAACTTCAAAGAAGGTTTAACAAATTCAAGAATAACTCACCATCGTACAAAATACTCCAGTAGATAATGGTGATGACAATGGACAGAACCAAGGTTATAATATGCATACCCCAGTACACTCGAAAATAGCTGAAGGAACTCTTAATATTCAAGAGTTTATCTGGGAAACATAAGTAAATACCACTTTAGCATTCCGTGATGGACTTAAACAATTTGTATAAACAACTTACCCGCATATTCTGGATGATAATGCCAAACGGTGACTAGAATAGCACCCAACACGTTCGTCAACATGCACATCCATATTCCCCAGTTGGTCATGTAGATAAAGTACAGCCAATAACTGCTCTCATCATCTGCTTCTGGCCACATCGAAATAATTACCACGACCACGAAAAAAAGAGCAATGAACCAACGATAAAACAAATACGCCAAACTCTTTGTGCATGACTGCCACTAAGAAGAATTAAAAGAATTTATTTAGACATTTTTACACTGCTAATAAAGGTAAAATATAAATTATATAAATTTCTAAATGGAAATAAGGTGCAAGATAAGCTATACTGATCTAACTACTACTACACTGATAAGAAAATAGAAAAATAAATATCTGACTATTGAATTTCAAATTTAGTATTGAATATTTAAATTGAATATTTAATCAATGCATATTTAATTGCATGATTTAATTTTAAAATTTTTTAAATACTGTAGACTATATTAGATTTAAAATATTTCCTATTTGATACAAGTGCATTTTATTTAAGTTTAAATTTTCAGATTTAAAATCAATTCCCAAAATAAACAAATAAAAAAATTAAAAAATGTTCTCATATAAAATAATCAAAAGATGAAATAGGAGAAATATATTTTAATTGAGTACAAAATGTTTCGATTTACTACCCTTTTTTTTTACCAAAGCATTGCATCGGAAATATCGTAATATTTATTTGCATTTATGATACTTTTTTTTTAATTTAAATTTTGGTGTTACGTTAGTTTAATTAATATTCATTTGTATAAATTACATACAAATACAAAAATACAAATAAGGCAGCGAATTGAACCTTTGCCCAATTTTGACTTAGAAAGGTTAAAGGCCACCTGACCTGAGAAGCGCAGTTTATTGTACCTGTCGCATGTTTAAAGAATTGCTTTCTTGACCGACCGTCCAGTTTGTAACGTCTTGCTGCTTATGAATATTTCAATACAGTAATTTACAATGCAAGAGCAATCGGTGTACACAAGACAAAGTGTACTGTCATATATATCAGTTTGTGCATATATATTTGTACCCAAACAGACCCCCATTCTGTTGATACTCTGAATAAAAGAAGTCATTAAATATGCTCAAGGTAAGTCCAAAACAAAATGTTAAAACGCTCAATGTCTTTTACTGTCGCAAAAGTAAGGAGATTCGATTTGGTTAGGGCCTATTAACAAATTGTCATATAAGCATTATGTAACATTATTTCATTTTATATAAACTTAGAACTACTACTTTAAATGTGGCTTAAAGCCAAAATCTAAATAAATCTTAAATTTTATTAAAAACAAAAACATTTTACGAAACAAAAAATATAAGTTTATGCTTGGCATACACCCTAAAGTTACTTTGTACTTTAAACAAATTAATCGTACATTACTCATGAATTAAAACCAACGGCTACTTAATTTTGTAAAAATTGTTGGGTATTTCCAAGACCTTTACCCACCTTATTCTCTAAAGTTCTATGATAGCCAATAGCCAATGACTAACCTACACTTTAAAATGCCCACCATGTACATTGACCCGCAGCCCAAGCGCAAATCAAATAGAAACACACCTGCTGAGGTGCGTGTCGAGCGGAGGCGTTATTATTGTGGGCCCAAGGACGCGGCTATTTGTACTGTCGTCAATGTTTTATTGAACTATTTAAACTGACCCATCCTGTGAAATGATTCTTACCTGCGACTTGACAAAATCATCGGGCGTATCATGGTCGAAGCCGCAGCTCTTGCGCTGGAACTCCTTCTTCACTGGGTGCACGATCACCTGGAGTTTGCTCATCTCGCTGGCTTTTGTGCCGCTCAGAACCGGACTTAATTTGACTTGAGATCTTACGTAAGCAGTCGATTCACGCAAGTTTAGTTCCCTGTGCGGTTATGCAATTCAAATCGTATTTAGCGATGCCATTCTCGATGCAGTTGTATATTGCTTATCACAGATCGCTGAAACGAACATGACATTATAATTTTGAATATATATTATTTATTAAAAATTATTTGTAAGCCATACAATTTTTAGTAAATATTGGCATATAATTGACTAGACTAAGTTAATCATAAAAATTAAATAACTTGCAAGCTGATGGTTTGTTCTTAAAGCTTATATAAAAAATATAAATAAAATTTAAAAAATTTAAAGAATTTTAAAAATGCGTACACAACATTTTGTCCCATGTAAAATGCAATTTTCTGGATAATAATTTGAAGTTTTCTATTGATTTTAGTTTGTGTTTTGTTATTTTGTAAAGTACACTTCTTATTTTAATCGGCTCTCTTATTAAAGCTGATTTTTCTAATAAAAACCTTATGTAACAATAATAACATATATTTAATGATACACTTATATTGTATTCAAAACTATTTAAAAAATGCAATTTATTTTGTTTACCCCAACGCCTGTGTGAAAGACGTAGGCAATATTTTCCTCAGAACACAATTTCCAAACCTCAGTAAACATTTATATAAAACTCATTGGCCCTGCTTCAGACGATTCCTTAGCCACAGTTCATTCTCAGTATTGTCGACGACAAGTATACAAATCGGTCCCATTCTAAACATCTTAAATTTATAAAAAGGAAAATAGTTTCTTGTTTTGATGGAGTTAGCAGGAAAATTTCTGAAGCCCGTCTGGCGGCCAATGATGCAGGGTGAGTGACTAAAGAACAATCAGTAGTTAAACACATTTATAATGGATAAATCTTGGGGCTAGTAACGCGACTCTATTGCGAGAAGGCGATGCGGAGTCTGGTCGCATTTCCTGTAGCCAAAGTGGAAAGTGGAAAGTCCAAGTACATGATGGCCCACGTTTACATTCATGGGGAGATGGGCAGTGCCAAGCAGGTGATTCGCAGCCATTCCAAAGCCAAGTATCATCGTAAGTTCAAAGAAGTCTCACGATCTCTTGGTTTATTCAATATCAATATTGCATTCACCCTTCTCCTCAGTCGATGTCTATGATGAACTAAAAAAGGAGGCTGAGGCAATGGGACTGTGCACCCAGGGTCTGGGTGGTGGCTACTTGGTTCACGACAAGGAAAAGAAGTACATCAAGCTGTATGGAAGGTCACAGGCTCTGGGAAAGGCCGACCACGAAGCCGCCCGTGAATTACTTCAAGCCATCTACAACGATCACAAGATAGATGCTGAATCTGGCGGTATGGAACCCTAGAGGAACTTATACTTTTGGTCCGGCCAATATTTTCGGTTTTGAGTCTCTATTGGCTTAAACATTTATTATAAATTTTGGTCTTAGGACAGTGTAAATAATTTCAATTAATTAATATTAAATTTAACTCTGGACTTATGACTTTAGTTTCTCCACAACAACATAGCGCGGTGTTAAATTTCCCTGGTGTTTCGGTTTAAGCATTTGCAACCCTTTAGTTTGACACTAAAAAGGTTAGCGGCTAATGTGCGAAATGCGAAACACAAGCTGTGAAGGCTTGAGCCTAGTAGACTGCTTAATCGTGCTAATAAAGCGACCATTGTGTGACCGACTATTCATGTAATTATATGAAGTGGCTCGGTGGGATGGCATCATTTATGGATCAATTTACCAGACAGTTCATTCGCTTCGCCGAGCGCTCTGTTATTATATAGTCAGTGAATAATTATTCGCTTCAGCAGGCTAACAGACGTAGAGACCCTCAGCAAGTTATTGTGTTTTGCCTGTCATTGTATAAAATAACAAAAAGTTATGCAATAAATATATTAATTAGCTCACTAAGGTCAAACATTGAAAAAAAAAACAACCTTGATGTCAGGCGCCCAAAGTGCTGAGTAATTATAAAGTACTAGGCTCTGAATTCGCAACAATCTGCCATAATGAGCTATGACTAAATAAAACATCTTTGTTTTTCTTCTGATTACCCTGGTGCCCTCGGCATTCTTGATAAGATATTAAGTGCCTCTTAAGAGAGTTATTTTTATCCTCTGTATAAAAAAGTATAATACAACTTCTACTTAAGCAATCATTAAACTGGCATATGCTTGGTGTACTAGAACTGCATCGCGAACAGCTTTTCCGTCTGTAACTCTAGACCTTAGACTGGATTCAGTCATAACTTTCACGGCAATTGCTTTGGCTCATACAACCAACGTCTAAATAATAATTACTTCTCCAGAGTATAACTCAGCTATAAACACATTTTTCGAGTGCAATGTTTATTGTCCCTGAACTTGCACGAATATCACGCTAATGAGACATTTAAACAAGAAAAAAACTTGAGAAGGAGGGCGGCTCATTCAGGTAACAAACTCTTAACCATCCGCCATGGTGGCCAAGACGGTTTGAAGTCTTGTTTAGTGTGGATTTTATTTACACACTTTTTCGACTGTCCCTTGTGCCACATTTTCGTCAACAAAAGAGACCAAACTGCCTTCAAAATACATATGTTTACAGTGCGTGTCGAAACGGTAAGGCAACCAGTTTTGGTAAAACGTTAATACAAACAAACAATTGCGGTAAGACTTAAAATAAAAGTTGGCCAACTAAAAATTGCAAAGAATCATCACCATTAAAGTTATTTTACTTCTTCCTTTTTATCTCTATTTCTTGGTACATTATGAACCACCAGAACTACCAAAACTGATGATGTAAATATTAGATTTGCGCAACTTTTCTACGCAATATAACTCAAAAGCTAAGTTTACTCACTAAGTTAAAGTGCCCTTTTATTTTGAAACGCACTGTAGGCAATTTTATTTAGGTTTATGGCTCTTGAAGTTGTTCCACATTGAACCTTAAAATAAAACTCATTGACCTTTACAAGCTGTGTAAATCACTTTTCGACTTGAATGAAGTCAAACCCCTTGAGTGAATGGCAAGACGAAGACTTTAGATTCCATTATTAACTACTCCCTCATCAAGATCCACTTATCAAATAGATAAGACTCGTCATCTATTCACCAGACACAATCTATTCAATCATTTTAATAGAAAGTGAAATCAAAGAGTTCAACGCCATTGGAAGCATTTCTTATGTTAATGTCACAAGCATAGCTGAAAAAAACTTTCAAATGATTTTCAAGTGGATGCCCAAAAGCTTGGTCCAAAGACCAATCGAAAGTCATCATAAAAATTCTTAAGTTTTTTACCGACCACTTTTAGACGCTAATTGGCCAATTGATAAATCCTGATTGGTGATTGGGGCCCTCAATATAATTAGTCTGCGAATTGTTGATTATACGTAGAGTGCTAACAATATAAATTGTTTACCTTTTCTGGGATTTTTGATTTGGTAATATAGATAAGAAACTATTGGTTTATTTAGCAATTTTGTGTTATACCAAAGAAGACTCATAGTCCAGCTTTTGTTTTTATTCATTACGTTCTTGAAATTGTCACTATGAGACTACTTTCTGTTATAAAATGAATCCGGTTTTTGGAATAATTGCCATTATCGAATTTAACGAGGTCAGTTATTGTATCAAAGGTGTGAAAATGTACTCTTCTAATTCGAGCAACCGGAAGCGAATGTATTATAAAAGTGTTAATAAATCTATAATGTTTGTGAGAATGCTTAAATAAACAAATCTTGACTGGCCTGTATTATTCGTAAGCCACCCAAAGTAAACCGCAGAAAAAATGCGAACAAACTAGTTTGCTTATGGAAGCCGGTCAATTAGCTAACATTCAAGATTCGATGGGTATTTAAACCGCATTTGCAGATTTTACATAGCCAGACTCACCTTAAACAAATTGCAAGCGCAACTGTCAGTACGATTCCAATTCAGTCCGAATTTAATTGGAATTGTTGATATTTGATGAACAGGAAACTTCACTTAGCTCGCTTTTTCATTAACGTTTTTTGAGGACGTGCCTAAAATTTGAAGCGTAGCGTAAAACCCAATGAGCCAATATGTATGCAAAACTAATGCCATAAAAGTAGAAACTCAACAATTATATATGTACATTTAAGAACGAAAATTTACATAAGAACATACATTGAACAAGGTAAACCTTGTTTTAAATTTTCAAAAAGCCTTGAAACAACATTAACTACGAAAAGATTGTATTTTGCTTTCAAATGAAACTTATTGGAATCGGAAAAATAAATGTTTCAGAAGCCAAACGAATTAAGAACAATAGAAAGCTTGTTAAATCAGTAAATGCATTTTTTTTTCTTAAAAGGAATACAATTAGGTTTAATTTGTATATTTGTATCTTTGCAATACTGCCATATTTTTAGATAGCGCTCAGAACATATTTATTCTAAGGTAAAGCTTTGCTTAGCCATTTAAATGAACTGAGTACACAAATCACATTGTTTGTAAAAGAAACATTTTTTTTTTGTATTGTTTATCGTAACAACTATTCCTCCAGTTAGGAATGTTTTCCACGTTTCTCATATTGATTACACTTTGACATTTTTCTTTAGCTGTGTCATAGACCAACTTTATTTCAATTAATTGTTTTGCGCCATTTACTTCGCGGATTATAAACGCGGTCTGGCTGTCTTTTATTGTCTTTTATTTTTTTGGCCTGGTTGGTAATTTCTATTTGGGTCACCACAGCAACAGCAACAACAACAACAACTTTGCATAACGGTATCTAGCCATTTCGAGTTTGTTTGTTTGCTGGTTTGTTTGTTTGATGTGCCTTGTGCATTTGTAGTCTGTTGTAGTATTACACCAACCGATCACTTCACATTCACGCACCGATGCACCAGAACAGCCGGGGAAACAACAGCAACCAATATATAAATACTATTTAGTAAACGCACCAAGCAAGCAAATAAAAGTTGCGAAGAACGGAGCACAAATCACAACTTCTCACGGCAAAAAAAGAATTTCAACTGATCGTGGCTTGGATTTTGGTCTGGTGGAGTCGCGCCGTTTTGGATCGTATGTCGTTATATCGTAATATCGTAAGCGCAGACGCGGCTGCTGCGACGCCGACGTCGACGTCGACGTAGCCAGGTGTGTTTGCCCATGTGTTTTATGGCTGAGAAATAAAAGAGAGAGAGAGAGAGAGAGAGAGACTTCACAGAGAAAAACTTCGTAGTCATTTCAGTTCCAGTTCGTACTATTTATTAGTTTGAATCGTTGATTTTTAAGTTTTTCTTGGCATATATCTATTTATCTTAGAAACATATTTAAAGAATGTTTTGCTTATACTTTTCGACAATTATATTGCCTTTTATGCTGGTAATTGTAATGACTTAATAAAAATAAAATGTATAAATACGCAAAATATTTACCACATGTTTATCAATTTGTTTGGAATCCACTATAAATCAGACGTTAAAGCTATATGAAAGTTTATTTATTTTTCGTAAAACAAATAAAATATTTAAAGTTTTGGAATATCTTATTCAATTGTATTTGATTTATTTATCATTTGGCAATTTGTTTAACTAAATAAAATAACCGAACCTTGATTAATTCATTTGAAAAATATTGAACATCGTATTATTTGAATACTCTTTTCTTAGTTAACCTAATAAACCTAATAATGTGCTGCAAATAGTTATTATTTTAAATACTTAATTTAAAAATTTTAAAAATAGTTATTTTCGTATTATTTTATTACATTCTTTCCATACTTACTGCGATTATTTTTGATTTTTACAGTGTTTCGATACTAATAGAACGATAAGGCACACATAAAAACCGATGGATGCCTTTTGCTCTGTTTTCTGCCCTCCTCTTTTATCCACTTTGAGCTTAATTACTCGCTAACCGTATTTTGTGAGTTTTTGTGTGCTTTTATTTGGCAAATGTTTGCAGGCAAACAAAAGTAGAAGATTTTACCTGCGGGTACAGTTTGGTAAAAGAGAGAAGGCAACTTCTCGCTTATTAATGTCTTAATAACAGTGGCAAATTTCGTAATTTAAACCAAGAACTTAACTCGGTTTTTTCTGTGTAAACACTGGATTTGTAATCTAACTGCAACGTCACAAGAAAAATGCTTAGTCATCGTTTTATTCAAGAACATCAAAAATCTTGGAACTGGGTTAAGAAAGTGAGCAAAAATGTATTTCTTCTGGTTACCTAATTCTTTGTGTCATTGAACTTGATACCGTACACTAAAAATTTAAGTAACCTTTACGGGTTTTGTTCTATTTTGAATAAATCAAAAGACTAAGATTTAAGATAGGTACTTAACAAATTGTTAAAATTATAATATATCCCTGGTTGTGTTCGATAGATTATGACAGAAAACATACAACAACAATATCTTAAATATTAAGTTAGAGTAATTTTAATTTTTTTTCAATGTTTTCCCATGATTTTCAAACCTCTAATTAACTATAACTTTTATTAATAAATTCATAATTTATATATATATATACACTTTCTTTTATTCCGATTTTCGGTATATATTTATACAATTCCATAGTTCTCTTGAATGTCACTAAAATACGATAACATCAATTAGAGTATTTCAACAAGTTTCATAGTAATGTTTAATCCATATATGTAGTAACAAAATAATTTCTTATTATACCTAACTAAACCAATTCAAAGTTAAGGAACCAGAAGATTAAAACTTACAATAGCAGAAAATAGTTATAAATAAATGCATGCGAATGTGATGTAGGATGGGTTCTAAATGGAACTTACATAATGCTGGCGATGCTAATAGAACTTGGTATTTGTGCGGGTGCCAATGAGGTGACATTACATGGGTGTCAGTGGTGTCTATTTCATCTATTTTAAATCCCTCATATCAGACCCACTGCATGGGGAGTCCAAACCACACTGAATGCCCTGTTGAACATTCTCTTCAGCTTGTAAAGTCCGAAGAGCAGCATCCAGTAGCACATTATGAGCAAAAAGATGCCCACAAATGTCACCAAACAGCGGTTGGGATTGTTCCAATCCAGAATGGGATACACATAGGCATTGCCAAATCTGCAGGAGGATTATGCAAGTGATCAGTATTCAAGTGTAGCGTATGCGGGTAATGTTCTGTACTTACTCATCTGTACCCCCGCATAAGTGGTAGACGAAAGTGAAAATGAAGAAGAAAATCGCCAGACTCATGCCGTAAACCATATGCAAGATCCTAAGCGGAAATGCAACGACAAAGAAATCGATCATCATCATCACAGAATTTAGTCCGTGGGTAATTATGCTTATAGCTGGGTATCGCATGGGTTTATCTATTTAAAATAATTAAATATTGGTATTATACGTATTACGAGTCAAAAGGAAAACGTTTAAAAAGCAACACAAATTTTCCAATAACTTGTGAATTTCTTATGAGTTAATAAAAATTCTTCCTAGATTTCAATTAATAAGTATATTATTTAATGGATAAGCAATCATATAAATCTGAAAGATTTTAAGGAAAAATAATAATAATAATAATAAAACATTAATATTATTATTCTCATTTATTTGTGGAAAACATTCAATATATAATATTTGTTATAAGTTCAATTAGAAATCTTTTAAGATTCTTCTAAATAATTAACAACTCAATTTAAAATCATACAAAAATAATAGAAAGATCCAGTAAAAATATTTTTAATAAAACATTATTAATATTATGCATGATAAAATGAAAACCATGTTATTTTAATCAACTTAAATATGCAACAAAAATTGTGGGAAAACAAGTTTAATACTTTCTGATAAGAAAACTTCCTTAATTTCAATTTATAAATTAAAAACGTAATAAATAGATATAAGCACTTTACAAAAATGATAGACTATATATAGTAGTCCATGGAAAAATAGATTAATTTCCGCACATTTTACGTCATACAGACGTATACTCACTCATTTTTCCATGGAGGAACACCCAGTAGACTGTTGATATGATCAGCGCCAGTGACAGGGTCATATTATATAGCCACCAGTATATTTTCAGCCCCCTCGAGGTCTCGGTCTTGTGGGCGGATTCCTGCACCAGACTCCGGGTATTCCTCAGATCGAAGTGCCAGCAGGTGACCTGTACGGCGGAAATCAGCATGGTGATCGTGCACAGCCCGAATCCCCAGTTGGTCATGTAGATAAAGAACTTTCCGTCGCAAAACTGAACTATTATGCACATGATATACACGCCCAGGAAAAAGAAGGCCCATAGCCAACGGTACAGCAGGTATATTGTGTTGATCTCATCCTTTTGCCACTGCAAAAATTAATTAATTATTAATTATATAAAAATCAATGACTAAATGGTAGGTAATCTATTTTGTTACATCTATTAGTCGTCATACTTTGTTGCTTTTACTGCGCTAACAGTGAAATTTCCATCCTTATCGCAGACTGACTCTTGCTTGATGATCTATTAATGATTATGTAACATTTCAATTAAAATATTTCACACCTTTGCCCGCTTTAATTAGCGAAAACAAATTCTATTTGTTAATGAGAGCACTTATCACTGTTTAATGCTTATCACTCCCAATGACGTAGTGAGAATTAGTTCCTGTCTAAGTAATTCCACCTTCGTGTCAAAATCTTTTGGTTTCGTGTGTGCAATAATATTCAAATTTATTTGTTTTGAACGTAATTATTACGGAAATAAAGTCAGTTGATTTGTCAGATTACGCGGTCCTCCATGGATATTTATGGGCACGTTTGCCGTCTGATAAGGCCTGCCTACAAAATTTATGGCCTGAACCAAAACAGTACTCTGGTTCCTGTTTTGATTTGCTTAGTATTTCATTGGTGCGAAATATGTAATAGTTTTTATGGTGAAGCTAACATTACTTCCCAGAATTTTGCAGTGCCATGGGGATAACTTTTAAGGGGCGAATCGCTTTGGGCGATTTTTCAAATGACCCATAATGTTGATTTGTTGCCGATTTTTAGTTTGTTTGCTTCATTCCTACTCACAATGAAACGTAAAAAAGAGGGTTGTTAACTTAGACATTCTTATCAAAGTTGGTATTTATAATGCGTCTGACAAACAACTTTTATCCATATAGTTGGTTATTTGTATGGGTCGGTATGTCTAAGTCTATATGGTATTGTTAAATATTTCATTCATTCATAAAAAGTTAGCTTAAAACATAGTTTCATATCTATGTGGGTTACGGGTTTGTATATAACTATCGTTCATGTGTGATATTTGTTGAGAACACTACCACTTTGAATACAGTCAAGCTTTTAGTTTAGTTGTGCTAATTAAATTCAAGCTAATTAACAATGCTCGCATGTATACTGTGCTCTCACCATAACATTTTATGTTTCATGTGAACTTCGCTTTTTTTTGTTGAGCACATTCTAACGAACTTTTTGTATGAAAGCCACTTTTCTCTTTTTTTTTTTTTTTTTTGTATTCCTAATGGATGGTTGAATGCCCTGAGGCACTCAGTTTTAATTTGGGCTTTTTGGCTGACGTATTATTTTATATTTTTATTAGATGAATTTTGAATACACTTTTTACTGGTGTTTCTCTTATCAGTTTATATTTTTAATTGCACAACTTTGTTAGATTGTTAATAGCCAAGATGTGCGTCGTTGCCTGTAGAAAACAATAGTTTAAGAACATTATTTCTAAGCTTCTAGAAACTTAATGTTATTTTAAATGTCTTAAGTGTTAAAGTGCTACAACACTAATAACACCTTAGCTTTTCGTACTCAAAAAACACGTGCCCTGTGATCTCACATGAAGAGTTAGGCTCACTAATGACAGTGACTACAATGTTTTCACTTATTTTTGCTACTGCCTATTTGCACTACCCGCATGATACCACCTGAGCTGTTACAGCACCGATAAAGTCTGCTGTATTTGGACAATAATTACGGGCTACTCAGTGCTCACCTGAGATCTGTAGAACAAATGAACGCGGTTGTATGCGAAACCAAAATTGGCCCGTTGCAATTCCTTGTTAAAGCTTTTGCAAAAGTCGTCGAAAAGTTGCATTTCATATGTTTTTTATTGGTTTTGGTATTAATTTAACTTGTTTTATATTAATTTTGTATTTTATGTACTCCCTTATCGAGTTTTGGTTATTTTTTTTCCTTTTTTTTGGTTGGAATTGGCGATTGTTAGGAGCGGAGACTTCCGAACCGAGTCGCGTGTAGCCGGCTACTGACTTCAGCAGCGCTTTTGAGTTATGTTTATGACCCACACGAGTTGCGCGAAGAGAGATAGGTGGAGAGAGTTAGGGCGGTGGAATACGATGAGTAAGGAGCGGTGGAATCTCCTCGGCGATCTTGAAAAGCGATCTTCCAGAGGACCGGCGTGATGGGATTTTGGGGTTATTGGCAAGTCTGAGCTCCGAGTTGGCACGCGCACTCGAGCACTGCAAACGGCGGACTGAATCGATTCGGAACTCGATCGGAAATTAGTGATCGACGACTCGATTCCAGTCGGCAGACGATCACCAGACACATCGGTTGGTTGCCTAACGGGAATTGGACACTCCAAGCACTGGCGTATCATGCTTTTTATATGGCGACATCGCGACCAAATTTAATTTAAAATAATGTGGAGCACTCGCCTGCCCAAAAGAGTGTGCCACTTGACACCCTCCCGTTGGTGGGAACCGAATTCTACGGACCACATTGTATCACTAATATTGACAGCACTGAACTTGAAGCCATAGAGGTCGGTCAATTAAGATCTCCATTAACCAGTGCCAGTCAAAAGCTCCGAAAGTCAAATAATATATATGCCGTGCAGCACTCGATGCCAGAAATTCCAGTTGACCTACATTATTGTGGGTGGAAATGTTCGTAGAGCGATAAGCAAAGTGGGTTCGGCCTTATCTAATCCATCAGAGTGAGCGTTATTATGCACTCGAATGACAGATAATTGGTGTTTAAATGAAAGTAGCTTTGGCATAGTGGGTTATTGTTGGTTTATTTGATCATAATCATAATTTATTTGTTAATGGTTAAATAATAAATACTCATATAAATCGAGAATTCAATAACAGGTCCTTATTTCGTTAGGAAGTTTTAAGGTTTTTTGGTTTTACAAGATATGAAATTTGTCCAGCTTTGGGTTTTTTACTTAACTAGATCAAGGCCCTCAAAAAAGGCATTATTAGTTTAAAAAATACACCAATTTTAATAAAGTTTCTCTCATTAAAACTAATTATTGGATGAAAATCAGCTCTATGATAAGGTATTTATTCAGTTTGATCGTCAGCAATAATTAGAAATTACTGGGTGGTTAAACAATTATTACAAGAAAAAAATATATTATTTTTATTATTACTTTGATGAGATAGAAAAAGAGCTGCACGTCAGTTTGACCTTCTCGCTGTCACATTTTCGCAGCTGAAATTGGATCAATTTGCGCGCTTAACAAACGCCTAGCATCGATTACATGTGGACATTCCAGCTGAATTTTTCATACCCATTCCGTAAAATTTAGAGACCCACCAGCAAACGCAAATTGTAGGTAATCAAAAGAGCAAACTGGTCGTTACCCTTTTTCCTGACCTCGATATTGGCCGAGAGCAAGAAACCGAAAGTGTCGTCGGCATTTGTTGTAAAGATACGCAAAAAGCACAATTGAAACTTCCTCTTTATTGTATAAATTTAATTTGCCTCTGTAATTGAAATTCAATTTCAGGCGACATATTCTGAAATTGACCTGTGGCTTGAATCTGTGGGAATGGCCAGACAAACAGCAATGATTTTTTTTAAAGGAAAATTTCCATTGATCGGTAATTGTTGACGTGTTCTCTGGTTACATTAAAATGATATAAGCAATAAGTTGTTTACAAATAAGTTACATTTATTAATTGGAAGTCTCGCATTGGAAATCTAAGAATCCCGTCGAAAATTAGTAAACATTTGAGTAAATTATGAGAGCTTTGCTTATATTCGGTTAATGAAAAGCTGAGAAAAGATCAGATTCTGAAAGCCTTGAAAAATCAGGGTAAGACCAACAGCATATCAAATGTGATATACGGAAAATTTCCATGCCTTTTCAAAAGAAAAACTAAACCAAAAAAAACTTGGGTTTTCCACGACTCTCTTTTCTATTACAAGATATTTAAATATTTTGTTTCTAATTGAAATTAAACCAAGTAAAATAAATGAACTTTAGTTCTTTATCATCTTCCTATCTATTTTGAACTAAACATTGTTTTTGTGTGCCAACGTTTTATGCAATTTAGTTTAATCAAAATATAGCTCAATAATTATTTATGCATCTGACTATATAAAGGATATCGCATAAAGAGCTGATAAAAGTTGATAGGCATGATTGGCAAACAAGATAAGTTCATGAAAGATTTAAATGATTTCCAATTTCCAAGAAAATAATAACGGGCTAAATAAAGCAAGCCTCATGGTAGATATAGCTTTTATATTTTAAGATCTTGATTTAAAAAACCGAAATACGAATACTAGTAGTAAATTTACGAAAAACTACATTAAAAAACACCCTGTCCCATTAAAAAGCTTTATCACAGTACCTACAATTTTGTACTTCACTTTTTTCTTATCAAGGAATCCATGATTCATAGGAATCAAGTTAAAAAACCTACGTCATAAATAACGCTTTTTTTGAAGAGTTAGCACACTCCCCCAAGCTTGGAAAACTATTTGCTTAGAGTCCATAAAAATTTCAATATGTATTTGCAATGTCTCATATCAATATCAGAAACGGAAACAACGTCACCTTTCCTCCACTTTAAACAATTCATAATAGCCAAATTGATAAGTTACCTAGATGAGTCTGGCAGAAAATGTTAGTGTACTCTATAAAAGGGTTATCTAATTTATCAAAAAAGTTTGCAAAAACGTATTAGAAAGTAAAAAGAAAATTTAGCACTTAAGTTAATTGAAAAATAAAAAGTATTTTAATCGACTTCGAGGTAAGCCACTTGGATACTTAAGAATTTAAGACAAATTGGTTTTTTATGTCCAATAAATTTAAATTAATTGGTAACTTCAATAGCCACCATAAAAAAAGAACGTAAATATCTTCTTGTCTAATCAGTATACAAAACCTATCTATAATGTTACAACTAGATAATTGTTTTTAAAAAATGTCCATTATAAATCTTTGTATACTCTTTTAACATTAATAGTTATGGTAAACAAAGTTAATAAATTATTTCTTTGCATGCTACTTAGTTATAGATTTGTATTGCTTAGTTTAAACTTGTTAATTTACACAGCTAATAAACCGAATGGATTTCTTGATATTTGATAGTGTAGACGATTGGGAGCACGTGTACTGAATGCCATTAGCAAGAGTATTTAGTCCATATTTTCTTTTGAATTGTTTTTTTTTTTGGCGGCGGCATCTTATCGCGTCTTCGTCTGGGGGAATTGGACTGATGGAACTTGGCTCGTCACGGAGGAAAAACCGCCAGCACTTGACACTGCACACGAGTGTTTATCAACATGTTTATAGCCCATCTGCCAGATATGCGAAAATTCCCAAAAATGTTTAAAAATTCAGGGCCATCGATTGCCGTGTGGATATTATTCGTGTGGGAAAATTCCCATCGACGAACTATTGGGACTCGGGTTCAATTCAGTCTATGGCTCTGACCGCACTTGTCCACATCCACATCCACGTTTCAAATTTTTGCTGGCCTTATCAAAGGCGCACGCTGCTGCGGTTGTGAATTAGACATAAACGGTACTCGTTCAGGTGATAAGAATCCAGATAACTGAAGCGTTTCCTATAACAGCCGATTACCGCGATTCAAGCCGACGCGATTTGCGCAAAAAATGGCCCTCCATTCGGAGTGTTTAACACCTTTGCCGCACGGTTCCGTCAGTCTTCGATCTACGGGCAAGTCAGTCGCCTGCTCTGGACTCTTCTGGCCCTCCTAGTCCAACGAAGCCGACGACGAGTCCATCCAGCCACCATTATGCGTGACCAGAGCCAGGAGCCCTGCTGTCTGCCGCTGAAGGAGGAGTTCCAGCGCTCCAAGTTCTCGTTGCACCACGATGATCCTGGCGCCTTCTGTCGATCGCAATGGCAGAAGGGGGATCGCAGCGTGATCTGGCTGCTCTACCGATGGATCCTGGCCGGTTTCTTCGCCGGCGGCGTCATCGGCAGCATGGTGGAGGCCTTCAACGGTGGTCGGTGGTTCATCTACCTCACGGATTGGGGATTCTCCCTGTGCTTCTTTTGCTGCACCTATGGCGCCGTAATCGCCACCATTTACTTCATAAAGCCCTCGTATTTTGGTGAGTATTGAGGGATACACTACAAAATGTTAAGAGAAAAAGGTAATTTTCCAATATGTATTTAATATGTGAAAGTAATCGTTATTATCAAAACACTATAAAATATATTAGGCATATAAAACATTAAGAGAAAATATATTTTTTCAAGGAATAAAAACATTATACTCTTTTTTAAAGAAATAAAGCCTTTAAAACGATAATTAATGCATTTTTGTGTAACGTTTTCATTCGTGCTGACTAAATCATATCCTGTAAGTCACTATTATATTATATTATAAGATATTAATAAATATGTTTCTTACCATTCACAAATTTAGCTCCTGGCAGCCGGACTTTGAAGATGTACTGGATTTCCCACTACACAACTGTGGTGCTGGCTATGCTGATCACATTGGTCTTCTGGGCTGCTCTCTATCCATGTGATTGGTGCTAATGAGTAGTCAAAAAATAAATTTTTAAATTTATAATTATATTTTCCTTAATAGCTATGCCGGAAATGGGAGCAGAGCTGTACAACCTGTGGGCGCACGCATTCAACTCGGTTTGCATGATCTTTGACTGCTTCATGGTCGCATTTCCCACCCGCATCATGCACTTCGTATATCCCCTAATCGCTGGCTTAACCTATGGTCTATTCTCATTGATTTACTTCTGGTCGGGTGGTGTGGATCCGTAAGTACATGCTACAAAATGTTTGACAATTCGCAAATTTGTAACTCATTTATTACAGAATGGGAAATCGTTTCATCTACTTCATCTTGGATTGGGAGCAACCTGGCCTGGCCATCGGATCCATTTGTGGCTGTGTGGTTCTGGCCTTTTGCTTCTGTGTGTTGATCTTCGGATTGTACAGATTGCGTATCTCAATGCACGAGTGCTGTTGCAAAGAACCTGAGGAAATTCCAGCTACCACTGCTCCTCCCAAGGAGCCACGTCAAACTGTTTGATCAAAATTCCTTAGTTTTTCAAGGGATTCCAAAAAAAGTAGATAGTGGATTGCATATATGCTTGGAAGCTTCAGACAGCCCATAGCACCGATATAACCACCTAATCCAGACAAGTTATGTTTTTTTTGCAATAAGTTAACTAATTACGAGACACGAGCTATATATTATTAAAGCTATTATTGTTTAACTCCCTATTAAAAATGTTTTACAATTCACATTGAAATTGAATAGACAATTTTTAATATTTAAACAAACACTTTAAATATAATACTTTATTGTACCCTCCATAATTAGAGAAATTAGGCTACAGCAATTGGTAGAATCCCTTTATTGGGTGCTTATCAAGAAACTCCTTAATTAATTTCAATATATCAATATTACGTATGTATCGGCATAATATTGTATACCTGAAAGTGCTATTGTACCCTAATACATGCCGGTAATAATAGCGATAGTGAAACTTTAGTAAAATTTTCATATCTGTGACTGATTTGATAGACAGTGCTATAATGTCTACACAAGTATGAGTATTAAACTTATATTCTCTATCTTAAAAATAATTGCTGATAGGGTTTTTTGCGAATCGCGACTGCGGACAGATCAAGTCTATCGCGCACTCCGTTTAAGAATTCCTAAGAATACTTACCAAAAAGTTATACTACAATAAGTTAAATATAGTTAAAATCAGCCGATACTTGAGACATTTTTTTCGTTAATTGTTTAATGCCCCACATGCATAAATGAAAATTCCCGAAATGACTCTACGAATTCCAATATCTGCTACGGCGGTTGCGCCAGATTGAAGATTAGTGGTATGTTCCTCGTCTCGAAGTTCGATTCAGTCCACGTTGGTGGTCTTATCGGGGGCGTGGACTGCTGCCGAATCAGACATAAATGGTGCTCACTGGGATGATAAGGATCGTGATAATTCAAGCCGAAACTATGTGCGGGAAATATGGCCTCCCATTTAGACTATGGAACACCTGTGTTCCCATCAGTCTGCGGCTTACCACCAAAGCAATAACTTGCTTGGACTCGACTCCATTCACATTCAAAATCATGAGTGATAAACACAAAGAGTCCTGCTGTCTGGTCTTAAAGGAGGAATTTCAGCGCTCCAAGTTTCGCTTGATTTCGAGGATCCCGGAATCTTTTTTCGCTCGCAATGGCAGAAGGGAAATCGGAATTTAATCTGGGTCTTGTATCGATGGATTCTGGCGGCTTTCTTTGCCGCTGGAGTCATTGGCAGCATGATGCAGGATTTCAATGGCGGCCGATGGTTCATATTCCTCACGGATTGGGGATTTACACTGTGCTTATTTACCTGCACTTACGGCGCTGTTATCGCCACCATTTACTACATTAATCCATCTTATTTTGGTGAGTGGTTGTTCAGCCATTGATAAATTTAATGCAATATTTTTATATGTATACCCAAAATTATTTAAGATTCTAAATAACTTTCAGCTGCTGGCGATCGGTCTCTGAAGATTTACTGGATCTCACACTATACCACTTCAGTGCTCTCCATGTTAATAACCACGGTCTTCTGGGCTGCACTTTCCAACAGTAAGTGGGGCTCTAAAACCTATTTACTCTATATTTAATCACATATTTATCTCGTTTAGCCATGCCAGAAATAGCGGGTGAACTGTACAACTTGTGGTGTCATGCGTTCAATTCGATCTGCATGGTGTTTGATTGTTTCATGGTGGCTTAGTGGGTTATTGTTGATTTATTTGATCATCATCATAATTTATTTGTTAATGGTTAAATAATAAATACTCATATATATCGAGAATTCAATAACAGGTCCTTATTTCGTTAGAAAGTTTTAAGGTTTTTTGGTTTTACAAGATATGAAATTTTTCCAGCTTTTGGTTTTTTACTTAACTAGATCAAGGCCCTCAAAAAAGGCATTATTAGTTTAAAAAATACACAAATTTTAATAAAGTTTCTCTCATTAAAACTAATTATTGGATGAAAATCAGCTCTATGATAAGGTATTTATTCAGTTAGATCGTCGGCAATAATTATAGATCATATTGTTTACTGGCTGGTTAAACATTAATTGCAAAATATTGTTTTGTTATTTATTACTTGACACTCTGATGAGATAGAAAAAGAGCTGCACGTTAGTTTGACCTTCTCGTTGTCACATTTTCGCAGCTGAAATTGGATCAATTTGCGCGCTTAACAAACGCCTAGCATCGATTACATGTGGACATTCCAGCTGAATTTTTCATACCCATTCCGTAAAATTTAGAGACCCACCGCAAACGCAAATTGTAGGTAATCAAAAGAGTAACTGGTCGTTACCCTTTTTCCTGACCTCGTCATTGGCCGAGAGCAAGAAACCGAAAGTGTCGTCGGCATTTGTTGTAAAGATACGCAAAAAGCACAATTGAAACTTCCTCTTTATTGTATAAATTTAATTGGCCTCTATAATTGAAATTCAATTTCAGGCGACATATTCTGAAATTGACCTGTGGCTAAAATCTGTGGGAATGGCCAGACAAACAGCAATGATTTTTTTTAAATAATGATATAAACAATAAGTTGTTTACAAATAAGTTACATTTATTAATTGGAAGTCTCGCATTGGAAATCTAAGAATCCCGTCGAAATTTAGTAAACATTTGAGTAAATTATGAGAGCTTTGCTTATATTCGGTTAATGAAAAGCTGAGAAAAGATCAGATTCTGAAAGCCTTGAAAAATCAGGGTAAGACCAACAGCATATCAAATGTGATATACGAAAATTTCCATGCCTTTTCAAAAGAGTATTTCCGCGACTCTCTTTTCTATTACAAGATATTTAAATATTTTGTTTCTAATTGAAATTAAAACAAGTAAAATAAATGAACTTTAGTTCTTTATCATCTTCCTATCTATTTTGAACTAAACATTGTTTTTGTGTGCCAACGTTTTATGCAATTTAGTTTAATCAAAATATAGCTCAATAATTATTTATGCATCTGATTATATAAAGGATATCGCATAAAGAGCTGATAAAAGTTGATAGGCATGATTGGCAAACAAGATAAGTTCATGAAAGATTCAAATGATTTCCAATTTCCAAGAAAATAATAACGGGCTAAATAAAGCAAGCCTCATGGTAGATATAGCTTTTATATTTTAAGATCTTGATTTAAAAAACGGAAATACTAGTACTAGTAGTAAATTTACGAAAAACTACATTAAAAAACACCCTGTCCCATTAAAAAGCTTTATCACAGTACCTACAATCCATGATTCATAGGAATCAAAAAATTCCATGTTCATAAAAATTTCAAGTTCCAATATGTATTTCCAATGACTCATTGGGACTCGGGTTCAATTCAGTCTATGGCTCTGACCGCACTTGTCCACATCCACATCCACATCTCAAATTTTTGCTGGCCTTATCAAAGGCGCACGCTGCTTCGTCCGTGAATTAGACATAAACGGTACTCGTTCAGGAGATAAGAATCCAGATCACTGAAGCGTTTCCTATAACAGCCGATTACCGCGATTCAAGCCGACGCGATTTGCGCAAAAAATGGCCCTCCATTCGGAGTGTTTGGCACCTTTGCCGCACGGTTCCGTCAGTCTTCGATCTACGGGCAAGTCAGTCGCCTGGTCTGGACTCTTCTGGCCCTCCTAGTCCAACGAAGCCGACGACGAGTCCATCCAGCTACCATCATGCGTGACCAGAGCCAGGAGCCCTGCTGTCTGCCGCTGAAGGAGGAGTTCCAGCGCTCCAAGTTCTCGTTGCACCACGATGATCCTGGCGCCTTCTGTCGATCGCAATGGCAGAAGGGGGATCGCAGCGTGATCTGGCTGCTCTACCGATGGATCCTGGCCGGTTTCTTCGCCGGCGGCGTCATTGGCAGCATGGTGAAGGCCTTCAACGGCGGACGATGGTTCATCTACCTCACGGATTGGGGATTCTCCCTGTGCTTCTTTTGCTGCACCTATGGCGCCGTAATCGCCACAATTTACTTCATAAAGCCCTCGTATTTTGGTGAGTATTGAGGGATACGCTACAAATCATTAAGAGAAAAGGGTAATTTTCCAATATGTAATTAATATGTGCAAGTATCAAAACACTATAAAATATATTAGGCATATAAAACATTAAAAGAAAATATATTTTTTCAAAGAATATAAACATTATACTTTTTTTTAAAGAAATAAAGCCGTGAAAACGATAATTAATGCATTTTTGTGTAACGTTTTCATTCGTGCTGACTGAAACATATCCTGTTAGTCACTATTATATTTTTTATAAAATATTAATAAATATATGTTTCTTACCATTCACAAATTTAGCTCCTGGCAGCCGGACTTTGAAGATGTACTGGATTTCCCACTACACAACTGTGGTGCTGGCTATGCTGATCACATTGGTCTTCTGGGCTGCTCTCTATCCATGTGAGTAGTGTTAATGAGTTGTCAAAAAATCAATTTTTTAATATATAATTATAATTTCCTTAATAGCTATGCCGGAAATGGGAGCAGGGCTGTACAGCCTGTGGGCGCACGCATTCAACTCGGTTTGCATGATCTTCGACTGCTTCATGGTCGCATTTCCCACCCGCATCATGCACTTCGTATATCCCCTAATCGCTGGCCTAACCTATGGTCTATTCTCATTGATTTACTTCTGGTCTGGTGGTGTGGATCGGTAAGTACATGCTACAAAATGTTTGACAATTCGCAAATTTGTAACTCATTTATTACAGAATGGGAAATCGTTTCATCTACTTCATCTTGGATTGGGAGCAACCTGGCCTGGCCATCGGATCCATTTGTGGCTGTGTGGTTCTGGCCTTTTGCTTCTGTGTGTTGATCTTCGGATTGTACAGATTGCGTATCTCAATGCACAAGTACTGTTGCAGAGAACCTGAGGAAATTCCAGCTACCTCTGCTCCTCCTAAGGAGCCACGTCAAACTGTTTGATCAAAATTCCTTAGTTTTCAAGGGATTCCAAAAAAAGTAGATAGTGGATTGCATATATGCTTGGAAGCTTCAGACAGTCCATTAATAGCACCGATATAACCACCTAATCCAGACAAGTTATGTTTTTTTTGTAATAAGTTAACTAATTACGAGACTCGAGTTAGTTATTATTAAAACTATTATTGTTTAACGCCCTATTAAAAATGTTGTACAATTCATATTGAAATTGAATAGACAATTTTTAAAATTTAAACAAACACTTTAAATAAAATACTTTTATTGTATAATATTAATTTGGGAATAACGAAAGTATTTTCCACAACCTTATGCTTTTCAAGAAATTTTATTACTTATTTTTATAGCTTAGACTAGAATAGTGAATCACGACTTTTTCCTCAGATACATTCCTATCCTTAAACGAAATAGTTTACCCTCCATAATTTGAGAAATTAAGCTACAGCAATTGGTAGAATACCTTTATTGGGTGCTTATCAAGAAACTCCTTAATTAATTTCAATATATCAATATTACGTATGTATCGGCATAATATTGTATACCTGAAAGTGCTATTGTACCCTAATACATGCCGGTAATAATAGCGATAGTGAAACTTTAGTAAAATTTTCATATCTGTGACTGATTTGATAGACAGTTCGATAATGTCTACACAAGTATGAGTATTGAACTTATATTCTCTATCTTAAAAATAATTGCTGATAGGGTTTTTTGCGAATCGCGACTGCGGACAGATCAAGTCTAGCGCGAACTCTGTTTAAGAATTCCTAAGCATACTTATTAAAAAGTGTTACTAAAATAAGTTGAATATAGTTAAAATCAGCCGATACTTGAGGCATTTTTTTCGTTAATTGTTTAATGCTCGACATGCATAAATGGAAATTCCCGAAATGACTCTACGAATTCCAATATCTGCTACGACGATTGCGCCAGATTGAAGATTAGTGGTATGTTCCTCGTCTCGAAGTTCGATTCAGTCCACATTGGTGGTCTTATCGGGGGCGTGGACTGCTGCCGAATCAGACATAAAAGGTACTCACTGGGATGATAAGGATCGTGATAATTCAAGCCGAAACTATGTGCGGGAAATATGGCCCCCCATTTAGACTATGGAACACCTGTGTTCCCATCAGTCTGCGGCTTACCACCAAAGCAATAACTTGCTTGGACTCGACTCCATTCACATCCAAAATCATGAGTGATAAACACAAAGAGTCCTGCTGTCTGGTCTTAAAGGAGGAGTTCCAGCGCTCCAAGTTCTCGCTTGATTTCGAGGATCCCGGAATCTTTTTTCGCTCGCAATGGCAGAAGGGAAATCGGAATTTAATCTGGGTCTTGTATCGATGGATTCTGGCGGCTTTCTTTGCCGCTGGAGTCATTGGCAGCATGATGCAGGATTTTAATGGCGGCCGATGGTTCATATTCCTCACGGATTGGGGATTTACACTGTGCTTATTTACCTGCACTTATGGCGCTGTTATCGCCACCATTTACTACATTAATCCATCTTATTTTGGTCAGTGGTTGTTCATCCATTGATAAATTTAATACAATATTTTTATATGTATTTCCAAAATTATTTAACATTCTTTCTTTAACTTTCAGCTGCTGGCGATCGGTCTCTGAAGATTTACTGGATCTCACACTATACCACTTCAGTGCTCTCCATGTTAATAACCACGGTCTTCTGGGCTGCACTTTCCAACAGTAAGTGGGGCTCTAAAACCTATTTACTCTATATTTAATCACATATTTATCTCGTTTAGCCATGCCAGAAATAGCGGGTGAACTGTACAACTTGTGGTGTCATGCGTTCAATTCGATCTGCATGGTGTTTGATTGTTTTATGGTGGCTTATCCCAACCGTCTTATGCACTTTATATATCCCTTCTCCGTTGTGCTTATCTTTTTGGTGCATTCCTTAATTTACTATTGGGCTGGAGGAACCGACATGTAAGTAAAGCTGAGCAATTGCATCCAACAGAATCACGTTTAAATTTACTCAACAGGGACGGGAATCGTTTTATTTATTTCGCTTTGGACTGGGCACGTCCTGGCCTAGCGATTGGATTTGTTTGCGCTGCCTTGTTCCTAATCTGTTGTTTCGCCTTTGTGGCCTTTGGAATTTACCGATTAAGGATTGCGATGTACAAGTGCTGTGTAAAAGAACAGGAGGAAACAGCAGCGCTAAAACCGACTCCCAAGCAATCATCTCTAGCTGTTTAGTTTAAATTCAATAATTTTAATCGGTTTCAAAGCCATATAGGACACAAGCTTAGGCCATTTTCTGAACTACGGCGAACTGCAGCGATTGGATTTGGTTGGACCATTTCTCCAGCGCATTGTATCGCGAGGCGCTGCTGTTGATCTTGTCCAGCTGGAGCACCTGATTAACTTGGTCGATCCGTCCTTTAATGGTGCTGCAATGGCGCAATAAACATTAGTCAAATTCTCAGTATCTTCAAGGCTAATATCTTACTCATCTAGAATGCAGGAGACCAACAGACTCTCTACTTCAGCTGGCTCTATGTTTAGCGCATTGGCTATGAAGGGTATAGCAATGTTCTTATAGGGCCTGATCAGTTTTATGAGCACCTGGGTGCGAATATTTCGCAACAAGTCTTCAATGTGCTCCCGTATAAACTGATCGGCCATGATGTTGCTGCGATGCTGACGCAAAATGGTCTCAAACTCATTAATATCGTTGTTTTGATAGGAGTTCACCAGATTTGTCATGGCCAGGATTTCAGGATCGTTCTTATACGGCTTGGCTTCCTGTGAGTCAAAGGGATTTATGCCGGATTTCATCAGCCTGAAAATAAGATGGATAATTAATTAAGCGAGTGTTTCATAGGTACATAGTATTCCACCTACATGTTAGCCAATACCAAGTACTTTAAGCAAGTCGTCCTCCGTGGCGATCCGCTCTCATCGTAGTTTTTGAACGCCTCAAAGAAGTCCGTGTGCGCCTTTTCAAACTCACCCTCTCGCAGGTGCATTTTACCGCCGCACTCACGAATCACACCCATGATCAGGGGATGTGGAATGGCCGACTTGATGTGGAGCGACTGTTCGTAGAGGGCCTTAAGCTTCTTGTTGTTCTTCTGCACCGTGTACATCTGAATCTCCAGGGCATAGATTTCCAGCAGCTGGGTGCCCTTCTTCAGGTCGTCCTCGCCATCGTCTGTCTGGCAGCTCTGATGCAACTGCTTCAGTATCTTCTGCAGCTTGGTAAAATCGCTGCGGTCGAAGTAGAGTTTGCCGAGCTTGGTGTTGGTCTTGAACCACAGGCGATCGTTTTTGGCATCTCGCAGGGCGTCCAGCGTGGTCTCGTAAAAGTTCTGCAGCAGGGCCATCTGGAAATAGGTACATTTAATTAGTAAATATGTTATTTTGTTAAACAAATTTGAGGTCAATACCATTCAAGACTCCTTTCGTAAAAATTTTAATTGTCTTTAAAAGATAAGTATATAATTCAGATATATGTTTGTAATTAGAAAGGTATATCTGAATTAAATGTGAACATATGACCTGCATTAAATATTTTAGGCCTTTAGAATAATACAGTTATTGTACTACAATCTTTTGAAAACTAATGAAATAATCCAAAAGGATCAAATTGTTTTGGATGATCATATTCCTCACTTAAATATTTAATTAAATATGTAATGGCTTTAAAACGCAACACTTATTTTAAAAAGATCTTCACAGATAAATAATTATATCCAATTAAAAGAGTACAATAGTTTTGGATGCTCACATTCTTCGACGTGGATATATAGTCCAGGATCGAATTGATGCTCTTTTCAGAATGATTCCTGGTCACGGCACTTTTGATGTAAGTGAGCAGCTGCTTGTAGCGCACCATCATCTCATCGTAGTTGCACTGCAGGTATAGTTAAAATTAAGTTAACGATATAATTAACCTATTTCGTACTGCCTCACCAGTCTAAAGTTGATCTTGATCATTTGCTTCAGCGCCTTGAATCCCCACTCTCCCTTTTCGCCATTTTCCAGATCGAGAACCTTCTGGAAACTGGCCAAAGCAGCCTTGGGCTCCTCCTCCTTCAAAGCCTTGCTGTTGTAGTACTGATTCTCCAGATCCACATCCGGTTCCGAGTTGCTATCCTCCGAGTATTCCTAAAAAGGTATACAAAAGTTGGGAGTCAACAAAAGCCGGTCATCGTTGCAGGTCTTAAAATCTGCTTAATTTCACTTCTTTCTTACCAATCCATAATCCTCATCGTCGTCGCACATAAAATCGTCATCGTTGTCGGACATTCTGTGGCTTTGGCTTTCCAAATTACACTTTATCAGCAAATAAATGCGACAAACAACAATATTTTTTGCAAGAAAACACAAAGCAAGAAAAAATGTGACCATTCGCTGAGTAGCCAAATAATGATGTCAAATGTGGCCATCAGCTGTTCGCCAGTGATTCGATAACTGTTAGTAGAGCTGCTTAAGCAAAAGAGTGACTGAGTTGGTTTTATTTATAAAAAAAAATTAATATAAAATTTGATGGTGGGTAAAATTATGAACACATGACAAACCATTTTTTTTGTTGTATTTTTTTTTCCAAATAACAACCACTAATTAAAACAATACTACTTACCCGTGACTGTTTCCCTGCTACTTTAAAAATATTTAACGGTTTTTATAACAACTCCCATCCCTAGTTTCAACCCATCACTAAAGCCGGATTTTGCACATCATTTTGCAAATAAAATGAGGTAAACAATCTGGCAAATTATACTTTTAATTTTTTTTTAATTTAAACAAACATTAACACAGCCTGACAAAACGACTCCTGCACATTTTCCCTCGTTGTAGTTTCGCGAAGAGGTCTCATCCCTCTGCGGATCGCAATTCGCAGCCAATTTCGGAGGCGCTTCTTTCCCAAGTCGACAGGAGCACCCAAAACTTGCAATTGCTGGAGATTGCATCGGGATCCGGACAACATGTGGGATTCCTGGCGCCCCTGCTGCCCAACATCACCTTCCAACCGACGGAGTACGAAAGGGGCCAGTTCGAATCGATATCCGCCTATGCGCAGGATTGTTCAACCGGCAATATCCGAGCACCCCTTCATGTGGACATCAGCCGGGATCCCAAGGACTGGGAGAATCCCCCTGTGCCAGCCAGCTACGATTACATGTTCAACTCCAACATGATGCACATCAGTCCGTGGATCTGCTCCATAGGACTTTTCCACGCCGCCGGGCAGCTGCTGAAGAAAGGTGGCCGGATGTTTACCTATGGACCCTACGCCCAGGACGGTGTCCTTGCTCCGCAGAGCAATGTGGACTTCGACTGGAGCCTACGGCAGAGAGACTCCTCCTGGGGCGTTCGCGACATCAGGGATCTGAAGGTCCTGGCGGCCCAGAACGGCCTCCAGCTGGAGAAACTCACGGAGATGCCGTCGAACAACAAGTTTCTGACCTGGCTTAAGCTGTAAAATAGTGCACTAGACTAAGGCTATGGGGCGATTAAACCCTCTAAGATAACAACGTTTATTTGAAGGCAATAAATTTTATTGCCAAGTGTGAGAGGGCCTCCTCGTCGAACTAGGCCAAGTGGACAGAGCGAGGAGCTGACCCTGAAAGCTGATAGTCACTTGATTGATTGATTGCTGGTCGCTATATAAAGAGCGATCTGGTTGCACCTGCAGCAATAGCAATCGATCATCGGAGTTGAAAGCATGACGCGGACCATTCTTCAGCTGCTTCTCGCTGCGATTCTCCTGGTGAATCTGAGTCTGGCGGGAACGGCAAGGCGACCACGCCTCGATGGACGCATTGTGGGCGGTCAGGTGACCAGCATACAGGACATTCCCTACCAGGTTTCCCTCCAGCGGGGCTATCATTTCTGCGGCGGCTCTCTGATCGCCCAGGGCTGGGTCCTCACAGCAGCCCACTGCACCGAAGGATCGGCCATACTCATCTCCAAGGTCCGCATTGGATCGTCGCGAACTGCTGAGGGTGGACAGCTGGTGGGGATAAAGCGGGTCCATCGGCATCCCAAATTCGATGCCTACACCATCGACTATGACTTCTCGCTCCTCGAACTGGACGCGTATAGTGTGGAGAACGTGACCCAGGCCTTCGTGGGACTTCCTGAACAGGATGCGGACATTGCCGATGGCACACCCGTCCTGGTTTCCGGCTGGGGAAACACGCAGAGCAGCCAGGAATCCACAGCCATTCTTCGGGCCGTAACCGTACCGAAAGTCAGCCAGACGCAGTGCACCGAGGCCTATGGCAACTTCGGCAGCATCACGGACCGCATGCTGTGCGCTGGTCTGCCGGAGGGCGGCAAGGATGCCTGCCAAGGTGACTCGGGCGGTCCGCTGGCCGCCGACGGCATCCTTTGGGGCGTCGTCTCCTGGGGCTACGGATGTGCCAGGCCAAACTATCCAGGCGTCTACTCACGGGTCGCTGCGGTCCGCGACTGGATTGCGTCTATTAGTGGCATCTGAGGTCGGTAACTCATAAAATTCTTACTAAAAATATACTTTTATAAATAACAAACATACAAACCTTTTAAAATTCGGTAGCATTATTAAAAATTTTATTTAAAACTTAGAGAAAATAAAGAATGTACTTTTGGGGGGCTTTGCTCCCACCTTTTGGTGTGCAATAAATGTAAACATTTAATTCAAAGTTTTAAACGTTGAGAAATGGCCTCAAAATGTCTGTAAAAACAAATCAAACGAGATGTAACGTATTGAAAAAAGGCAACAGTGTGTATGAGTGATATACTTTCAATCCAATAACTAAAGGCCAAAATAACCGCACTTTAAGTTTTTCATACAAATTTTTACCACCCAAATGTAAATTGCTTTTTATTACCACAAATCATTATATCCAGTATTTTAAAAAGGTTTCTATGGTATTTAATAATCATTACAACTAAACAATTAATAGCATATTTAGTGTACAAATTTTGAATCAAGAATCCCCCCTTAGTATTTGATTAAGCGATTCAATCAATGAGTTTGCGACACTTAATTTGCAGCAGCTGCACCTCTATTGGACCATTTATCATGTTCAACTGAAGCAATTGACCCAGAAAAACCTTGAGTACAAATATTATTAAAGTCTGGAGGGAAAGTAGAAAGGGTTTTTGTGCAGGGATAACAACGTCATATCAATAACTGCATAGACAGACAGAGGAGAAGAGCAAATTTACTTAATGATTGGCCCAAAGGCAAATAAAAGTTCACAAGACGTAAAAAAGTACAAAGTTGGCATAGGTAAAGTGAATTGATTGGTAAGAGTGGCACAAGTTTCCATTTCGAGTGCTTCCTCCCGATGTTTTTCATCTTCGATTGCAGTTTCCCGTTTTTCCTACTAGTTCTCTCAACCATTTTCCAATTTCCAGCATTCACTAATTGTTGATTAAATGCTGCAAATTGCTGCGAATGTTTCCCATTGTTGTCTTTCTTCTGGCTTTTCCGTTGACGTTTTCGGTTACCTTTTACCAACTACGCTTGGCAGAGCAGTTAGCACGACGACCACAGGTGCTAAAAGGGGAAAAACGTCCGATGTGTCCTTTGGGTCATTGCAATTTTGCACGTGAACTTGTTAACAGCAAGGCGCTGCACAAAAAAGGGGTGAAGTGTGCAGGAAGCCAAGACATGAACTGCAAATTGAACGGTTATGTCGAGAGATTGGTCACAAGGTAAACTTAACGTTGCAGTTTTCAACTTTCAAATGAACTCGAGTGGGTTGCTTCGAAGCATACTCTTAGGGGTACTTACTGCTCAATGGGAGTCAACTAGCATGCGAATTTTGACATACAATATATTATACTTCTTCTAAAAACTATATTTTCTACTTTTGACACCTTTCATTTATTTTGTCTATTTGAAGATTTAAAACTGATCATATAAACAAAACTATGATCTTTTAATACCCAAACTGAGCATTTTGTCATTTTGATGGAAAATATTTACAAATGACAAGAGAATATCAAATAATGTTTATCATTAGTAAAATTATTATTATAAGTTTTGTAAGATTATTATAATACTTTGTCTCTTCAGTTTTGTTGAAATACGGGGTGGCCTGCAAAAAAGTCCCGTTTTAAAATGGCTAAACAAAAAAAAATAGGGTGAATATTTTGTAAAATATTTATTTGTTGAAAATTTATTTATTAGTAAAAGTTATCATAAGTTTTAAAGGACTAATATAATACTTATCAATGGTTTTCAAAAACATTTGTATACATAAAGGAATTTTCCCTTGCAACAAAGGTCGTCTCTTCAGTGGCCTGCAAAAAAGTCGCGTTTTAAAATGACTAATCATAAAAAATAGGATGAATATTTTTAAAGTATTTATACGTTGAAATTTATTTATTTATTTATTAGCAAAAGACCACTTGTTCTCTAAAACGTTAGATTAGGTAAACAGCTTTTTGTAAGTGGGAAAACATAGAGAAACACATTAAGTTTCATTGTGTAATTATTCGTTTTACCATAATCTACAATCGTGCTAACTAATTGAGATCCAATTAGGATGCCCATGTTTATTTCGGTGTATTATGTAGATTCAGATTCCTATTCACTTTTAGTGTTTGATTATGCCTTGTTTCATAATATTTGAATTGCAGCTGGACATTTTACTAGTCGAAATGTAATTAGGAGGCTTCAGTTTATCCTTTAAAGTTCCCCAGGCCTTCTTCTGGATTGGAGACCTCCAATAACGACTTGTGGCAGTACTTAAGCTGCTTTTGTTATTATTTTTCTTTCTGAATCTCCCCCCTTTCCATTTCCCTTTCCCTTTCCCTTTCCCTTGTTTTTGTTTTTTCGCTTCCCTTTTTTTTTTGTTGTTCATGGGAGCCACCGAGACATAGAAAATGTAAAATTTGTTTGTTTCCTTTCATTGATGTTGAAAGTTTTTGCAGCTGCTGCAGACAATGCAATGAGTCGGGTCCTATATTCTTCACCCATTTCTGGAGGACCTCCTCGGTCTCTAATTTTATCTGCTGGCATGCCTGGGGACTGTCTTATTATTGTAGTTTGTCGATTTGTTTGCATTGTAGCCGACATTGTTGTTCTCTTAGCCAGTCCAAAAGCGACTGTGTGTGTGTGCGTTGGTGTGTGCGTCCAGATGGCCCAACAACAATCGATTGTTATAAATTATTTTGCAGCTTTTGTAATTTGTTATGTGAATAACAAATATTGACGAGAACACAGAGGATCTATTGAATTCTTGTTTTCGCCATAGAAGATTGCAGACTAATGAGAAGCAAAAATTCAATTTTTAGACCGCAATTCTACAAAGCTTATAATTGCTAGATTTTATTAATAGGGCAGCCAGAGAAAAACATGTTTGAAAGCGTGAACAAAACTCAACGTTTCCTCAAAAGTGGTTTCGTATTCCAATGCACTCATTCTAACAAACTTATACTTATTATTATTGCAGTGTTACAAGATAAAAGAAAAGTACGAAAATAATAATTAGATTTAAACATTTTCTATTTATTTTCATTTATAAACATTCTTTATATTTACGAAAATAGGTATCTTATATACATTTTAGTTTTAAAGGAATAGTTTTCTTGTTTGCTTAAGAATGAATTTGCCTTGCTACTTATTAAAATTTGATTATTTATTGCACTACCATCTTGGCCTGGAGTTGTATGGAAATATATATTCGAAAGATTAAATACATCTGCTCTAGGGCCATTGCGACTTGTCTATGACTCAGTTAGGTGGCCTACGCGGCGTATGCTTGATCTGCCGGGATGCTGCCACAACTCGCTATCCCTGTGTGTTGGGGTGTGTTGGGGTGTGTTGGGGTTTTTTATGGAAATAATATTCTTGTCAGGATTAAAAAGGATACGTGACCGGAATACGAGTGCAATGTGCATGCGGAAATGTGGCCAGGACCTGCGAGAAGCGGCACAAAAAGGGCAGGAACAAAAAGCGGACGGAAAAGTAGACAAACAGGAGCCGCAACAGGACTAAAATGTATCTGTCAGACTCGTCGACTTTTGCTATCGTTGTCGCCTGTCGCATGTATCTGTATCTATGTTTGTGCTTGTATTTTTCTTGCCAGCTCTCAGCCACTTTGCTCCACCCTCCATCGCCATCATCATCATCATTTCGATGCTTATCCTTGCTTATTGTCCTGTCAGAAAAAGCCCGCTGCTCCTCGTTTTCTCGTGTTTTGTTTCGTTTTTAATTTTTAAGAAAGCATATTGTAATTCTGTTGTTTACCTGTTTGGACACTCGGATACACGTACTTTTTAAATCTCGACCGCAGGCGATCCCTTGTTTTTTTGCTTACCAGATTAGAGTGCTCTCGTCCTGCTCCTTGCCCGAATTCTCCTCAATGCACTCAGTCATTTGTCCTGTCATTTGTAATATTCCCCTACGCATCCTTGACAGCGGCTTAGCATTGTTGTTGTTTTAGCTGCTTAGCTATTCGAGGCATGTCCTGGGCAATGGCCACGATTGTGATGTATGCTTTTCAATTCCACCTACGGCAAGTCCCCTTCTAATTTTGTTTAAATTATTCCTCGGCTTAACCAAAAAACAAATGAAATAAATATATTTTTGTGGGGCTTGTTTGGGTTTATCTGCCGGCTAAGCTACGTGTCTTCTTGACACTATTTGTGTTTATTTTATTTATTGACAAGGACATTTTAATATTCGTTTGTATCAGTTTTTTATTTTTGATAAAATTCAAACTGTTAAATGTTTAAATTTTAATTCAAAACGCCATAGTTTCTTTATGAAGCACTAAGCTAAAGATATGAAAACAAGACCCCCGATTCATATCGAATCAAATTTTAAAACAACCCTTCGATAAGTGCTTAATTTTGTTGTCTTTTCTTAATTTTTTTTAAATCAGAAAGTTATACCTCAGACTCAAAGTATGTCACATTCATTGATTTTCTAAATAAAACTATAGTCCTGAAACAAATGGTATAATATTTAATAGTAATCCAAAAATTTTATAGGTATTCCGTTGTAAATTTATTCAGATATCAATTTTACGATATATTATATCTTTGATATCTACTGATATATTAGCTGATTACAATGATAATGTTTGACGTCGCTTTTACTATTTTTATTTCCATATTCTTATGAATTGTTTCAACCAATTGGCTATTCGCCCATTTATTAACGAATGTGGAAAATTTTATAAAAACAGCCATTGCGTTGTAATTTTATTGATTAGAAAATATCCACAACATATTTGAAGTACATTCCACCGTCAAAAGTCACAGTATTGAAGTGTAGTCAACACATCTGCTCGTGTGACTCAAAGTGAATTGAAGCATATTGATAACAGAACCTAATCTTTATAGATTAAGGCATAATATCCGCTTCTGTGGTGGTTCAATTTTTGAATACAAATGAGCAGCAATCGGCTGCATTTGAGTCAGTTTCGCTTCAGACAGCTTTGTGCAAAGTGGTGTATTTCCCCGATCGAAATGTGGAAGAAAGTGATCTTTTGTGTGGTTCTTGTGGCCTTTGTAGGCGTGCAGTTTGGTGAGAAAAAAGGATAAATTAAAAAAGAATTTCGATTAACAGAATGCTCTTAACTTTTAGCCAACTCGCTGACCTGCTCCAAATGTAGCACTCCCTCCGGATGCAAAAGTCCTTCGTCTGAGACCTGCTCGAATGCTACGGCCAATGTCAATAAGGCTCATTTGGAATCGTACCACAGTAATGTGCCCGCCGTCAATGGCAGTCTGAATTTCGCTTGTGCCAATCTCACATACTACCATGCAGCAAGTATGTATTTTAATCATTTTTATGCTTTAAAAGGCTTTATGTAATCGTTGTTTTTAACTTTCCTCCAGACAACTCTCACACTTCGGAGTTCCTGGGCTGCGTCTTCAATGAGACAAAAGTGTGCGATCTAACTTTAACTAACACCGCTTCTGGATGGAGCAAGAAGTGCTTCCAATGTGGCACCGATTATTGCAATCCTGCGGGAACTTTCAGCGGAAGTGGCTATACCATTGTGGGTTCGGTGATTGCCGTGCTTCTGGCCAAGGTCCTTAGCTAGACCCATATTCTGACTGGGGAGCAGTATTAAACTTAATTCCAATTGTATAATATTTATTTTCGATATGGCGAATTAAAATGAAATTTTATTAAAACACCAAAATAAAAGACTTTGTTTTAGAGTGAGAACAAGTTTAAGTTATATCAATTTGTTTTCAGAAAACTAGCTTGAAATGTACATGCAAATTGCAACCTCAGATAGTAACAAGATTTTTATATACAAGTAGCTTAAATGGAAAATATATAAGTCCAATCTATTATTTACTGATTTGCCAATTTTGTATATACAAAATTAAGACTTGAAATATTGCATACCCATTTAAGTCACTTGTTTATTAAAATTCTTATGTGATTCACAGTTCTTAACCCACATTTTTTCTGAAACTTTTATTGGACTAATTAATCGTTTTATGGGCTCACTTAAAATATTTATTAGCTTCCAGTTATGACTTCCTTTTTAAAAGGACAAGCTTTATATTTTTTGCAATTTTTTTTTAACATGAAAACAAAACTAACAATTGGATAAGTAGAAAAAAAATTTCGTAAATAAAGTGTCATTTTTATTTTTTAAGCCTCTTGGCTACTTATTTAATGAATTAGCTAAAAACTTCCCCTTTTTGATTGTTACCTATTTTTTTCAAGTGTTTTTTATTGCCATATAGGTGCGCATATTGATAAGGTTCGGAAAAAGATAAGAGTTATTAAGTGCGATTGTATGAGAGCGGCCTATCTCAGTCAGGTGTGAAATTGTCATGCTGTGAGTAAGATTTGAAATTGTGGGCTGGGTCCCAATAAGGTAACAATAAGTAAAGAGAGTGAAAACCAAAACTGCTGTCAAATCTTACAAACATGCTTGTAAGTGCAAAAGTTTTCATATTAAAGATTATTTTTCTGGAATTGTAAATTTAATTATATAAAATTAAATATATATAAATAAATAAATATAAATTTAAATACAAATAAATTTATCCAATTCCTAAGACCACCTTTTTATAAATCAAAGCACTCCTTTGGCTTTATTTACCATAGAAGTAATATGGATAACTTAAGTTTGAGGTCAACTCGTCAACTCCCAACCACCTAACGTATTCGTGGCGTGTACGGAATTGATCCGATAAAATGTAATAACTCTTTACTATGCGCAATTTAAGTCCAATAGAATTTACACAACACCATGTTTATAGAGGACACGCAACTTCGTCAAATCTAGGGGGAGCTCTTAATAGACCTCTTAATAAATAATGTTAAATGTGGGCCACCTTGGCTCCCCCGTGGGTCGCCTGAATTAACTTGTATAATTTTGGAGATAGAGCTTATTTAGAATATTAAGTCTGACGTTTTGATTTGTAAAAAAAAAACATATTTAATGCATAAAATGAAAACCAATATTTACTGCATCAATTGAATGAACACCTAAAGGGGAAACCCTTTCTGTTTCCCATTGAAACTTTTTTGATAAGCTTACTAGGCTATAAACGTTGCGATAAGCTATTCAACCAAAATACTAGTGCTTATCTGTCGAGAACAGAGAAGGTTCGAAAACCCAAGAGAATCGCCATATAAAGGAGTTCTCCAATTCCCAACAGAGTTTAGTTTTTAACGAAAAGTCGACTAGGAAAGTGGTAGTGCTTTGTCAATTGTGAAGAAAAAGAATATAACCAAAGATGAATGCGAAAGCTTTAATAGTCACTTTGTTCGTCGCCTTTGTCTGTGTGAAAATTGGTGAGTCATAAGGCTAGAAATATGGATTTAAACTTAAACTGATGATCTTTAACATTGAATAGCTGATTCCCTGGTGTGCTACACCTGTGTTACGCCAAAGGACTGCAAGAGTCCCCAGAAAGTAACTTGTAGCAATGATGCTGCCAACAAGACTAGTGACCAGTTGGAAACCTATCACACTGGAGTTAGGAAGCTAACCAGCAGCCGATTCGACTGTCTGGCTCTTCAGTACAAATTGAGTGAGTAGTTTGGATCACAGAAGAAATCAGGGTAGATACATACTAATATATCTTTGTCCCTCCAGATAACGAAGTGATCCATCAGCTCCATGGCTGCATTCACCCAAATGTTGGAGCCTGTAGTTTGAGCTTGAAGCCGGCTTATAGCCATTATAATAAGACCACGTGTGTAACCTGTTCCGGCGACAAGTGCAACAAGAATCCGGCGGGAAAAATGAGCAGCAGCACGATCACAATTGCGGCTAGCGTTTTGGGTCTCTTGCTGTTCAAGATTTATGCCTAGAGCACGACTATTAATATAGATGAGTTAAAAGCACCGAACGAAATTTCGTAATAAGTTATTTTTCCAATATCTTCTCTAATTTGTTATTGGCTTATCAGCATTGATTAGATTGAGTTCTTGGACTTTCCAACCGTACACGTTTTCTTAATATTTCACAAGGGTTTAATCAGCAGGTGATTAAAATTTATGATTATATTTGTGTAATTTTAGCTCAGTTCCAGATCTTTGATTGTTCAGTATAAAAAACGTTGATAAACCAATTGGTTTTACGAATGCAACTGGGGTGATAAGCACTTGAGTCATACCCCACGGTTATTGCTTAGTTATTGAATAACAATGTATTTTAAGAATGCATATATGTTAGATGCGATGGAGGGACAACTAGAAGTGGTCTCACCTACTTATCTATTGCCTATCCATTTCTGTACTTGATTTTTATACCCTTGCAGAGGGTATTATAATTTCAGTCAGAAGTTTGCAACGCAGTGAAGGAGACATCTCCGACCCTATAAAGTATATATATTCTTGATCAGCATCACTAGGCGAGTCGATCTAGCCATGTCCGTCTGTCCGTCCGTCTGTCCGTCCGTTTATATGCAAACTAGTCTCTCAGTTTTAAAGCTATCTGCATGAAACTTTCCCAAAAGTTGTCTTTCTATTGCAGGTAGTATATAAGTCGGAACGAGCCGGATCGGACGACTATAGCATATAGCTCCCATAGGAACAATCGGAAAAATAAATGAAAAAAAATTATAACTTTGCTGTTTTTTAATTTTTTGTTTAGTTCTTCGATATATAGCAATGGTTAAATATTTCAGAATTATGGTTTAAATTTCATCAAAATCGGACGACTATAGCATATAGCTCCCATAGGAACAATCGGAAAAATAAATGAAAATAAATTATAACTTCGCTGTTTTTTAATTTTTTGTTTAGTTCTTCGACATTTAGTAATGGTTAAATATTTCCGATTTACGGTTTAAATTTCATCAAAATCGGACGACTATAGCATATAGCTTCAATAGGAACAATCGGAGAAATAAATGAAAAAAAATTATAATTTTTCTGTTTTTTAATTTTTTGTTTAGTTCTTCGACATTTAGTAATGGTTAAATATTTCCAATTTACGGTTTAAGTTTCATCAAAGTCGGACGACTATATCATGTAGCTCCCATAGGAACAATAAAAATATATAAAAGACCTATCAAATAATTGAGCTGCAAATCATCATAGCTTCAATGTTTTTAAACATATACGCAAGTAAATTATAATTTTAATGTTTTCAAAAATGTTTAATTCTTGCAATAGCTGCAAGGGTATATGAACTTCGGCTTGCCGAAGTTTGCTTTCTTTCTTGTTATAAGTTGTATTCGATACCCAGTTGCAACGTGAGTTAAAGAGTGTAACAAACGGACTAAAGTCAGCGTTCTTATATAAAACAATTTAAATTCTTTAATTAATTAATTATTATTTTGATTTTTTCGTTAAAAGTATTAAAAAGATAATTTTTGAAAGTAAACTTTTTTTAATGTATTTTCAAACTTATTTTTTTACCACCAAATTCATTGTTTTTTAATACTTTACTGCTCCTTATTATATAAACGACTGAAATCAGAGACATGCTATAAAAAATTTCAAGTGAGAGAATTTTTATCATTTACTATTTGACTTAAATGCTGCCATTTTTTTTAAATTAATCCTCTTAACCAGTTTGAACAGATCTGTTAAAAAATTATACCTCTTCTTCGGTTAATTTAAATTATTCCTCATTTTTTTTGCCAATATGAAATGGTAAGCCCTGGCCCTCCATCTTCATAAAAATTCTCTTTGCTACACTAGCCATGTAGGGAACTCTCAGTCAAATTGGCTAACTATTCCAGAGAAAGCGGAGTTGAAATGAGTCGAGAAACATGAATAAATCTTTAATAGTGTTGCCCGGCTGGCTGGCTGGCTGCCGAAAAGGCAGCCTAACATTTTTGCTTGCCGAACATTATCCTTTGGGTCATTCGATGGTTGTTGTGGCTCGTCGGTTTGTTGGAGCTGCAGTCAGGCATTTAATTGATTGATTGTTGCTCGTCTATGTCTGCATCGATTTGGCCGTGTTCACACCGCCCTCTAACCCGCTGCCAAACCCCCCGTTTCGGACTCCCCCGTTCCGATGTTTCATAACCAGAACGGAAAGGGTCCCGAAGCATCCTGCACCGTTATCAAATCGACTTCCTGGCTATGTGTGGCCCACGTTGGTCCTGCTGCCAATTAGTGTTGGTGCGTCATCTGTGTACGCTGTGTATGCAGTGTGTGTGTGTATGTGGGTGTCCGTCATCAATTAATTTTTGTATTGTTGTTACTTTGTTTTTTGGATGGTTTTTTGCTGCACTCGATGGGTCGCGTATGGGGAATCCCAATCCCCCTGTTGACTGATTGGTTTCTTTTCGATTCAATTGTTTCATGTGTCCGTGGAATGGGAATGGATGTGTTTGCTAAACAATGTTATGGTTATGGCTTTGACATCTGGAGCGAGGTGTATGACCAGAGCGGAGGATTTCAGCTGGAGCATATTTTTCATATTACTACTGCGCCTAATGAGCCTACTTTAAGGATGAAATCGACCTGTATATCAAAAAATACTTTTCGATGATCCCAGGACACGATTTGGAGAATAAGGTGGTCCTTCAAAGCAGAATTTCTTAAAATTCTACCATTCACTAAAAACCAATAAATGGCCTGAGTTCACAGAGTTTCTAATGTAATTATTGGTATTGGCATATGCGATGCGTAATAATAATTTATTGGTAACTGAAATTAAAAAACCAACGTTTTATTAAGACCTGGCATCCATTTTATATAAAACTAACAAAATAGCACAAAATCTCAAAATTTGTTTTAATTAAGTTTGGAAAAATTAATATATTCAAGAGAAATGTTTGGCATTTTGTTATAAAAACCAAATTTAAAAAATGTATCGAATGATCCACTCAACACACTGTTAAACACTTTATCTTTGACAAGGACCAAATTGCTTCCACAAAAATCAAAGCACACCCCTTAACATTTAGAATTCCCCATTTCTCTTGCAGCCCACCCTCAGTTCGAAAACTTGTGCGGAACTCGCAGAAACTAAATTAAGTTTAAGTTCAACTACAATATGTACATTTGATTTATGCATTGAGAGACCATATACTGAACAACCTTCTCGCAGCCCCAGAAATTCGCTGCTACGAAAACGTAGACGGGAACCCTCTGATAACTAAGCCAAACCTATTCAACTTTCACGTTCGCATTGTTTGCACAAGCACGAAAAGTTATTAAGATGCATAGACGTGATTTTGCATGTTTTAAAAAAAGAATACATAATGCCACAGATGAAGCGGGGAGTGGAGAAAAGGACGCTATTAAGAGAGGGAGCCTGAGATCTTGAATTGCACTTTAAGTACTTTTAATTTACTAAACAAATTTCCATTCTTCCTGACGACCGAAAATGTTGCATTGGAGAGGCCAAAAGAGGCCCGAAACTTGACTCCACCCACAAAGGCAAACTCATTGACATGCCTTAGACAGGAATTGAATTAAAAGTTTCCGCTTTTTTCGCGGAAATAGAATAACGAGAAGTTTCATTGTTTGGCTTTTCACAAAAAAGTTTGCCGCATTTAAATTGATTTGTAATTCGCGGTTAATTTGGTTTTTTTTTTAACTCTCTTTTCTTTGGTCACTTTTATTAAATTTCACATTGTTAGTTTTCGTTCCTTTTTTACGTTTTTATTATTATTGTAATTTGACACGGAATGCCTGACAGTTATTTCAATTGCCCTTTGTATAAAGCCTTACCGTGAATAAATGTGTGAATTAAATATGAATTAAAATTTTAAATTGTCGCAAAATGCCGCAGACATTATGGCTCGATGCTTTGTGAATTTTTGGAATGCAAATCAAAGAAAAGCAATTTGAATAATGATGCTGAAATCAGAATTAAATAGAAAATTTGACGTGCTGATATTAAAGACCAAATAAACAATTCAATATTCTGCATAAATTTAAAACAGCATTCTGTTCTATTCTTCATTTAATAAATACATAAACACAAACATATATGAATTATTCAAAGTTCATATTAATTTTCAATGCAAATGTTTCAAAATATAATTCAAATTCTTCTTCATTTGCATAAATAGTTAGGTTAAGCTTGATTAAATTGTTTCAAAGTGTTTCATAATTTTGATTGAATTCAATACCAATTTTCGTACTCAAAACATGGAAAATAAGTACATTATGATAAAAGAGAATATATTTTATTGATACGCTGGAAGTACGAATAATTTTAAAAATAGTTTTAAGAGAAAGTGTTTCCAAAAATCAGCATAAGGACATAACAGAGTGCCAAATCATAAACCTGCTCATTTTAATATGAACCAAATAAATCAGAAGCAAACAAAAATGTACACACCCGTTTGCTGTTTTTCGAATTGTTTATATAAATATGTCAACCGTACAAATGTACAGAATTCATAATTTATGAGACGCAGCCAAAGTGTAAACCCCAAAAATTTGTAAATGAAAAGTGAAAATCCCAACGAAGAAATGAGGGGAAATCTGATTTAATGTAACTTGAGATTCCTTGGCCATAAATTGGTTGAAAGTAATTATTGTAATATTTGCCTAAAACGTTTATCTCATTGTCACAAAATTCAGCATAACGAGCGGAGAAAAGGGTCGGATTTTCGGTTTTGTCAAGAGATTAGTAAATGCCTTTAGTAGCCGGCTACCAATGTAATTTGTGCTCGACTTTGCTTTCGGTTTCGGTTTTGGTTGAAATTTGTTTGTAAGTAATTAAAAAGATATTTGGCTTATTTGCTGGTGATTTGGTGTCGACCCAACAACTTTATTATGATGGTAATGATGATGTGTAGAGGAAGGCAAGTTCGGCTAATGATTTTCAAACTTAGGCTTGGTGAAATGGGTTATACAGTGAAATAAATCGTTTTATTCATTTTAATTTATCAACAATTTCTAACAACATAAAAACTAGACAATTTTATAGTTTTTGAAGAGATCTTAAATTTATACCTTACATATTGAATATCCAATTGAATTAATCCAGTGCTAAGAAATTTTTAATTTTATTTATAATTTTGATAAAA